ATTGTACTTCGTTCAGTTACGTATTGCTTGTGGAACGTGAAGCGGGATATTCCTTGGATGGTAGACACCATGAGTTCAAATCGGGTAATGGTGGATTGGAGCTAAGTGGGTTGTCGGCAGTGGTGTGGGTTTGTAGTGTTGGATGTAACGTCATGGTACCTTGTTCAACGGCTTCGAGAACACGTGCCATTGCTGTCGAATGCGTGTAGCATATTTGATGGTCAGCTTGCGGTCACGGTTTATCCATCGGTAAACGTTTGAAACGAGTTTGAGTGTGGGGAGTGGGGTGGTGGATTCAGGGAGAGCAAAGGGTGAGGTTGCGGAAGGGGATGTTGAGAAAATCATGTAAGGAGAGCTTGTCAATAGGAAATTCAGGTAATCTAGCTGACAATTGAAGGAGGTGTTGGATATGGGGGAAATCGGAACATAAACGAATTAATGGGGGGAGGAGGGAAGAAAAAGTGTGTAGATGCATGGTTGACCAGTATACAAATGGAAGAGATGGGCAGGGAATGAGGAGATAAATGGGGGATGGGGATTGGAAGGCGAATGGTGTAAGACTCGTTGAAGATATACATGATGCGAGATGTTGATCCTGAATATCCACCAGGCCCAAACCACCTTGTGAGCGTGGTAAACAACAAGTTGACCAACTCGGATATGGAAAAAAATTGCACACATACTTACGAATCAGTGTTTGACACTTCTGAATCCATGGTTTAGGGACGACACAAACCCGTAGTACAGCCGAGATAAAGCAGAGGGAGTTAGCCACCGTAGCTTTCCCAAGAATTGAGAGCGTACGTTGTTGTAGTAGGTGTACGTGAGTCTCAAGCTTGGTGTAAAGGCTGCTCAAAAAGCTATCAAATGTTGATCATGGTGATAGAGGGTATCCCAGGTATGTCAAAACGTTGGAGAAATTACGATCATGCCATTGGGCATTAATCGTGTGTAACATGTGTTGCCATGAGGGATTAGGTTCACCTGAAAGTCAGGAAAACCACGGTCTTGTTGAGGTTAACTTTGCCATTGGACGCCAATTTGTATGTCGTAAGATGTTGTAATAGATATTGCCATTCCGGTGGGTGTACGAAGGAATACCAACAAGTCATCAGCATACGCCAAAACTTTGATTGGTGGAATGTGTGGTGTATACAAGTTAGTACGAAAATGGATACGGTGATTCCATTTGGTCATGCTTGGATTAGTCAAAGGTGATCCTAATAATAAGGGGTCGGACATAAGGGTGCGGATAAGGGGTTCAAAGGCAAGGTTAAATAGAAGGGGAGATAGGATCACCTTGACGTAATCCACGAAGTTGAGACACGGGAGAAGATAGCCATCCATTAATGGATAGGAGATGAGTGGAGAAGAAGAGGTGGAGGAGGGAATCAATGAATTGAGTAGGGAATCAAACCTTGTCATTACCTGCCGAAGATAATCCGAATGTACTCTGTCATAAGCTTTTTCTTGGTCAAGTAACACACCCACTGATGGAGATGATGGAGAGAAACGCCGAACATGATGCATGAGGGTTTTGTACCACCCAACCATTGTCTGAGATAAGTCGTTTGGCCAAAAGCCAGTCTGAAAAGGGTTGATTAAGCGATGCATGATGGGTTGTAACCGGTTCGCCAACAATTTGGTAAATAGTTTCGCATCCGAATTAATCAATGACAATGGGCGCCAGTTGGCCAAAAGACGTGGGTCTCCTTTCTTAAACAACAAAACCATGCGTTGACAACCACGAACGAGGATACAAGTTGTGAAGAAGTGCTTGATTCATCACTAAGAGTAGCAGCTGGATCACCGGTTCCCACGTTTGCATGTGTTTGAAATCAATTCCAAAGGTAAACCATCCATCCCAGGGCTTTTACCCAAGGTGCGTGTTCAATGGCTCGAACAAGCTCGTCCCGAAAATGGTCGCATGAGATTGTCTCCTTGTGTTGCTGTCACTTGCACTGAGGAAGGAATAGAAGATAACATCTTATCAACAGCGGCCTGGTCAATCTCGGTAGGGGTATAAAGATCCTTGTAATAGTGACGAGCATGTTGCATTATCCCACCCATGGTGGTGAAAAAGTTCACCGGTGTGTGGGTCACGGAGATGGTGGATGGTGGTGGCGGCCTGTCGTTGTTTCAACACTTTGAAAAAGTACTTGTTGTTCCGTTCCCCTTCCTCGTGCCATCGGGTTGCTTTTCGTAACAACAATTGTTTCGTAACACGTTCTTGAATGTTGGCAATTTCTTTTTCAAGAGGTGGCAGTCGTGGGTCTCGAGTACCATGTTGTTGTATGATAACATGTCGACGACGTTGTAAGTACGAAAGTGTTGTTTGGTGGTATGGCGGTGGCGGAAGCGTAATCAATAGCTGTTTCCTTTAAAACCGCTTTGAGGTTGTCCCAGCATGCTTGTGGATCCATTTCAATGAGCTCATCATCCAATTGTGTAAAGTACTCCTTCACTGTATCCTGTAACAATGATCAAATGGAGGTTGGCCCAACAGCAGTGGGTTAAAACGCCAACAGCCAGGGCCGGTGTCCATGCTGTGTATTCGAAAATCCACTGTCAGCATCTCATGGTCAGTCCAAGCACGTGACATGTGCCATTGCTGGTGGTAGAAATCATGGAGTGGAGGTGATGGGTGCAAAGACGTAGTCCACAGTGGTATGAAAGATTGCCCCGATGGTATGTAGGTGCTGCCGTAGGAGGAGAAAGCATACCATTGATCTCTGGATACAGGTCTGATTGAAAGTGCTCCAACGAAATTATTTAAAATGGTCTGAGTCTTGAATGCAACTTGGTGTGAATGGGTGTTGAAATCGCCTATGACAAAGCACGGTTCGGAAAGATCTGTAAAACAGGGTAAAATCAAGGAGGGAGGGGAAAAACTCTGGTCGTCGATCCCTTTTCAGCAGATGCATAAAGGACCACAATACGACACAAAGCCCCATGTGACGTACAAATGGTGGATACAATACAACGTTGGTCGAAGTGTCACATAGGTATTGGAAAGTGTGAAGGAGGGTTGAGGCAAATAAGGGCACAAATGTTTAGTGAAGCAGAAGAGGGAATTGGGAAAAAGGCGGTGTAAGTGAGAGATGTCTTGGTTAGTAAGTGTTGGAGCATGCGTTTGGGATACTTCCTGTAGAGTGGTAAATCTGAAATGTTGAATATGCTGTGATCGTAGGTGTCGAACAAGTGGATTTGTGCCTCTTTGAATAGCGAGCGAACATTCAAAGAGGCGAGTCGTGCTGTATTATTATTTATCATATTATTGGTGATGCTGTGGGTCAGGTGATTCCCCAGCGGATTGTTGTAAACGTTGTTGGCTCATGTTGCGTGTGACACGTGTGCTGGATGCTGTATCAAGTTTTGGTTTCTTAGGTGTTGGCGTGTGCTGATGCTGATCGTGGTCGATAATAGGGTCGTTGTTGTCATTCATTCTATGGTCGTTGTCATGTTGGTGTGGTGTCAATGATCATTCGATTGTCGGCGTTGTCGGTAGTTGGATTGCTAGAGTCTTTGGTGACATTGGTGCTCTTCTTATGTTGATCTTCAACATCGGGTTGAGAAGCTGTATCAGTATGCTGATCATTGGTTGAATTGGATCTATTATCATCGATGATGGATGAAGGTGCTGTAGTAGTCATCTCCGAATCGCTTAGTCATCATCTACAGCTGACGCTTGCTAATGATTTGGGTACGTGTCAAGAAGCTGAGAATCGGTCAATGAATCCACCATGGCAGCTTGGCGTTCACGGTATACAACAGGACAATGTCGACGAAAATGGCCTTTTTGGTGGCAGTGGAAGCAAGTGAGTTCTTGAAGTTTGGGGCATTCCATCTTGCGATGACCTTGAGTGTTGCAATAACGGCAAAGAGGAGGTGCGTTTTCCATGAGGCGGAACACATCATCCCAAACCTCAATGGGGATAAGGCGGGTGAGTGGTCTATAGTAGGGCTTATCATCCATTAACATGGCACCCGAAGGTGTGGATGTGTCCAAAATGACGGTAGCCTCTCCTTCGAAGGTTTCAGATTCAGGTTCAACGTATAGGCGGATTTGGCAGACACGACCATAGGCACTCATGGCGTTTTTCAATACTTGCTCGATGACATCTTGTGCAAGAAATGGTAGGTGAGAAAAGTTGACCTTGGTAATTTCTGCATCAGCTGACAATGCACGTGTAGCACGATAAGTGACGCCATCATAGGTGACACCATCCGTTAAAGCTTTGTCATCTTGCGTTATCGTCTTCGAAACGTGTCTCAATTAACAATGAACGTGGGTTGCGTGAACGTGAGATGGTTCTTGCTCCGAGGATAGTGCCTAGTTGTTTGATCGTCTGATAGGCGATAGCCTTAGATGGGAAGGTTGGTGCCAAAGTCGAAGATTACGGCATTAGGATTCAAAGCTCTAGTGAGGATTGTTTCTGCCTGACGCGCACGTCGAGCCTCTCTTCATAACCTTGCTCTTCAAAGAGAAGGTGATGCTTTTATTGCGGACAACATTGGCCCAGACCGCACGTCCTGGGGAGGAAGTTGACCTGTTGCCATGGTAAGGGTGTTGGTGTAGGGTTGAGTGAAATGTGATTGGTCCGAATCCGAAAAAGTGAAATTTAGCGGGAAGACCCTCTCCTTCATTGTAAAATAGTATGACTATACTAGAGCCAAAGATGCAGAAGAACTTGTTTGTGTAACAGGTCAAGAGAAGGGTCGATCCTATTGGTGGAGAGTGCATAATGTAGGCTTTTCCTATGCTACACCTATAATGAGGTCAGTCGATGATGCTTATTTATGGTATGATTAATAAGCTAAGCGCATACGAGAGTACCTATTTTGTGTTAGAAACGATAGAGGGGATGATCTTGGCTATCTCCTAGGTTCGCTCGCATGCTTTACATACATACAAGATGATAACGCATTCTGAAAGTTGTCAAAGTAATTTAAGCATATGTATGTAAACTCTTGCCCCATTGTATCAGAGCACACTCATTCTTAAAGATAATCATCTAAGCTTATGATGGACCAAGCATCCGTAGCAAGCACTATTGTTGGGTACCATTTCTATGGGTTTATTATGTTTGAAAATACAAGCATCTATTTAAACATGTATACAACCATTGCCTATTATTATCCTCTACTAGCATATGAACAAGGAAGCTGTAACGAATGTGATGTGACAAAAGGAACAAAAACTTCTCGGTACAATGATGTAGATGACCCAATCTCGCTTTCCTACCTTGAAATTTCTACCCTCCCTTCCATTCCAAAAACCAACCAGAAGTGGATCACATAGAATAAGCGGTACCATTGTGCCATTGTATTCTTGATTGCTGCCGTCATAAACATCTCCATCCATGGTTGCAAAGTAGCTGCTGCATGCATTGACTTGAGATTCCAATAGCATCCATGGCTGCGAAACACCCCTTGTCGAAATACAAGCCCTGACATCCACGCCATTCCATCCATCATCATTCTCGGCCGTATCCCCGTAACATGGCCCATCCCTCCTGCTGACGACGCGCAAAGTAACAAACAACATTCCTCATTGCACTTGATCGCATCCACCCATCCATAACCATTGCAAGTCCAACATGTTGATAGAAACATCTCCTGAGATTGCTTGCTGATGTGCTTCCTTTGCCATCCTTTTGGCAGTCCATCTCCTTCTTGATCATCTTCCATCGCAGCTCAACCCGGTGAAGATTGCATGTATTACGATGCACTCGATAGTTGATATGGCATCATCCATAGAAATGCGTATGTATTAAAGCAAGTTGCTAGACGTAATAATACTGCTGCTACACAATGGCTATCAGCTGTTCACGTAAAACAAGGCTGTAAGGCAAGTTGTTGCAAGCAACTTGAGACGATAGAGAAAAGGTCATGCTATTGGCGAATGCTGTTGCGTTTGGTTGTCGTAGAGGAGCGTACAAGGGAGTGTGTAGCATTAAGGAATGGGTGTATTGTAGTGAGGTGCACACGCCATGGACTTGCCATTCAGTCAAAGACAATCGGATCAAGGCAGTTGTAGGATTGACATGTTGAAGCAGGACAATCGTTCGCAGGTGGTAGTTGTACTTCAATGGGCCAACAGTTGAGAATGGGAGGAAGAGACAAATAAAGTAGGAGTGGAAGAACCGGAAATCAAAGTTGACGTGCGAAGCGAGCAATCCAGCCTGCTGGTCTAAACATAGAGTGACAACAATGAAAACACGAAACACAATACTATTAAAGAGAGGTTGTCAATGAGAATAATAAAGTAGATGGTGAGATACATGGTATCTTGGAGATGTTCTTCCACAATCCAAAAGGTAGCATTTGACTATGACTTACTACTACCAGGATTTCAACAAGGATAGTAGTACAAGATGAAATCTCTCTACAACAACATGGGGCTTATGCCTCCCGCATGGGATATATAAAGTCTATAGTGCATCATTGTTTTTCTAAAAGATTTTTAATGGGAGAAGGGTGCTTTATGTTTATTGCCATGACAACCATGGACGATGGGCAGTGGATGGGATGGTGGTATCACCCCAATGTTAAAATAGTACGAGATCCATATTCGACGACCGCCGGCTTGAGAGTCTTTGTACCTAAAAACAGATACAACCAAATTTGTGTACAGCTTCACTCAGCCCTCTCTCTTTACTGCTCTTTTGCTCCGTTTCTTCCGGTCCTCTCTCTCTCTCTCTCTTTTTCTTTTCTTTACTTTCTCTTTTCTCAATGGCTTCCGATTTGCCTCAGTTCAAGACGGATGCCCCCGCTTCTGGAAGGCGAAGTGCTCGACCCAACAAACGAGTCCTTGTCGTATTAGCCATTGCTGGCATTTTCTTTCTCTTGTACCTGAATGCTCGCATTGACACCACATCAAGTTCTTTGACACCTGCCGACACCGACACAGACTCCTCCTCCTCCACTACTACTACTATCACTACACCCTCTGACACCACTACCAGTGAAGAAACCGGTCAAGGCGACATTGTATTCCCTGACGATATGAGCGATGAGGAAAATGAAGAGATCGTTCCTGATGAGCCAGAGCAAGAACAAGAAGCAGAAGAAGAATTGACAACGACGCCTTCAACCCACTCTGTGGAGCATCATAAGACGGTGACGGATCCTCTAAGCGAAGAAAAGAGCGAAGACGTTGTTATCAATGACTCCAATCATTATGCATACTTGGTGGTGATTGCTTCTTCAGCCGAACAGAGCAGCCGTCGTGCCTTGATTCGTGACAAGTACTTTGGTTTGCGCAACAATTTATTACCTTGCATGCGTTACAATGCCGATATGCTTTATAAGTTTTTGATCTACGGTGGACCTAGCAAGGCTGGCACTGCTGAACGTCGTCGTTATGAAGCTGAAAAGATGGAATGGAATGACTTGGAGGAAATGCCTACAAAGACAGCTTTTGATCAAGCTTCGGTCTTGGAATGGGTAAGTGTTGTCATAGCAACAACAGGATAAGGAACTTACAAAAGTGGGATTTGTCTATAGGCTGAAACGACCTTGGCAGAGCAAGGCATTACCTATGATTACCTTGTGGTGCAGGATATCAACACCTTTGTGCAACTTTCGGTTGTCAAGCAAGAATTGGATAATGGAGTCATTAGCGAGAGTACCGATTCGCCTGTGACAGTCAATCCTGAAGCGCCTACGAATATTGTTTGGGGTACTTTTGGTGGTGATGAACGTGATAAGCATGCCTTTGTTATTGGTTCTGCCGCAGCCAAGTTGGCTCTCGAGAAGCGTGGTGACATTGATGCAACTGGTACCAGCGAGCACTTGTTGAGCAACATGTATGCCTATTATCAATCCGTTGCCAATACGGTGGAACACGAAGTCGATGCTGCCATGGAACCTGAAGCTGCAGCTGAAGTGCAAGAGCAAGTGATCCCTGTATTTATTCGTGAAGATGGCCCTGATGATAATCATCGCTTTATTCGCTGGGAGAACAATGTTGAGTCCGTTCATATCGAAGACAGCGTTGTCACGCATGTTTATCAAGATTCCGAATTTGCAGAGCTTGTTGCATGGACTTCACTCAAGCCATCCACTGTGTGCTATCCACGCAAATCAGCCTTCAAGGGTACACAGCCCACGCTTGATGCTCTTGACGATGATGAAGATTTACTCGCTGATGAGGATGAGGATACTGCTACCGGCTTGTCAGAGACAAACAGCAACGACAACACAACGGCCGCCACTGAGGATAAGCCATCCATTGCCTTGATGACCTCTTCCTTCATTTATGATGACAATTGTATGGAACCTTCTGCTACGATGGCTGCTATGAACAAGCGTAAATTTGCCTTGCGTCATGGACATAGCTTTGTCGCTCGTTCAGCCGAATTTGCTCAACAACGTGGACGCAAGACTGTATGGGGCAAGGTGGATGCTGTTGAAAAGGTGTTGCCAAAGTACGATTGGATCTTTTGGATGGATATGGATGCTGTCATTATGAATCAAGAACATTCCTTGTTTGAGCTGTTGGATGATTTGCGTGCACGTTATCCAGGTGGAGCTGAGGCTTTTGATGCCAATGTTGACTTGATTGCAGCCAAACCCCGTGGTGATCCTATGCTCAATGCTGGTGTCTTCTTTTTACGTAACTCTCCTTGGAGTATGCAGTTCTTGCGTGATGTACAAGGTGTCACTGAATGGTACAACAAGGGATCTTCTTATGAACAAGGTGCCATGTGGCAAGTGATGAATCTTGAACAAAATGCTCCTCATATCTTTTTGCTTGACGGCGATGATCATACCTTCAACACGTTCCCCAAACGATATCAACCTGGTGACTTTATTGTCCATTTCGCTCCTGACAAATGTAAGTTGTATCGTGTGTATTCATCTAGAGAATGATAGACTAACTCGATTTCTATTGACAGGTCCCAACGCATTAACCTTGCAAGGTCTCGCTGCTGCTGAGCGTATTGAAAAAGGCGAGGCAATCACCAACATGGATTTGATTTAAATGATCTTCCTCCTCCTCCTCCTTCTTTAACTTCACATCATCATCATCTCTCTTTCCCCCACCTCGCATTTATCATCATCCATCATGTATACACTTTTTACATAAAACATCTTATTCTTTGATCATTGTTCTTCTTAGGGATGGATAAAGTCTAGTGATCTTGCTACACGTATGTTGACCAGCAGCATTTATGCGGAATTTGATTGGGTCAATTTGTCACATCATTACCACCAACCTGAGCGAGAGAGTAGGCTTGGCCCTTTCTTTAAACACGACACACAATGTCCAACGACACTGCACCGCCTTCCTCCACCATTTATGCCGGCAACCTTGATCAAAGGTTCTATCTATATTCGGTTGCTCTTCCACTTCTAAAGCAGCCTTCATGTTCCCAGAGTCACCGACACCATGCTCCATGATCTCTTTGCTACCCTTGGCCAAGTCAATAACGTCAAGATTATCACGGTAAATCTCTAAACAAGCCTCTCCATACAAGAGTCACTCATCCCTTTCTCTTTAGTCACGGCGGCAAGGATTGAATGTACTCTACACGCGTGCCTCTATTTACCTATGTGTGTGTGTATGGATGCGGTGTTAGTATTGATCATATTGTTTGGTATCTTTAGGCTGGTGTCAACTATGGTTTTGTGGATTTCGCTGATGCTGGAGCAGCCGAACGCGCATTGAATGAAATGAATGGACACAAGTTTTTTGATCACGTAAGTAGGATCACGATGATGATGATAAAGAAAAAGTCGGCCTTTGTTAACAAGATGTGTGTGTGTGTATGTGTATGAAAACAACAATAGGAGATCAAGCTCAACTGGGCACAGCAATCCAAGCAGGATACTGGTAGTGAACACTTTCATGTCTTTGTGGGAGATCTTGCTCGAGAAATCAATGATGATATGCTTGCAAGCGCCTTTTCCAACTTTGGTACTATGACGTAAGTGACAAGGGAATGGAGGATTACGAGTGGATTGGTGACCTTTGTATGTAGGGAAGCGCATGTGATTTGGGATAATGTTTCTGGTAATTCCAAGGGATATGGCTTTGTGGCCTTCCGTGACAAGACAGATGCCGAACAAGCTATTGCTACCATGAATGGCGAGTATCTTGGATCACGTCCTATTCGTTGCAACTGGGCAACGCAAAAAGGTAAAAAAAAAGTTTTATAATGATGATGGTTCGATATGATATTCATTATCATCATCATGATGTAGGACAAATGGCTACGCCTCCTCCATTGCCTGGTCAACGTCTACCATTCCAAACCGTTGTCAACCAAGCACCTTCCCATGTGACCAATGTCTATGTCGGTAATCTCAGTCCTGATACCACAGGTAATTAAGATGGGTGGAATCGTTCAAGTCTTTTTATTTACCCATCATTGATTAGAAACGGACTTGACGTGCCTCTTTGAGCAACATGGTACTGTTCAAGAAGTGAAGCTCCAATCGGATCGTGGATACGCTTTTGTCAAGTAAGGCTTTTTATATACCAATCAGAGGCACATTTCAAGTAACATGATGTCATGTTATAGGTTGGATACGCATGCAAATGCTGCCAGTGCTATTGTCAAACTTCAAGGCATGATGGTGAATGGTCGTGGACTTAAAGTAAGAGAGAGGAGGATCATGCTATGTTCAAGGTTTATATGGATCATTTATACATGATGTGCGTAGTTATCCTGGGGCAAGAGCCGTTCACAACAACAGCAACCAGGTGGTCATGTTATGGGAGGAGGACATCATCATCCCCATCTTTATGCTGGTAGAGCGGGTTATAATGCTCGAGGATTTGGTCATCCCATGCCTTCAGCAGAGAGCGCACTTGCAGATGTTACTGCACCCAATTCATTGGCAAGCCTTGATCCTCATGCAGGCGGCACTTTGGCAGCCACTTCAACTCCCGTCAGCAACAATCAAGAAGAAGTGTACGAGTACAATGGCAGCAGTGGTTCCATTCCAATTTAATTCTCTGGGCAGCACCTGATTTGGCTATAGTCTCTCTCTCTCGCTCTTATTTATTGCGCTTTTTAGTTCCCCTTTATGATATCCTTTTATCGCAACCATATTAAAAAGAGAAATTGCATAGCGCATTTTAGTTGTGTGTGTACGATATTACATTCAACAAGATACAATTTTTACTTTTAAGACTTTCCAAAACCAAAAAACTTGGAAAACAAGCCTGAAGATCTATCTTCTGCACGGAGAGTTAAGCTATCGGGGTATTGCACATGATTGGCAGCCAGATCAAAGTAGAAAGGCTTGGCCACCACAGCCTCGAGTTTAGGAGGGAAAGGCACCAACTTTGGCATTGCCGAATCTTGCGTCAGGGCAGCAGGATAAGAATCGAGATCATCGATCAAATAAGTCTATAATATGGTGTTAGCTATATATCAAAGGATAGCCTTCGTGATGTTACATACGTCGTTATTAAGTTTGAGTTGTTCGAGCTTGCTTGACAATTCACTTGTGCTAGTATTCTTATCTTGTGCGAGATGCCAAGCTGCATGCATTTTCCATGATCCACTTCTAATTCGCTGCTCCAACTTTGAAAGATCCTCCTCTGTTACTGTCAATGCCGTATCAGGTTGGAATCCATTCAGCCGTTGCAATTGTTGCTTTGTTTGCACCATGTAGGTTTGAGCTCGCTGATACATGGCCACCGATTCTGCAGCACGATCCAAATCGCCATACACTTGTGCAACGTACATGCATCTAATTCCAAGCCAATGTCAACATGGTATACACCTATATAAACCTTTTTGTTACCTGTATCCACGATAATAATGTTCCAAAACATCCAATTCAGCTTCAAAGGCGGTTGCAAGATCATCATCCATTGGAAGTTCACGCAGGGTTTGGATAATCTAATGATACAAAGAGTTATACATGGTGTCACTCATCATTCAGGGCATGGGAATGGTTACCTGCAAAATGTCATCAAACAATCGAACTGCATCTTGTGATTTGGCCTTCAATGCCGATTCAATATTGCGCTGGATGATGCGTGCATTCAAATTGTAGGTCACGTAAGCATACACGGACTGAAGATCCTGGGTTGACTTTGCTGATTGCGAAGAAGCCACCTTGGCTGTTGCCTCCTTATCATCCTTGACAGCCTTTTTGACCACCTTTTCTGCCTCATTCCATTCTGACTGTTGTTGAGCTGCTTCCAATGCCTTGACGACTGTATCATTTCGCAGCACAATGGTCGTACCACGCCATTTCAATGTAGGGCGTTCCTTTTTACTTGACTGGGTGACCTGTGACAGCTGTGGCTCGAGCGCAGAGACGGTTGTATTCTTCTTTCGTAGATCATCCACCAAGTGAGGAATGTTGCTCGTATCCAATTGCAATTTGTAAGCACAAAAACGGATGTTGGGATCGATGTCATCAATGGCTACATAGCACAATGCCTCTTGCTGTGGATCATCACTTGCTGTACCAAATTCATCATAGATCACCCTAACCATTTTACTTTAGTCACAGTCCCTTATACGACCCTGCCTTCTTACCTAGCGATGACAAATTGATCCAAAGCAGCTTGCCATTCTTGTTGTTCAACCAAGAGATACCCTTTCATCCTTGCACCGTATGCCTATTCGCTAATCAATGATCCATGTCTTCATTGTAGGATTCATTATAGAGTGTTTTACCTTGACATCCAATACTGAACGAGATTCCACGGATTGTTGATCGCACAAATCAGACAAGGCATCTGCATGTTGACTCGCCTTTTTCAATCGTTTCCTTAAATGATGGCGTTTTCGCATATCCATGCTCGATGATGATTCCTGCTTCAACTCCATGGCATGAGCCCATGCACGCTCGACTTGGAATACGTAAAGATGCAAGAAACGCGCGTCCGAGAAAGTCTCTGGTAGTCGTTTTTGTTGGTTGACGTTCTTGTTGTTCGGCTTTGTGAGCTCCAACAGCTGACGCAGACGTCGTACACGGTGAGCACAGTATTCACTAGAAGAAGCATCCATGAGCATGCATGCCGGGACCATTGAGTGTGTGCCTACATACCGGTAGCGTTGATAATCCTGATGACGGAGGCCATAGGTCATGCGTGAATCGTTTATAAGTGACAAGACTAGAGACGTTGGATTAGCATCAATAAAGTCAATCTCAAATGTATTCTACCTTCTAATGCCATTGGAGCAGCATTGGCTGCAGGGGCATCCACTTGCATGGGCTCCATAGTTGAATAGGCTTGTAAGAGTTCTGTTGGTTTGTACGCCACGCTCTCCAAAGTAGCCAACGAGCTGAGATGGAATTATGTCACAAGCCAAAAGAGAGAGGGGAAAGAGAGGAGAGAGAGGCCCCCACCAATCACCTACACCACCACCACCACCACGAAAGCTATACACCATGATTTTGGTTCTTTGTGTGATCAAGTAGCAATCAAATAAAGATTATTAAACACGGACAATATACCATGATATGGCAAGTGATTCATTCTCTCAAAAGGGAAAAAGGTGAATCCCGCACGTTAGAACCAACATCATATGACGACGACGAGTAAAGGTACGAGTGATAGAGAGAGGTAATATTGATTCTCCTTGTGTTGGATACTAACAGCATTGTGGGTGATATTGATCGGCAGAATTGTATAATAAAAAGTTACTTGTTTCTACTTGTCATAGTATAAAGCACAAGGAGAGAGAGAGAAAGAAAGGGCGGAGACAAGGTCATGGTGGCACACTGACCTTGTGTGTGTGTGACACATGTCGCTATGGACATTAAATATCATTCGGCATCTGATGCACTACCTTTCTTTTTCTCTTTAACCTTCATTTGACTCTCTATCCCGCACCACACGCTTGTCCTTGGACAACAGCAACAACAACAACACTCACACACGACTTCGATTCACACTCGTTCATACACTCACTTACCTCCCCCACCTTTCCTTTGACAATTCATCATCATCAATAGACACCGCTATTGACACGCTCACTCACTCACTCACTCACTCACTCACTCACGACACACACACACACACACACAGCCTCCTTAATCACTTTTTTACCACCACCACCACCATCATCTCATATCCCTTCTCGAACCCCCTTGACCAAACCATTCAACCAAACCCCCTCTCTTTGATTATCCCTATCATCACTTCCATCATATATATCACTTTTTCTTAAACACAATGCATACCGCTGTTATTACTGATAAACGGAGTCTGCACAAAGCCGGCTTATCCAAAGTGAGCAACAACGCATCATGGGCATCATTTCTTTGATATACTAATGCTCTTTATTCCAATAGTCAAGTACCATGCAAAAGTCCAAATCCGAACCCAACTGCGCCAGTACTGCTGCCTCTTCTTTTCACACACTTGCAGCTCACCCAAAACGCAAATCGACTGGTAATCTCAAACGAGTGCCGTCATTCTGCCAGAGCAGTACTACGACCAACGGCGGAGCCAACAAGGTAATGAATCAATGTGGTGTCTGGGGGGTGGAAGAGAGAGAGGATTCAATCGGCGCATACATACATACACAGGTTACTGAATTGTTGCATGTTAGGATGTATGGCGTTCACCTGGATGTTATGAGATTCCTGATATTCTCGGCCATGCCTATCTAAAGCCTTCACCCGCTGTAGCCTTTCATTTGCGACCACGAGATCCATCAAAGCAAGTATCCAAGGTAATAATAATAATATCCCTTTTTTCTTTCTTCCCCTTGATCCCATTCATTCATTCATTCATTCAGCTGAGCCGTTTCTATTTTCTTTATTCTATATAGCGCCCTTGGTACCCACCTAGCCCACATTACCAGATTCCAGACTTGCCACCCCTAGCTCGGGCAGAGAACAAGTTTGAATCCAAAATGCGCAAGATCCTTGCCAAGACCAGAGTCCACACCAATGATCCTCGTACCCGTTACACTGATTTCAAGGAGATTGGCACTGGGTAAGACCTATTTAACGAGGTGGGTGGGGGTGGTGAGACATGGATGGGATATTCATTTTACTTTATAGCGTGAATGGTGCCGTGGTGCGTGCCGCTTATCGTGGTGGTAACAAGAAGAGTTACACCCAATTGGCTATTAAGCGCTGCAAGCTTGATCCCGATCGTGAATATCGTGCAGCCATTTTGCGTGAATTAAGAATCATGGCGAGTGGACATAAGAATCTGATCAAGTTGCGTGAAGTCACCTTGTGTCGCGATGATGTTTGGATTGCCATGGATTTAATGCGTTGCTCAGTGTTTGCTGTTCTTTGTCAACGTGGCATCCCTGAGGACTTTTCGATCCACATTGCTTGTGAAACACTAAAGGCACTCATGTACTTGCATTCAAAGGGCTTCCTTCATCGTGACGTCAAGTGCGAGAATTTATTACTTGGCTGGAATGGTGAAGTGAAATTGGGTAAGTGTAGTAGTAGTAGAGAACAATGAAAACACACAAAAAAAAGGAGGAGGAATGAATGCTCATTCATTTTCTTTTTGTTGTAGCTGATTTTGGATTGTCTGCTCGTATCGCTGCCGGCAACAGAGATCGATTGGGAACAACCAAATGGATGGCTCCTGAAGTCATCCGTGAAGAATACTATGACGAAAAGATTGATTTATGGTCCTTGGGTATCACCATCATTGAAATGATGGATCGTGTTCCACCCCATTACTTGATCAAGGATGAGGAAGAATTGTTCGATATCATCGCTACTGAGCCCAGCCCCACTTTCACCTACAGCTATCCATCCATGTACATGCGTGGCCTTGTCGCCTGGTTGCTTGATGAGGATGCACACAGCAGACCCAGTGCAAAGGATGTGCTTTTGGTATGTATCCATGTGACATAAATGAAGCGATATAGTAGACTCATATCCACGTGTGTGTGTGTATAGGAAATTGATGCCCATGTCAAGAGCAACTTGTTGCAATGCGCATCATCCGCTGAGCTCGTGCGTTTCCTCAACCACGTTTTGCCTGCTCACTAAATCAACCCTCTTCACTCGTATTCCCCCAATCGATTCTCTATGCAAAACTTCCTAAGTTATGTTTCACCAGCCACTGCTTTTCTTTTTCTATCTCTCTCTCCTCCCACACCCACCCTTTTTATTCCATCATCTTTCGCACTACTTTGTCTTTTTTAAAGAGACGACCTTTTCATGATTTCTTCTCCATTCTACCCTTTATAATATTGTTGTTTTGTATGACCTTTTTGACACTTGTTTCTGCATTCGAATACCATTCATGGATATATAAATATAAACTTCTGATATCTATCTTCATTTTGTATTGGATGCGACATGTAGCTCGTTCATGCGGGATTTACTAGTTTATCAACTCCCAATTTCGGAGATGTGTGTGTCTCTCACTTTCACTCGTACTTTTCACGCGAACCATGGGTGTGCTTTGGACCGATGACGAGGGCCAGATTACAATGGGTGGGGCCATGTTGGCGCTCCTTTGTGTTTATCTACTCGGCATGCGTATTGTACGGATGGTGGTCTTTGAATCGGCGGGCCCTACAGTAATGCGTCCTCGAACGATCGTTCAAGTGGTGGTGCTAGGTGATATTGGAAGGTCGCCACGGATACGTTCCCATGCTGTCTCCTTGGCTGAAGCTGGTTGCCAAGTGGATCTTATTGGCTATGCTGGTAAGGATATCTAGTTTTGTACGTATAACTTTATGTATTAAAAAGTCATTGTCAGAGACATCACCTGGTACTCGAGTCAATGCCAATCGTCATATCACTGTTCGCAAGATCACTCCCGCTTGGTCTGTTCCTGAAGGATTACCACGTTTCGTTTATATTGCATGGGCACCTTTCAAGGCTATTTTTATGGCATTTCAACTTGCATGGATCATGGGTTGTATCACCCAACGACCAAACTATATTCTTATCCAGGTAAGACACGCATAGCCCAGGTCATGGAATGATCCACTCATCACTTTTCAAATATAGAATCCACCCGCCATCCCTACACTTGCAATAGCAAAGGCCGTTTCAAAGTTACGAGATGCTAAGCTGGTGATTGATTGGCATAATTTCGGATTTTCCATCTTGGGCATCAAGCTTGGCATGAATCATCCCGTGGTGCAAGTCGCGAAACGATACGAGCAATACTTTGGTCGCCATGCCTACGCTCATCTCACAGTGACCGATAGAATGAATCGTGAATTGAAACAATGGGGTATGCGGTAGGTCTCTTCTTTCTTTTTCTTCGTACCGGCAGGTTGTTTGACCTTTTTATTAGTGGCAACATGGTGACTTTTCACGATCGACCACCGTATCACTTTGAGAGACTTTCCCTTGAAAAGATGCATGATGTAATGATCCAAAGCCCCCCCTCTCCCAAAATGGTTGATTCCTTGATCTGATTTCTCCTTTTCTTTAGTTTCTAAGCAGAGTACAACTTGAGAACATTGTGAAACAACAGACACTAGCCACCGATAAGTTTTTGGATATGGACATGGATCGAGATACCACATTATTGACCACCAAATCAAACGATGGCTCCGTTGCTATGCGTGACGACAATGAACGTGTACGTTTGATTGTATCTTCAACATCATGGACCGAGGATGAGGATTTTTCAATTCTTCTCAAGGCTGTGGAATTATACGAATCGGCATCTCGTCAAGCCGACAAGCCGTATCCACGTTTGTTATTCGTGATTACTGGAAAGGGACCTCTCAAGAGCATGTACGAGCAAAAGATATCAGCCATGCAACTCGAACGTACACGCATTATCACCGCATGGTTGGAAGTGAGCGATTACCCATTACTCCTTGGCAGTGCTGATCTCGGCATTTCACTACACACAAGCACCAGTGGCATGGATTTACCGATGAAGGTGGTGGACATGTTTGGATGTGGACTTCCTGTATGCGCTCTTTCATTTGAATGGTAAGAGGATAGGATGCTTTTTTTAAGATTTGAGATGGCTAACCAGTCCCGGGGGGGGGATGGTCGTAGTTTGGATGAATTGGTTCACGATGACAAGAATGGTTTAATATTTTCATCGAGTACACAACTTGCGGAGCAATGGATGGTAAGCCTCACGTGGGATATCAAAAGACCTTTTTATACTAAACTGTCCTTCCAGGATCTCTTTGTTCGAACACCAGGCAAATTGCATCAGCTCCGAAACAATGTCGTGGCCGAATACAAGCAAGCCAAATGGGAGAAGCAGTGGAATGAAAGGATAGCTTCATTGTTTGGTATAGTGAATCCTACCACCGTGCATAGTAGAATGAGGGCAGAGTGATTTTGTCAATAAACAAAAACACATCATCTATGTACCTGAGAAAAAAAAAGATCGCGATTCAGGAACGAGAAAAGAGTGGAGAAAATCGATACATGCATGCATGCATGCATGCTGCTACACCAACTACTACTACTATTACTTGTTGTCCAGCTCTTGCAGTGGACTATTATGTACATGTCGAATGATTTCTTTTCTACTGATGGGCCATCCTAAAGCTATTTCTAAACTAGAAGCTACAATGGGCTGAAAGATATTTGGGAGCCTTTTTCTCACAGCGGAGACGATCAAGACCTATCTCTCCAAACATGACCATATGCGTCCAAAAAGTGATACGGGTCAAAGCGATTCTGTGGCACGCTCAGCCTGGTTTTGGGAGAAAACAAGCGGTTGTGTGACCGAATGTTTTTTTAAATGGCGGCGCTCGCTGTTCACCATCCGTGTGTTTGGTAGTTTTCATTTTGCACTACGTTCGAAAATGACGTTAAAAGGACCCTTTAAAGTTTGCTGGTTGCGAAAATCATAGAATTCAAGTGGGGCTTGAAACTAGTAGCAACGCTGAGCTTCACGCCACTCCACTCTATTATACAACAACAACTCCATTGTGGATCTTGGCATGTTGTTAAGCATCCAACGAGTAGACATCCCAAAGTAAAGGGTGCAAAGATTCTAGTATCCATGCCTTGGCTCTATCCATTGACATCACGTCCCACTCACTGTGCCCTTGAATTGTATGTATTATATATGCATGTCCTGCTTTGCAGCAAGCGTCGTTTTTGTTTTACGACTCCGGTTATTGTGTAACTAAGACGTAGTTGCCGGGATGGGTGCTTCCGTGAACAGGGTGATGATGGCAGGCAAGTTGCATACACACATCTTTCTTTCACTCTTGTGTCCACACACACGCCAAGTTATATATATACATATACTGTACGTGGCTTGCTTTTTCGCTTTTTTCCCCTTTTCTTTCTCCTTTTTGACTACTACTACTACTACTGTACATAATCTCTTTTTTTCTTTTTCCCTTCTATTTTCCTTTCTCTCACTTTCAAAAAGGACGTAACGAATTCATTTTGTTTGTTGTCCTCTTTGTCCTTTCGTTTTAAAAAAGTACACTGCTACACAGCACTACCACGACGACGACGACTATATCACCCAAAGAGTTTAATGGGTAACCAGACGAGTCGAGTGATTGAAAAGACCAAAGAAAGACGAAGCAACAAGGTGCGACGACGCAGCACTGCAACGCTTGGTACTAGGTCACATTCGTCAGTCTCTATTTCGCAACATTCATCCTCGCACGGCAACTATGACTGGATCGAAACGCAAACGTCATCGGGTAGTGGTGCCATTGACACTGCTGTGGCCGTGGCTACTGTAGCAGCATCCTCTTCTTCTTCCTCGTCTTCACAACACCACCACCACCACCATTCACATTATCCTAATACGAGCAATAATACGTCCCCATCCAACAACAACACCCACCCTAATGATACCTTGCGAACTGAGATGCCTCGACGTAAATCCATTAGTGAGGTTCTCAACAAACGTAAAGGCAGTTTTTCACGTACAACCATGTCGCAGGACGACTTTAGAGAATATGATCGTCTTCAACGTCAGGTAAATACATTTACATTCAAGGGTGGTGATCATCATCATCCAAAGCCTACTATTACGAGTTGTCCCTTTTCTCCCCTCCTCCTCCTCTTTCTTCCCCCCCCCTGCTTTGCGTATTCATGGTGTATCTTTTTTGCTATGTAGCATTACTTGTTGAAGAGTGCTCGAAAAACCAATGCCCATGCACCCATTCAAGATCCCGTCACTATCCTTGACTTGGGTACAGCTGGCGGAATTTGGGCCCTGGAGATGGCTGCCATGTTACCCAACACTCAAGTCATTGGCATTGATATCAAACCACCTGCCATTCAACAACAAGCGGGTGGACCCAAAAACTTGAAGTATATCCAAGCCAACATTAATGAGAATTTACCCATGAGTGATAACTCTGTAGACTAGTAAGTGTTTTTTCATCATGTTTTATATAGGCATCCTTGTCTCATTCATCATCTGCTGCTATTGTGTATAGTATATTCCAACGAAGCATGGGTCAAGTGATTCGCAAAGACAAATGGCAACATGTCCTTTCAGAAATGTATCGCATCTTACGACCTGGTGGATACATTGAATTGGTGGAAGCTGATTTATGGCATCACAACCCGGGTCCTGTGCAACAAGCATTCGATACCTTTATGCAAGAGCAATGTACAGAATGGGGATTAGATTTCGTCTTTACCGAGACCTTGAGTCAACGCATTGAAGAAGCTGGTTTTGATGTCATTGAATACAAGGTTTTAGATATTCCTATTGGTGAATGGCCCAAAGATTCAGGTAACCTACAAGATGAGATTGTGTATGTGTTTTCTTTTTCAATATGACTCACACACACACACGCGTGTTTATGTATTAGAACTCAAGCAATTTGGGTTTATCAATAAGGAAACACAAAAGGCATACCTGAGGAATCGTAAACAGTTCTTCACATTGACATGGGGAATATCAAGCGAGGATTATGATATGGCTGTACAGGAAGTCATGGAAGAATTTGAAGATTATCATGGCTTTACTCGCTTCAATTGCTGGATAGCCAAAAAGGCATGACACCCAAAAAAAGAAAAAGAACTTTTTGTAATCCATTGTAAATGTATATCTTCTTCACCACCCTACTTGTGCAGCACAAGCAAAACAAAACAAAAAAGCGCCCATTAATCAATCAAAAACACTAAACCATGCAATCAACATGGGATTTATTACGCTGCTGCCATCATCATCATGATCTCCAAGAGGGATACAGAACGAGATGGATAGATAACTTTTGCATGAATTAACGACATTGGTTGATTTTCGGGGTTACTGCTGCTGTGTCAATTTGCAACGACGTGTCCTTTCTCCTCCTCCACACACCCGCTCCTTCTCTCTTCCCATTCGTTTGACTTGTCATGTCGGCTGCCCTTGATCGGCTGGGGGAGGTCAACACCAACACGGTGCTCTCCATGGATACGTACTGGAAAAACGCAATGAGCGTGTGCGAAGCAGCCATGTCCATGTTGGCCCCTTTTGAGAATCAGAATCATACGCTTGTGGATGCAGCCACGACATCGTTGCGACAGCTTTTGACACATGGCAAAGAATATTCACGTATGAAGCAGTACTCGGCAGCAACACAACGTGACAAAGAATATCAAACAGCATCATCATACAAACATCGACCGCGCAAGACGATACAGGACCTTGGATTCAACCCACGAGAGAATTGGATCATAAAGGACGAGAGGACTGTGCTGGTACGACTACCAGATGATACCCATGTCACATGTCAAGCGATTACAACAGTGGAAGAATTGGATGCCATCTTGCCAGAACTAAGAAAAGCGAGCCACATTGCTATTGATTGCGAGTTCCTTGGATTGAAAGGATGTACGCCTGAACTTAAGGTGCTTCAGCTGGCTGTATCGAGTACACTTGGCTATGCATTGACGATTGATCGGATTGGATTACAAGCGGTGCGTGAACGATTGGAACCGATATTGAGTCAACCCCAACATCAACAAGGAGAGAATGGACTCTCAGCAGCAATAGCAAACCAGGAACGACTTTATCTTGGATGGGCCTTTCGAGGCGATGCACAAGCGATTGAAGCAGCATTCCCTGGTATCCAGCTACCTTACATTTTGGATCTACAGGCCAAATTACGCTCTGTGGCAGTAGAACAGCTCAAGCTCTTCAATGCAATGAATCGCTATGCACCCAACTGGTCCGGATTGGAAGAATTCAACAAAGCCAAGCAGCTTGGAGACACTTTTCGTTACACGGGCTATGATTGTGTATGGGTCCAAAATCCATTGCCACCTGAATGCTTTGTTTATGCCGTGTTTGATGTTGTCAGTTTGATCGCGTTGCATGAAGCTGTGGATCACCATCCCACTATACCCACCCATTTTTGGCCGCAAACAGTCATCTCCACATTGGCTCCAAAGGCACTCGATCGTTGGTTACGCACACGTGCTGTAGCGGCACTCTCGCAATCGAATGAACGAACAGCTTCTTCTTCTACTGCAACTACCAACTCACTCACTCTTGTTGAAACGACGGTTGCCACGCGCAAAGACAAACAACCTATACGAAGCGAAGCAGCAGGATCGAGTAGTAGTATTCATGCACCACCACCACCACCACCATCAGCAACAACGGCTGGCGGCTTTAATGATGATGATCCCCAGTTTTTACGTGATATGGAAGAGGCATTACGACTCTCACGTCAAGAAGCTGAAAAGCAACAAGGAGGAGGAGGAGGAGACATGACAAGTGGATCGAGCAAACAAGGATCGCCATATGAAAAGGGGGATGCTACTTTATTGGAGGAAGATTTTGATGGAGGAGAAGAGGCCCATTTTGCTACCGATGTTTATGACGACACTCACAACAAACGGGATGGTGGCAACCCAATCAAACTTGGTACTTGGGATTCCATTGATGATTATGAATCGAATGAACGACGTGGTGTCGGCGGCAGCAGCAGCAACAGCAATAAAAGCAACTATGAGCAACAACGCCAACAGCAACAACATCCTGGATATGATTATATGCAACAAATTTCGAGGGCTATGAATCAACATGCGAGTGGTGAATATTCTTTTGAGCCTCCACCTGAACAAGCTTCTTGGAACAACCTTGCAGAGACATCCATGAGTGAGTGGAAGCGTGGTGCGGATGTGGAGCTTGATTGGACCGAGATGGAGCAACGCAACGCTGAGCTTGCCAACTCATCACAACCTGCCGAGACGGTGAAGTTTCATACATCAGTGCATGGACAACAAGTGGCTTCTTGGGCATCACAGCAACAACAAAAGAAATCAGGAGAGGATAATTGGGATACAGCCGATGCAAAGCCTACCATGATGCAAATGCGAATGAATCCATTACCCAAGTTCAAGATCAAGCAAAAGACCAAAGGGCCTCGCGTGATTATTCCTGATGATGACGACTTTAGCGACGATGATGATGATGATGATGATGATGATATCTCAACGACCAGTGATGAATCAGCAGATGATGAGATTGTGGCCCATGTGGAAGAGACGTACAAGGATGACATTTTCCTCAGTGGACAAGGAGCCATTCACATGCATTTGATTCGAGAGGTGGCGCAATTAGCCACACTACCTCAACTCAACAGCAGCGACAATCCACAACAACCTTTGACGGCTGCCATTACAGCACAAGCGCATCGTGTCGTAACGCGTGAAGGTGTTCCTGAATTACATCTCAAGGCGCTTCAGATTTATATCAGCACAGGGGATGCGTACACCGTTCTTACAGACCATGTGCATGCTTTGACAGGCAACAATCGAGAAAAGATCCAGTCTTCTACCATTGGCTATATTCTCACGAGTCCAAACGTGCGCCGTGTCATGTGGGGTTATCAATTTGTGGCTGATGAATTGCAACATCGTCTTGGATTTGAGCCTGGTCCCATGGTTGATCTTGCTGTATGCTACAATGACAACGTCGACCAAGATGGCAAACCGGTTTCTGTATGGGACGCTGCCTTGGAGTTCGCCAATGCTGATTTTCAACAAGACTTGAACATGTTCCGCGACTGCAAGCATGATATGGAAGGATTGCAACAACGCAAGTTCTCAAGCTCTCTTTGGGATAAAGAACGGGTTCCCGAGGCCGCTTTAAGATACAGTGCTATGCAAGCCTGGTTACTCCATTACATTTATGAACGTACCCTTGAACGAGGTCATCCCCCTATCAAAGATTATCATGTTTGGCAAAGCAACACAAAGTACTCCCTTGAATTGTAATACTTTCACTCTCACTCTCTCACAATAAATGGTTGTATATAATATACATGGGTATCCAACATGTATGATCAATGTAGAAAAAAAAGCAAATGCAAAGGTCACAACTTTATAATTTGAGCTATGATGAATTGCCTACATCCAGTTCTTCTGCTTGTTCTTCTTTGTTCATGCTTTTGTAAGAATAAATCTTGACATATCCATCTAGAGAGAGGATCTGTGAGTAAGGGAGCTCCAGCTCATCCACCACCATCACATGCTTACCATCACCACTAGAGAACACCAATGGTCTATAAGGATGGAAGAGGACATCACGTACTTCCACGTCTAATAATAAAACATGAATACCCATGATGTCACGTTGTTTGTTTCACCTTCTTACCTTGATGTTCTTTCACTATGCCCGTCAATTGCTCCGTCAACATGTTGAAAATAAAGAGCTGACCATAAATAGTAGGGGCAACAATATATCGTCCATTGGATGCAATCTTGACGAGCCATGAATTGGCATGGTAGCTATTTTCCAAATGTAAGCAAAAGTGAGCAACATGGTCAAGTTTTTGTAGTACATACTCTTCGTGCTTGTATCGTTTCACTTCTTCCATCTTAAACTTGCCACCTTGTTCAGAAGGATACACCAGCTTGTGCAATGTACATGTGTTGGGTATGGATGCTACATACATGGATTAGATAACGTTATGAATTCCACCCTCCCCACCTCCAATCTACTTACACACGCCATCTTCTACATCACACATTTCTGCGCCTCTGCTGATAAACCATGCATATTCTTCATTGGAAGCGGTGTTGTTATCCTCATCCATTTTTTCCACATTGATCTCTTCTTCTTCTTCAGTCTTGACAGCTGCTGATGCTGATGCTTTTGCTTGTGCCTCCTTGTATGCTGGCTCATCCACCCATTTGATGAATTTTCCACAATCGCAATAGGATGAATATATACTCTCAAAGGTTTGAAGCAGCTATTGTATGTGTTGTGTGTGAGTAACAAATAGACCGAGATGATCAAGGTTACCTTGTCCAGAAAAGCTTTTCCGTTACCTTTGCTTCCTCAAAGTCATACAATCGCAAATGTTCATCACATGCACCCACAAAGTACTTGTTGCCAGTGTTGGGCACAAACGATACGGTAAATGCCATGCATGTCTCTCCATCATCCATCCTTGTTGATTCAACCAATGTCCTAATCATCATAACACCATGAATCAGCCTTGCTCTCTTCCTCTCTCTCTCTCTCTCTCTCTCTCTCTCTACAAGTTTCCCGCACTTACGTCCAATCATTCTCCATCTTCCACTTGATAATATAGCCGTCTTGACTTGTTGATATATAATAGTTCTCCCCCTTGAACTTGACATCCTTGATGGTCAGAATTTCTTCCTCGTGTCCTTCAAGTCGAGCCACGACCTTGCTTGACTCCATGTTAAAGATCTGGAAAGCACAATCAGTATGATGATGCATGTGTGTGTGTATGTGCATGATACATTACTTTGATAGGACATGGAAGAATATGGTTATCTTCATCTTCTGCTGACCATCGATGACGATCCTTGAGCTTGCCTCCCGTGACAATATGATCTTGCATATCCGAAGTGAACTGGCCACAGTAAAACTCATCAATGTTCTTCTCATCAGGGTCGCGTAGCTTTTGAATCAACTTGAACTCGTTCTCAACGTCCCAAATCTTGACAGCACCAATGTTTGAAAATGTCGCCAGCATGGTACCATCCGCTGATAACGTCATGCCAATAATAGCAGCTAATTGTTCCGCCATAAGTATACCCATGATCCATCCATCCATTTCATATCATTCATTTACCTTGATCACTGACATTGAATGGTAAAGCTTCCAAGGTTGCCTCATCATTGACTTTATCAATCATTTGATATCCAGCATCAGCGTGAAACTTCCAATAGGGATCAGGATACTCTTGAGCCAACTTTTTGGTGTAATCTGGATCAAATGCAACCACCTTTGGCTACACAACAAGAAAAGCCCATGTCAATGCCATGTACAAAAAAGACACATTCTCCTATACCTTTTGCTTTCCCTTGGCTGTTTTACTACGTGACGATCGTTTGTTGCTGCTGCCAGTTTCTGATTCACTATCATCGATATCCATATCCTCTGTGCTTTTGGCTCCTCCCTTACGACGTCGACTACTGGTGGTGGTGGTACTCGTTGCAGCGCCTTTCCCTTTGCGTCTACTAGAGGCAGTCGTCGATTTGCTTGAAGTCCAATGCGTTGATTTTAAGGAAAGCTCGGCTTCGTCCAAGAGATCGTCCGTGTCAATGTCATCCATGTCCTTGTGATCGTCGGCATGAGCATCCTTCATGGACTCTTGATTTGCAATGGTGGTGGTGGTGGTGGTGTTATTCTCTTGATCTGAAGTTTCGGCCATGGTCGAAAAGGAAGCTTGCGAGTCGTGTGTGGATACGTGAAAACAGAGAGAGAGAGAGAACGTGGGGTTCAACAAAGAAGAAGAAAAAAACAACGATCGCTTCAAAGTGTCCAGCAGCAGCAGCAACAGCAACAGCAGCAGAAGGCAGCAACAAGCTCAGAAATGTCAAGCGCGACAAACGCGCCTGCCAACTGAATTTGAACGCCAATTCGCGTATACACATAGACCATTGTACCTGAATGATGGTGATGTACCTGGAAACACTGCCTAAAGCCTCCCTTCCATAGTCGTGGCTGTGATGGAAATTAGAGTTGATATCGAGAATACCTTATAACCCACCAACCTATGTACTGATCAGGATTGTCTCCTTAAGATTTCTATGTATGAACAAAGATGATGTCTCATTATGTGAAAACAAAGACAATGCGTGCACTTTTTGAGATTGGTGGTTCCCTTATCCAGTTAGCAGGACAATGAAGGTGGTTGCTGCGTGCAACAAAATGATATTGGCTACGTAATTGTAGAGGTGACAGCACCAGTAAAGAAAGATCCACACAAAATGGTTGCTTTGAGTAACAATCCCAAAGGTGCATGAGAGTCGGGGAGAGAGTACATGGGTAGTAGTAGACAATGATTCCTTTGGTTAGAGGATGTTACAAGGCGGTGTTGGTAATAGCCATTATTGATAGGCAAATACGCTATCCTTCAGGGATTAGCTTTAGTATACTTTTGGGGTGGATGTTATATGGGAGCTAGTAGCATGATGTAAGCGTTTACTTGATATCACCCTGCTGGGCATTTGACCACGCCAATTTACCCGAGAAGCAAAGATGAAGATAGAGCACTCATGTTATCATGCGACCAATGTCCACCCTTTGTGACACATCCACATGCTCGTTGTATTCAGTACATCGTAACTGCTTTGATGCAGAGGGTATGAATGATGATATCTCCTTCATGCGGCAAGCATACAATAAAGTACCTTTTGCGATACCCTATCTCAGCTCTTAGTAATCATTTGTCGTAGATGCCATCATCTAAAACCTACAAGCCAACATCATCCCAGCGGCACGACTCATCCCGAAAGCAGCAAAACAACAAGAGCTTCAATGGGGGTGCCCTTGTTCAGGGTCCGTGAAAGATTCAGGCACTATTATGTAAAGAAACGGGGCATTTTAGTTCAACGGAAAAAAGTGTGATGTAAAGGCGGGGCAAAAAAAACATCCCGCCCACTTGCGGGGCCCCCTTTTCAACTTTACCCAAAGCCTGAAACCTCCCGATTCCCAACAAAAGATGACCTTTGAACACGTCAGCAGAGACAACGGGAAAATCACTTTGGAGGAGGGTCCCGCTCAGGGTCCAGAGAAAAATACTGCACCCTATTAGAAGATGATGAATTTTTCTATCGCAACCACCGGGAATATCGGATGTTGTTTCTCCCTCACACCAAAACATCATCAGGGTTCCAATCATGATGATTAAGGATTCTTGTAAGCTTAGACATCCAGATGCTCGGTTCCATGCACCTTTAACATTCCCACTTTTGGGTGAAACCAATCCCGGTATTCTTTACGAAACGCATGGTTGCAGCAAAAAAGAAAAATGCTACAGGGCGGGGCTCCACGAAAAAGAAGCATATGTTTTTTTGTACACACTTTTACCACGTGGCAACCAAGACAAGGGATTGTGTTCATCGATACTACCATCACAAGATCTGCCTTTTAGAAACCAAAGGGTCAACCCGCGGAAGGGATAAGGTGATTGTTGCAACATACCATCTCATTTGTATGGATTTTCGACCGCCGTATGTTCCAAACGGAACACAACATCTCTATCAGCACATAAAATTTTCGTAATGTAGCCAAAAAGTCGTACAGAGAAATAATAGCCCATATGCAAGGTGTGGTGGCCCAAAAGCTTTTCACATGTACTTTGCACAAGATCGGTAAAGCCAAATTGACTATCCTGTCACCCTACTATCGAGCCCTGACATAAGCAAACCCTGGGGTACGTACCAAACCGAAACAGAAAATGAGATACGTTTCATTGTGCACACACACTTTTCGGTTTAAATGGGGTATGTCTTCATTATATATGTACAACAGAATAAAAAGAAACGAAACGAAACGGGAAGTAAAGGACTAAAGGATGATGACGAGGGAAGAATTATATGCGTTTATCGATCGGTTGAATAGCACACTGCTCAAGCACTTTCGTACTTTTCGTGATGATGAGACTTTTCGAATGATAGATCAGAAATGCTACCATCCTTTTCTTCGCCTTCGATAGGAAGGTTGGTTTGGGTAATCTTGTTGGCGACTGCAAAGATACCAGGGAATGAGACGAACACAACGATCCAGCAAGCCATGCAAGCCCATCGAAGTCGAACACCAGCAGCATCGATACCAAAGGCCACAGCTGCACCAGCAGATTGCATAGCCTTGTAGAAACCAGCATAACGAGAAAGGAGACGAGGATCGTTGGACATGGCACCCATCAACCAATACATGTAGGATTGATAAAGGGCATCACTCAAACCATAAGAGAGATAAAGAATAAAGGGACGACCAAAGCGCCAATCATCCCAGTGGATAGGATCATCGTAATCGTTTTCAAAGGACAATTGGAAAACCATGCCACCAGCCCAAATAGCCATCATGACAACAAAGAGAATACCGCCACCAAGAAGGGCACGTGCACGACGGCTAAGACCTTGATAATCGAGGATAAAGCCAAAGACCAAAGAGCCAATGATTTGCATGCCCCAGTACATGGTACCATTAAGAGCACGGGTAACAGCATCAAAGTAAACAGCGTTCACGTGAAATTGGTAAGAATAAAAGTAGTTGGAAGCAAAGAAAGCGGGAATCTATCATCAACACATGATGTAAGTATATATGGATGGTGGCATGATGATGATAAAAAGAACATACCAAAGCGACAATGCGCCATTCAGTCCAAACGTTAAGGACACCTTTCAATTCGTCGAGCCAATGTGCTGATTTGGTGATAGTAACAGGAGTGCCATCGCTGCGTTTCACCAACGAAGGTGGGGCAAGGATCAAAGAAAGGAAGATGCCGACAATCATAATGATAACAAAAGCCGTGTAGGTGCCAGTGGACACACCACCAGTGCCACCGCTTTCCAAGTTGATGCCAAGGGTGATAACGGAGCCAAGGATACCACCAATGTTGAAAAGGGCCCAAAAGATAGCGACGTATTTGCCCTTGTTCTTTTCTTCAGGGTAAGCCATCATGATGGCACCTTGAGCGGACCAAAAGATACCGGCACAGCAACCAAGAATGGCACCTGCAGCAATAACGTAGCCTGAGATTTGCTTTGCATCATAAACCCACAAGGAAGAAGAGTAGATAACATAGCCAACGGAACCAAACTACAAGAGATCATTTTTGAATGAGTATACACAAGCTGTCAAAAAAGATTTCTTTGTGACCACTTACTGTCAATGCAAACTTGACGCCCAATGTATTGGTGACTGAACCAGCAAAGAAACCAACAACGGCAAAGCAAGCGTAAAGAGCACTATTGGCAGAGTTGACCAAAGCGATATCGGAGGCCATCATGCCACCTGCACCAAGACCGTTCAAGGCATTAAACATGCCTGGGCAGCAAAGACATACTAGACCCAGCAGAACCACTTGTACTAGCGGTGAAGCTAGTCTATTAAGGAGGGATTTGATCATGTGAAAGGAAAAAGGATCGGATGTGAAAGAAAAGGTAAAAGAACGAAAAAAAGGGTCGGGGGTATTTATATGTGTTCCAGCTGCTGCAGCAGGCAGTAAAACCGGGAATGCTGGAACGAAAAAATGTAAGTCCTCCCGTTCTTATTTTCTACTGCGATCTTTCTTGTGTGCGTAAATGAATGGCTCATTGTCTTGTGTGAGCCGGCCGAAATGGGATGTGCCTATAGATATAATTAGGACAAGGATGCATGATGTTTAATGAGCGAATTGGCTTGCATGGATGATGTGTGTGGATGTGTGGGTGTGTGGGTGTAAACAAGCTTTGGGTGGGTATTGTGAGAGAATGGAGACCCGTGCTTTGTAATGAAAAGGGTCCATAGGAAGTCCCTTTTTCGACATTATGTCATGAAGTTATCTCAGGGTTTGTCGCCATGATACTAAATGCGACCCCACTTGAGACTTTTTCTTTTGATTTCCCACTTTCCCCGCACATTCACACGCCTTGGTTCAATGACCGTCAAACCGACCAATGATGTTGAGGGGCCCCAGGCCCAACTCAAGGTGCCAAGAGCAACCCCACTGGTGCTTCGAGTTGAAATCCCGAAGTTTCACATCCTTCTAGTGCAACATTACCAGGCCAATCCAATGCTCAATTTCTCTTACTATCCTGACCCCTTGGTGTTGTTGTTGCACCAATTGTGAGATAACGCCCACGCTCGGAAAAATGGGAACCCCGCTCATTATTATCCCCACCCAGCTCTTGCTAAACCAACCCAACCCCCTCCAACAACATCTTGTTGACACATGTATGTATATATTCAATGTGATTACTTTGTTAATTTTTATTGCTATTATGTACAAAAAACGTTGCATGGGGGAAGTTCGTATGGTAAGTTGGGGGAGGGAAAAGATAAAAGCTTGATCATTGTAAATGGGGAAGTGAAGGGAAGAGGGGGAATAGAATGAAAAGCTACATAGATATGGTGGGGGGAAAAAGACATAAATGTGTGATGGGGGAATGCATGGAGTAAAGAGACATGGGATTAAGGCTTCTTTGCAAGATCCATCTCACGAAAAACTGCTTCCAAGTCGCGTTCTTCTAACGCTAGACCTTGATGGGTTGACTTGATGTGTCGTGCAACTTGGTTACACAGCTCCTCCACAGTGAACAAAGAGAAATGATCGTGCTGTGTAAGCCGCTGCCAAACTTCGGCCGTAGTCAAAAGTCCTGTGGTATGGTTTGAAGTTGGGATGCTTGTTGACGTGGTTGTTGTTGTGGTGGTGGTGGTGGTTGTAGGTGCGGCACCAGCAGCTGCTGCAGCACCCGTGTCTTGTTGGTGAGCATGATGTTGGATCACCAAGCCTCCACTTGTATCAAAGAGAGGTTCAGATAGCAATTGTTCAATGACATTGTTGGATACTTGGTTATGTAAAATTTGGCAAAATTGTTCCTGAGATGATGAAGATGATGGTGAAGATGAGTTTGTTGATGTTGCTGTTGTTGAAGCTGTTTCGCTTGCAGGCTTCTTGGGACGCAACGTGGCAGGCGTGCTGATAGAAAATGTGTATTGCTGTTGATGTTGTTGTTGTTGATGCATTGGTGGTGGTGGCGATGCCGTGGTAGGCATAGCAGGTGCCAAAAGAGGTGGATGATGAGGATGATGATGAGGATGTGTGGAAGCTTGAGGTGATGCTGCAGCGTTAACAGGAGCAGCACCATTGCTTGTAGGAGGCGTGTACATGATATAAGGGCTTGGATGAATAGGGAATTGGATATGGATTCCCTTCAATGCAAAGTTTTCAGCTTCCAAACGATACACCACCGAGCGCAAATGTTGGTTTTCTTGAACAAGCTGTGAAGATGCATGAAAGTGATTGTCTTGAAGTTGCTTGATCTTTGCTTCCAATTCCTTAACGTATCGTTCTTTGCGTTCACGAAAAGCACGTTGTGCTGCACGATTTTGTGCCTTGCGCTTCACCTTTGGATCATGTTCAGCCTAATTATCCTTTAGCATCAGCAACATGTTTTACATTAAAAAGAGGTCTACGTACGTCTTGCGATAAATCGTCATCATCAGGCATTGGCTTGCGTCCAGGCTTTCGGCTTACACTTGACAAATCATCACTTGTGTCTATATAACATGATGATTAGCATTCATCTTTTAGACGTACGTATACGTGTGTATAGGCTACTTACATTCATCATGGGATGAGCTTGTCGAAGAAGAGGGCGAGTCGATATCTATTAGGTAGAGAAATTAGGTTAACTTCAATGGCAACTACCATCATTGTGGCACACAACAACGTACGTGCGAACTTTGAAGCATTAAAGTCATCAGCTTCATCCCGTTTTCTCTTCTCGGGGAAGTGGTAATCGTCTTCAGCACCGATATTGAGATAAAGAGAAGTGGGTGATCCAATAGCAGTTCTTGTCAAAGACGAAGGCAAGGAATCGGCAGGGCTCAATATCACAGGTTGGGCAATGGCTGGATCATGAACCGAAGGCACAAAGCTTGGTGGTGGAGAACCTGCTCCTGTGCATACTGCACCATCAGTATGCGAAACACCAGAATGAAGGCGAACCGCTTGGAACTTTTCGTAATGCGTTGTCATGGTTAAGATAAAGGGGCTTCAAGAGCAACAGGCGGTATGGGCTGACAAGATGTGGAATAGTGGCCGTTTTGTAAATCAAAGCCTTCCAAGGCTAAAAGTTGAAAGAAAAACGAAAAGAAAGATATGAAAACAAAAAATTCTCGGTAGAACTAAATATTATATATACTTTCCGGTCATAAACGACTGGTTTCCGTCATGTGTTAGGACGCCTTTCCTTGTATTATATGTTGCTGGTCTGAGGTTAGCAGAGGCAGTATCTGAAAAAAAAGAGAGTTCCATATGTTGTTTTCCCGCTGATAAGGGGTTGTCTTGGTGTTTCTCGAGGTTGTTTTCAAAGTTTTATTAAAGATAACCCACTTTTACACGTTTTCAAGGTATTAGCATTGGCGATCATACTTCTTGGTGAACTCCTTCTGCCTACTTCTTTGACGACACAATCCAAATTCCTTTTTTGGTTTACTATGCGGGGGAAATCGCTCATTGGCCAAACTTGGTCTTAGTAACGCGTTGACCCTCCGCTGCAATTTCCTTTGCTCTTGGCCTTTCCCCGCATCGTCATAAACCAACGTGTTGGTTTTTTCCCATAAATGACTAAACTTTTGAGCCTCGGGTACGACACCATATACAGATTAAATGAGACGGGTACCTGGGACTTTACAACAACATGGACAACAACATTGTATGTATACATAAGTAAAAGTGAAATGTGGTGTGTATTGTATATGGTGGAGGAGATGATGATAGTCAAAGGAAAAGAATTAGGCACATAGGATAAGATTAGAATGGATTGGACTAGCTGACATCATTCATGCGGTAAAAAGGTCGGCTGGCCTTGACTTGGCGATGTCTTCGATATAAAAAGAAAGCTACAGCTGCTGCGCCAATGGCAAATACAATGACACCAACGGAGATACCAGCCTTGCCACCAGTGCTAAGGGTATGGCCACCACTTGGTACTTCATCGCCTGCTTCTGAATCCGAACCATATTTGTGTGCATCGCAAGTAGCCTTTTTAACAATCTCCGTGGCATTGCATTGATAGCCACTATCTGCAATCTGTCGGGTGTAATCTCCTTTTGCAAAGTTGCGTAACCATGTAAGTTGATAGTCAGGCTCGTAGGTGGGCGCAAACATGTGTATCACATCTATGTTGTTGTTGTCAAGTCAGCTCCTCCACTTGATGATGACAGCCGAATTGTTGGGCAATGTTATTATACCTCTCAAAGCTAAATCCGGGCGGGCGGGAGATCGCTGCGACCAATCTTTTGTAAATAAACAAACACACCAATCAGCAACGAGCGATCCACACACCATCTGTTTCAATGCCACTCCTTTTTCCTTACCTGAAATGCCATTGGTATTCACTAGCCCATCCGTACGATAGAGACCCTTATCAGCAATGAAGGGTTCATTGTAGATATCCGTTCCTGAAACAAATCCACCAAGATTCAACCAGCTGTCGTATGATTGGTTACCAAGGTTTTCAAGAGGCGTGATATCAATGACATAGTCTGCAAGTCGAATAGCGGTATGGAATTCATTCAATTGGGTGTAAACGTTGCTTTGTGCTGAATTGGGTGAAATCAACAAGGCTCCTGTTGTCATTGTTAGCGATATCCAGAATCCCAAGTTTCTTCCACAAAATCAATTACCGGAATCCTTGACCAGCGCCGCATGAAAATTATCATTGACGATCGTCCATGAATTGTTGGTTGGGTCGTAAGAGGTCCAAGCAATGTTCTTTTTATCCGCCATGTCTTCAAGATTCGCCTTGTGACAATTGTAAATGTTGTCAATGTTGCCAAAGATGGTAGTGGCTACACCTTCCATGTCGAAAAACATTGCAATGTAGACCAGCCATGATGCTTTCTGTGTTCAGCGGTGGCGGCGATATATCAGCAAAAAAGATTTCCATCTCGATCAGTTTTTTTTTTTGGGTGTTGACACCTACCTGCAAAGGGGACAAGTTATCATTATCGGGTGTAAAGCCAACATAAGGAGGGTTGCCCTGAAGGTTGGTGTTGCTATGTTCACTGAACATAAGATCCACTGTATTCGAGCCAGGTGTATCGGTCACGTTGCCATAGCATGGCGAGGTCACGTTTTGATATCCTTGAATAGCTTTGACGGAATCGGCAAGGCCCAACAACTTGCAAGAGATGGCGAGAAAGAGAAAGAATCAACACCCTGTTGAAGGATATTTCCTTTTGCAAGCAACCTACCTCCATGTATGGAAGGATATCACGCACATTCTCAATGCCGACATTGGTTACTGGGGTATTGATAGCAGCATTGTACTGGTTGGTAAAGTTGTCCAAAGGCTGATCACAGCACACCAAAGCATATCGTTCGTTCAATTGATGGTTGGTCACCACCTTGTACCAGTTGTGATATTCGACTGAAAAACCATTAGCACTATCTGGATTTATAGCATTAATTAGTTAGAGCGTGTGTGGGAGCAGAACGTGAAAATCCCAAGAGTCGAGTCGACGTACCGTTGGCTATGCTGAAAGACCAGCTGTAATGGTTCACCGAGGGATCAAAGTCGGCATTCTGGGCATCGGCAATGGCAAGGACCAAGGAAATGCAAGAAATGACCCGAAGGAAACGGGCAGCAAATCGTGTCATTGACGAGAAGGTGTGTTGTAATAAGACTAAAAGAAAAAAAGATGGTGCGCTGGTAGATGGGTGTGTTGCCCAAAGAACCATATGATGCCGGTACACCAAAGTCCGCACAAGCTTTGTGTATCCTTAGCAACACTCACTCTCACTATGGATCATCCTCTACTACTAGTACATAGCCCTTGGCACAATGTGAACTAGACAAATATATACATACATCAGGGGCAAAAAGTGATTTGTTATGACAGCTTGGTGATGTAGGGTCATCAAAACATTTTGACAACATTCCCGGATGCTCTATTTACTCGAATCGATGAATGTTCTTTTTATTCTATTATGCACTACAATGGAGCAAGATGGATCAAACAATGCTTGTAACATGGCCTGTTACTTTGGTGGATGGTCGTTTACTTATAGCCCAAGCTCATTTACATGTTCCTCTCTCAGCCGTTACAGGTGAATAAAACATCCCCTTGCCAATTGATTACTACTTTGTGTACAATGAAGATGCTATTACGGTGGCTGTATTGAATCCTATTGCTATCCTGAGCACTAAGATCATATGACATAGCTCTCGTGATGACCTTATTATATAGACTACAGCATCCATGCTCTTGTTCACCAATACATACATCTTGATCATGCGACTCACCTAGTTGATGTGCAGCAGCTATGTACATGGCAGCTGCGTGATGTATACATATGCTGGCTGTGGATAGTGGTTGGCCCTGAGGTCTATAAGCGTAGCTATGCATCACCTCATGTCACGTAATTTGCATCCAAAATCAATCCATGTCATGCATGGCTAAATCATTTTCTCTCTATACATCCTCGTACCCTTACAATGAATGTAGCCAAGCCCACAATGAATAGCGTAAAACGCGCACAATGAATGTCAACAAAGACTCATAGCAGTGATAAGCAAGCGAAGCGTGGAGTGAACGGACCCGCTAGCTTATTTATGGTAATATGATTTGGTACTACATTGCATCCATCGAATTCTTGATCGTGTAGTTTGTAGTCAACAAGGTGCGTGTATCTTTATTGTAGTAGTAGAATGCGAAACAGATCAATTCAATGTATGTGAATAAGGTAGCTTTATTGTTTATCATATGAAAGTGAGAGTGAGGGTCGATACTAAAGAATGTCAACATTCTTATCACGGATACGGATTCCATTGGCCGGCTGGCTATGTGTGCCACCGCATGCTTGGCGTGTGTGAGAATGCACAGAAAACAACTTGTCGACTCCTTTGTACTTCCACACCCGAACACACACACACCTCTCTTTCTCTCTCTTTTCCGGAATGCGAATTCACATACGCTTCATTGCTCTTTTCCTTGTGGCCATTGCTGGTGCTGCTGCATTCCGCATCTACCATGACAGCATTGTCGAAGGTGAGACACACACACGCGCGCGTGTAGAGATTCAACGTCGTCGTGTTGACATTATGGATAGCCATTCAAAGGGTCGCCATACGCATGCGAGCGTATCCATATAGCTCCATTATTTTGGGATTGATGATACTGGCAACATCGACGCCACCTATGTTGGGCTTTACATTCCTTGTCACCTTGTCCGGTTTCGTCTATGGTTTCCCCCAAGGGGTTGCGCCTGCTATGATTGGTAAGAGAGAGTGTGTGTTGTGTGCGTACCTATCCAACGAACAATGGCACTCATTTAGAGTTCATTCATTCATAGGTGGTTACGTGGGAGCTATGATTTGTTTCGGGTAAGTGATGGTGGTGATGGCATCATCCATCAAGGAGGTCATCAAACTAACATGGCTGTTTGTGTGTAGATTGATTCGCCACTACAATTTTGCTCGGTTCATTCGGCTTTCACCATCCAAACAAGAGAAGTATCATGCGATTCAAGAGGCAATTGCAGAAGGAGGCTTTGGTGTAAGTTCATGAAACATGACAAAAAAGGAGATCCCTATTTTGTAACAGGATGGATGATGGTGTTGTAGATGCTGCTGATGATCCGCTTGACACCGATTCCATGGCAATTCACCAACATGATCTTGGCGTTGATACCCACCTTATCACCTAAACGATACGCCATTGTGACATTTATTGCATCGTGGAAATTATGCTTGGAAGTATGGTTTGGATCCCAACTTGCCAGTTTATCCGATCCCGATTTGCCTCCTTCGGCCCATCGCTTGACCATGGTGACGCTTGGTGTTGGTGTGTTGATCTTGGTTGGATTGGCTTTATGGTTACATCGTTTGACATTGACCAAGGTCAAGCAAAGACAAACAGTAAATCAAGGTGCGTGAACGGTTACATGTGTGCCAGGATACCCCTCATACCATGGTTTCCCCTTTTACCCATCAATACCTCTTCCATTGTATCATATCATACCCACACAAAAACTAAAATCCTGATTGTAGTATAAAAAGTTCTTGTCGTCCAATTCTTATTTATGCGCATGTGTGAGAACAAGTATACAGCAACAATAATACAGCAACACACTCTCTCTCTTCAAGGCTCTGGCAGCACGATATTAGGGAACTTTTGACCACATCGCTTACATACACACTATATCCCATTATTGTCAATACACACATCTATATCATCGTTTTTATTAAAGCAACCCACTTACATATCGACGACCACGCCAACCGCACAAGTAGGGGATGATTAAGATGGCAAAAAGTAGAGTGGTGTTGGTATAATGCATTCGAAGTTCATGGTATCCACCTTCAGGACATGCTGGGCCGAGTGATTGCTCGATACGATAACGTTCTTCCATAAATGCTGGACGAATAGGTTGCCCATAAGCATCATAACCTTGAACACCACGTTGGCATTCTGGCGTGGCACCTACGACACCAGGATATTGACCACTGCTACTACTGGTGTTGGGAACGTTGTTGGATGCTTCTTGTTGTTGTGGGGTGTAAGGTGGTGGTTGCACTTGTTGTTTCTTTTCCATCCTTCTTTATGGGAAAGAAATGCATCCTAAATGGTGGTCCATGGAGGGGAAGATAGCATGACGTTTTCTTTGGAGCATGGGTCTCGTGTCCTCTATGTGTGTGTGTGTGTGTGCATACGACGTGGTGGTGTCTGAGCCAAATTCCCCCATGTCAATTTTCGATCCATCTCTCACTCTCCTTTTTCATCTAGTCCATTCTTCAACATGGTGGAAAATGAAATGCTGTGTGAAAGGAAGAAACAAGCTTTTGGAAACAATGGCTCAAGGGAGATGCTGATAAAAAGGAGACAATCAATCTTCCAGAGAATTCCAGGGGATTGGATATGGGGAGTGACATTGGTTATGTACCCAAAGGGAAGGGGGTTCTTCACATTGGCGGAAAGGAAATACTTTACAATGACACGCGGCATTGCATTGCAGTAATATGGCACCATCACATGATTTACCATGGATTGTTTATTGTTTCGGTACATGTAAAACCTCCCTCTCCTCCCCCCAAAAACGCCATTTCCCTCCTTCCCTTTTCTTTATGGTCGGATTACGTCAAACTGCAGATCAATTAGAAACATCCCTTAAAAGTAAACTTGCAGCAGCAGCAGCACACCCATCTTCTATTAGGAAAAAACGATAAAGATATATATATATATGTATATTGTTGTGTGTGTGTGAGTCTCTGTAGTAGGGGTAGAGAAAATTATCATAGCGTATGTAGTGAAGGATGACGAGCGAAACGAACCAGTACACTAAGTAATTTTTCTTGTATGTGTGTGTGTGCGTGTGAGTGTATATATGTATGTGGGTGTGTGTGTCATGTAAAAGAAAAAAAAAGTGAGAAGGAGGCGAACGACGAGGAGGAGGTGGTGGTGTAATAAGAAGAAATCATAAGAAAAACTGGGATTGCGTGTCAAGACAAGCAATCCAAACCATAAAAAAAAAGCACGACCAGATGAACGAGGGCCAACAAACTGTACATGAAATGGGGGAGTGGGGGTGGATGAGAGGAAAGATGATGATAAAGAAAGACGTAGTAGTAGTAGGTGATGGTGATGGTTTAGCTTGATGAGGAGGAGGAAGGTTGTTGTTGCTTATCGGGTGTCACGTCTTCAGGCCGAAAGATCTTGCCACGTGCTGTCCTTCCGGTGGTACCAATCTTGAACGTTTGCCAGATGTAATTCTTGCACTTGTCTGCGTTTGGCAAATCCTGAATCATCTTTGCGATTGTGTTCTTACGTAAACCAAAAAAGTCGGGGCCCACAGGATTATGGCCATAATCCATGTTACGAATAGCAAATGCCCGTCGCACAGCAATGGTCCATACGGTGGTAGGTGTAGGTCCCATATAGACTTCTCCAGGATTATCATCCGCTTCCAGTCGGAACTTTTTATAGAGATGTATATGAGTGAATACCATTCAAGAGACACACAAACATTCACACAATACTTACAATAGGCTCCTGGCCACCATCCAAAATCTCGCATGTGTATTGTGTGTCACTGCGTGGGTCAACCATGCTTCTGTACCACCTAAGGAATAAAAAAAATCAGATGTTATTTTCTATTCCAATCATCGATCCTCTCTCTTTCTTTTTCTTTTTCTCTCTTTTTCCCGTTTCTCCCTTTTTCAACTTACTTTTTCACCTTGTATCCCACTGGATAAATGTATCTTTGATTATGAAAAGCCGGTCTATCATAAATCACATCACCAAGACTGAGCACGGTCCACGAGTCAATCTCAACGGGAAGTCGATAATTTCCATTGTCATCTTTTTCCACCTGCACAAAGGTACGCACATCATTCACATTGGGAGGTTTTGTATCACGTTTCTTTCTACGACCCACAGCGGTATGTTGTGTTGGCATACGCACATGTTGTTGTTGTTGTGGGTGTGGATAATGTGGTGGAGGTGGAGGTGGAGGTTGATGATGGTGATATGGATGATGGTGTGGGTGATGATGATGATGTTGTTGTTGTTGTAAGGATGAAGACGAGGAGGAGGATGCTTCAGCAGGTGGGAGTGGTTGTGTTGTTGTAACGTGATGAGGTTGTTGTTGTTGATGATAATAATAACGATCCTCTTTACGTAAATCTAGCAATGCTGAAGGAGGAGGTAATGACAAGCTGGGTGATGTACGAGTATGGGGCGGCATTTCAGATCTTGCAACAACAGCGGAGGATGGCGATGATGATACACGAAATGGATCCATGATTGGAGGAGAAAGCTTACGTTTCTTGAACGTATGCTCGTCGTATGAAGATGGCGAAGAAGAAGAGGGTGGACCTGCAGCAGCAGCTGAATGAGGTGGTGCTGGTGGTGCTGTAGCAGTCGAACTCGTTTCTTCAGGGGATAAACGACCAATTGGAGGCAACATACGTGGATAACGTGAAGACTCATTTGGAGGAGAAAGCGATTCAGTTGGCAACATGGATGGAAGGCTGATAACGCGTCGTACTTGAGAAGAGCAAGTATCATCAGGTACAGGCGATGTTGGTGAGATCTGCAATCCTCGTCTATGCACCAAGGTGTTGTAATAATCCATTTTGGAAATACGATGCGTCTAGTAACAAAGGAGCAGCAATGCGTGCGTGTGATGGATGCAAGGGAGTTGAGGAGGAGACAAAGTAAGTACATATGCTTAGTTGGATAATGAATACAGATCACATTTACTTACAGGGTGAAGTTGGAGTACAACCTCCACAGCATCTTCATCATTGGCTGCTGCATTACTGCGACTACGCTTCCCTGTCACTTGAATAGCCTTGTCACTTTCCTTGTCCAAGATCCATGATAACAAGCCATGTCCCTCCCAAACCATTTTGGATTCTGCCGTCGTAGTCATCTCCTCGAAATTGGCACTGTACACTGCACAATCGGCATCAGGATATAAAAGCATATCAGGGCTGAGATTAGAGAGAGAGAGAGAGAACAAGGTGAGTGAGTATTCATTTGGCCCTTTGCATTGTGATGATGATACCCACCATGAAGTACACAACTCCATCAAGCAATCTTTGAGAGGTACGGCTATGTATTCGGATTCATTATGCTCGATATCCATGGTGAAGGTGCATAGACACGTCGATTCGATTCCTTGGAACGTGTAAAAGACTTTGACTACAAAAAGAGGCATTCAATAAACGGCACCCTTCAACAAGCATGATACAACGACGTACCTTTGGTAGACTTCTTTTGTTGTTCACCACCACTACTTGTAGCGATGCTACCAGAATCCGGAGCCTCGGTGGAATGGCCTGCTGGTGAGAGTGACATTGCAAGAGAACGATTGGAGAATCACAAGAGAGAGAGAATGACAAAGAAGAAGAAGAAGAGAGAGAGCAGCTGGTCTACAGCAGAGAGGAAATGAAAATGATATAAAAGAGAAAAAGAGAGAGAGACTTTGTGTGTGTATGTGTGTGTTTTGAGCGTATACGTTTGATGATGAATATACAAAAAGTAAACTATGATGGATAGTTCATGTCACACACTTGACTTGAACCGAAGGAGAAAAGAAACAAGGAAAGAGGGAAAAAAGGGCAACGAAAGAGAGAGACAAAAAAAAGGGCCTGTGTAGTACCCACAGTTGGACTCGTACAGCAGCACGCACACACCACGACATATACACAATCCAGCAACAGCGATCGATCTGTTCCTTTTCGGGGAACTAACGCAAAATGATACGCGGCTGGTTGATGGCCAGGCCACCCACTCCAGCTACGCTACAGCAAAGAAAGGCCCTGAATGGAGCGCGTATCCAAGACATGAAAACTCAGACATGATTATTGCAGAATTCGATTGGCGGTCAAGTCTTGAATGGGGGGCTGAAATGAAATGACGAATCGTAGCACAACAAAGGAAAGCTTATCTCGTGTGCGTGTGTTTTTTAATATGAACAATGTGCTACTACCCATTCAAAACCGAGAACACCTACTTTTTTCTATTAATCATTTACTTCACATGGATACAAGGTTGCACGTGCTCCATGTCTTTCCAGTTCTTGGGGGAGGCAGAATGGGTGGTGGGAAAAAAGACTGGGGGATGATAGATGTTGGTGCCCTTTGGGATAAAAGATCGACAGCAGCACACGTAATCGCTATATTGCATGCTTCCAAAAATAAGTATCCATGTAGGACAAACCTAATATAAAATCATTCAAAAGATCCCCGCTGACAATTCCCTCACCCATTGCTTGTGCAACAGACAATGCAATTATATGAAACCACACGTGCGGGCAGTCATTGCTTGATTGCTCCTAAATATCCCATTCTCCTTGATTTCTTTACCAGCTGCTGCTGCTGCTTTCCTTCATCTCCTTGTTCACATCCTCCTCCTCCTTCTCCCCTTTTTCATGATGACAATAGGTAGAGAGAGAGATCTATCATCCATAACAACCCCCACACTACCCCCCACATAGGCATGAACCCTTGAAAAAGACAACGAATGTATAAAGGTTCCACATCCTTGTGCAGCTGTTGGGTCGCCGATGTGTGGTTGTATACTTTGGGGTTTGGCCCAAAGACAAGTGATACAAGCAATAATACTTTAGCCAATGAACCCCAAAAAAGCGGAGTGATGGCATATGGCACCAACCATGGGACGCTTTGAATGGCAGGTTTTCATTTCCCTTGATCACAGAAACATGCAATTGATGGCAGCACATGATTGCACACAGACTACTGTATTACAATGGGCGCCAAATGATTGGCTCCTCTTCCGATCTGTAATCCAGCAATCCGGATGATCGCCCAGCTTGTTTTTTCGAGATCACCTAGCAACTCTTTAAACTTGTCCCATACCTCTCTCTCTCTCTCTCATGGTGATGTGTGTGCATGTATCTATGTATGTGTGTGTGCATGCATATTGAATGGGTATAGAGATGTCATGATGGGTGATGGAGCAAGCATAAAATCTCAAGTTGCCTATCTCGGCGATTTTTCTTTCTTCCTGATTTTTACCGTGGGATGACTCTTTTACAGGAGGAGGCGATCACCGATCACTTTTAGAGTCTTTGTTAGGTCTTTTTTTTTGCGTGATGGATTATAGTTTTTCTCTTTGGCTCCGAATATCGGCCTATACTCGCTAAAGAAGATTAGAGTGGCTAACCACCACCACCACCATGCATTCTTTGCAAAGAGGTAATATAGACGTTGACCCTCGGCTCGTGATGAAGAATCAACTCGCTCGCTCTCTATATTTAGCTTTCCTCCAATCATAATCTTCCTTGTCAATTCGTTCCAGCTGCAGATGTGGTACGCCAGATTTCAATGGTAGATCATAATAAACAATAACTCAGTAATTGCTGCTGCAATGAAACTAAATATAGAATACTATAAACATTGGTCAAATTGACAGCTTGCCACCCCCACCCATCACTAAGTCCTGACATCCGAAAGGATAATGACAATGAAGATGATAGAGACATAGCGTGTATATGTACGATTGGATTTAACGTGATTTGTATAAGGTTAAGATCTCGTTGTTGATATGGTTTTAATAGCTAGTTCACCCGGACCCAATAATCAATCTGTCATCCTACTCGTCAACTAAACATTCTTAGTTTGTAATCCAAAGCAACAAGAAGGGAATCATTTGCTCGTGCTTTGTGCATACATGCATACTTGAAGAAAATTCACTCGTGTCATCATAATTAAGCTAAATGTAAACAAGCTCTTTCTTGACAACTACCATCCACCATCCACCATCCACTTTTCGTATTGTACAAGGATACATCAAGACACTCTTCTTCTTCATTGCAAATATACAAATGGGGCGTAAACATCATTGAATATGAGAGCGGATAAAAGGGAAAGGCATGTGTGCGTTTGTGTGGGTGTGGGTGTGTGAGGGTGAGAGTGCGTGCAAAAAAAAAAGTGTTACACATGTCCTGCATGCTATGCAGTTGGATATTATGGATGTGCTACGTTTCCCTGATTTCTTGCTTTGTTTATTCAACGCATTGATCTACGACCGCTATTGGCGCGTTGGTTATGCTGGTTGCTGAGACATAGTTGGAACAAATGTTGCATGTCAGGTCTTTGGGAATGGGTCATGCAGCCGTGGATGATGGGTGTTTCTCCACCATTGTAATGAGTAAGACGTAAATTGTCACCCTTGATGATTTGGACCAATTCACCCTATGATGGATTGTTGTAAGTAAACCTCATCTCATTCCGTTGCCATGATACAAGCCCTTACCGTGTCCACATGACGGATTTCAATGAATTGCTGATCTACAGCAAGGATATATGGATGCTGATACACAATATGATCGGGTGAACCGTTCCATTCGCATAAAATGGAGGACCTATTTCAAAAATGTCAAAACATGGATCCATCCATCTCATTCCTAACTTACTTTCCAGCACCCCGTTGCACTAAGGAACCATTTCGATTGTTGACATAGAACGCAAATCGATTATAGCACAGTAGGAATTTGTCCTGGATACGGTACATTGCCAATGGTTTGAGAGGTTCAGCATGACGTTGGATAAAATTGAATTGTGGATCGGCACTATCAGGGATGTTGCGACCACCAACCACCAAATTCTCGGGATCAATGATTTCAAAACCTCTGGATTCGACGACCACGCTCACTTTGGATTTCAAAAAGTGGATATTGCTTGCTTCGGCACCAACATAGAATTCCTATAATACACGCTCTTCAATATACTTGCCTTACTCGCATCCATCATTCATTACCTTGTAAAGCTTAAACCATGATGGGCCTGATCCACGGCTTGAAAACAAGCCCGTTCGTTGCGTAAACAACTTTTCACTCTTGGCATCACGCATATTGCACACCGGCTCCAAAGCGACAAAGACACTGCTTGTGCTCTTTTTCTTCTTGTATACCACCAAATCCTTGTAGTTACAGAATCCCACTTGGAAGAAATTCACATTTTGGGCCACTTCATAGGCACGGTCCGAGTTACGTGTGCTCTTAGGAGCATCAAGTGCATCAATAGAGTAAGCCTTAAGCACCTTGTCTGTTAAAAAAAGGGGGGTTGTCAATCTCATGTCCCCTTTAGCTTAAGAGCCCACCACCATCATACCTGTAAGCACCAGCAAAATGTGATGGCGTTCCATGACCGCGACTTGGGTCACATTATCACATGAGAGGACTGGGCGAACCGATGATTGACCTTCGGTCTTGATAAAGACACCAGCATCTGTTCCAATCACAATCTTGCGTTCACCTGTCATGGATACTATCCAATGATATATATACGTAAGTATATATACTATCACCCTTGTGTTATTCACTTACCAAAAGGCACCGAACAGCTGATACGACCTTGACCTGCCACCGAGCCAAAGTATCGGAAAGAGGCATCATCAAGCGTACGCACTTCAAAAACATCATTGTCGCCTTGTCGTTTACGTAACGCCGTCTTTGCTTCCTCAATAGCACGAATCCACTGCTGCTTTTCTTCATGGGATGCAACGAAAAAGTGATAAATACCATCACGATGACCGAGATGTTGAAGGGTGAGTGACACCATAGCAGGTGTGGGTGTAGTGGCTGAGGAAGATGATGCAAGGGCTGCTGCTGCTGTAGCGGAAGAAGTAGAGGTAAGCGTAGCCGAAGTGGAGCTGGTGGAAGTAGCTGTGGTGGTCGTTGTGCTGCCATAATAATCACCTCCAAGCGATTGAACAAAGAGCATCTGCATTGGAATTGGCCGTTTCCAAATCCGGTATTCGGTATCGCCATGGCTACCCTTGCGTACCTTGGTCATGAGCAACATGTGGTCAAATACAAAGGCATGGATGTCGGACTTTTCAGTCACTTCAATGGCCTGCGCACGACGCTTAAGATCACCTCGATGATAAAGACGACGTTGTGGATCGGTTAATTGGACATCATGTAATTCACCAGGCTTGCAAGTTAAGACGTCGTTGATGCTAAGAATCTCCACTTGTTGCTTGACAGCCGCCGTCTGCATATCCGAACGTGATGCAATGGCTTGAATCATCTCCTTACAATTCAAAAGGTAGCGACGATCAATATGGTCCTCATCCGTTTTCTTGATAATGGCTTGCAATAACAACGGATAGCGCTGCATACGTGTCACTGGATTCAACAAAAAGTGCCGGAATGCCAAGCGTCGGAAACGTTCATGCTTCTCACAATCAGCAATAAAGCGTGCAAACTCGGGATTACGCTGCTTCTCCACGGCAACGAGATATTCGGCTAATGGCACATTGGGTGTGTAGGTCGTGTATGGATCCGAATAATACTTGAACTCATCCACCAGAATATCACCAATGCCAGGAATACATTTGCCCTCGTATTTGCGTTGCAAATCCAATAGCTTCTTGAACAACGTATCGCTAAGCTCTCGCAACGTCTCAAAGTTTTGGAATACGGACTTGATAAAGTGCCCACGTCGACTTTCACTAATCACATTGGATCTACGCAAGGGCTCCACAATGACCTATCATCATCATCACCACCAAAGGTTATTCAACATATTCGTTTAGATAGAAAACAAGAAAGACTTACATCACGTAATGTATCCAAATCGCTACGATACACCTCTTCGGAATAAATCATTTCATTGATAGCCTCTTGTCGATCTCGTTCACGTTTTGGCGTGTTTTCCAAAAGTTCTCTTGGGACACGTTCAGCCCATGCTGTATGTGGGAATGTCTACAAATACGATGTCATCATCATCAACTCATGCCCACTTTGCCAATAAACGCTTGTATTATACCTTGGTGTCATCCACTGGGGATAATGTAGGATCCGAAGGACGTCGTGCCAACACGGCTTGAGACTATGGAACGTGTCAATGATCATGTCCTATTCACTTCTCTCTCTTTCTCCCTTTCTCTCTTACCATAATATCCTCCTCAAATACATCAGGTTTGTTTGGACATCGAGGGGCATAGCAACCACCTTGACCAGGCAAGCAATTGTAGGTGTAGCATTGGCTCAAGGAAGTAAAGATACCCACAGGAAGTTCATTATCCGCGAGATCCTCATCAAACGTATAAAACTGGTCCGAAGAGTTGTACACCTCGTTGGTAATAAGAGACTTGTAATTCTGGCGGATGGGCTGGAACAAGGGTGGAGAGCAATTCATCAAGGCATTGGCAATAAGCACACAATAACCCTCTGGTATGTTTTTGCTGGTCAAAATCTCTTGTAGTAAAGACTATATATATATCATCCATTGTCAGCCACGATAAATAGATATAAATATCCCAAACTTACAATTGCTTCCTGACCACTAAAAGACTCGGGGTACTCATTGGAACTTTTCACCTCGCGCACATTGGTGATACGTTTCATTCGATTCTTGAACGCTGTTGAAAGTTCGGTAAGGATCGAATAATCAACATTGACTTCAAGTGATAAGGACGAATAACGATTGTGCGTTGGCTTTAGACGTTCTTGTTGTTGTTGCTCGACATGTTCTTGAGCCTCGGGTTGAGCAAGTGAGAAACGAGGTGGGGGTGGAGGTGGTTGATGTTGTTGTAATACATCCTCTTCCTCTTGTGTTTCGGAACTGAATGTGGTTGATGGATAAGGATGAGGAGGTGGAGGAGGTGGAGGTTGCTGTTGTTGTTGATGTTGCTGCTGAGTGACAACGGGAGGATAATCATCATCTTCATCGTCACTGGAAATCGGAGAAACGGCAACAAATGGCACTTCATCACCATCAGCTCCAGTTTGTGATGTATCAATGGCAGAGGGTATAGCGTACTTTGGTCGTTCAATAGTGTTGATCATTTTGGCTGATGAATGATTACGTCGATGCATGGTGGTAGTATTCGTAGTAGTGGATCGCGCATAATCTTGCGATGATGGACGTGACGCATGACCTGTAGAGGAGGAGGATGACAATGGCTGAGGCGGCTGTTGTTGTGGAGGTGCGGGTTGTGAATAAGAGGGTTGCGGTTGCTGATATTGCATTTGCATTTGCATCTGCTGCTGCTGTTGATGCATCATCATTTGCTGATAAGAGTGGCGAGCTGTAGGTGAAGCTGGAGGAGAACGATGAATGGGATATTCGGGTTGTGCTGATGCGACTGGAGGTGAGCTGTGTGCAGGCACAACGCCGCTTGGACCATCCACCAAATGCTGAGGTGGGTATTGTGGCATCCCATAATTGTTACCAGCACCACCGCCTTGCGTAGTCGTAGTAGGATAGCTGTAGTTTTGACCATACATGGCTGGGTTGTTGTTGTTGCCATAGCCACCGTATCCATAACCACCATCCATCCGCATATCCGTACTAGCACCATAAGACCCGCTTCTATAATGTCCATTGCTTGCAGTGTTCTCCATCATGCTACGGTCATACATGGCCGTATCCTGACGTGGCATTTGATGTCCATAATCATAATATCCATATTGCGCATTCTGTACATCATGAGTTAGCCATCAAAGATACTTTTTATCCGAGAACAATAGGATACATACACTCTGCTGATGACCATAGTCATTGACGGGAGGACGATGCTGCAAGGATTGACCACGAGGTTGAGGAACAATGTGGCCTGAAGGATGGGTTGCCATTTCGTTCAAGTACGAATCGACCGAGTGAACTAGACCACCCATGGTACCGGGAGGCATACCACCACCACCACTATCATAGGCTCCTTGTTGCTGGTTCGACATGTAGTAACTGTATGAATTGCCAGCCAAGCGATGAAGGTCTTTTGTGTTTGAGGTTACGGTCCCCTACTCGGAAGCAGTTTGAGAAATAAAGACAAGGAGATAGCAATCGAAGCACAATGAAGCCAACCTTGAATGTTTATAAAGGAAGAATCAAGAGAGCTGGGGGAGCAGTGAAAGTAAGAGCGAAGCGAGAGAGACACAGACCAGTGAAGAGAAAGACCACTAATTTCAAACAGCCGCAAATGAGATGTCCGACATACTGCTGCTTGGGCTGAGGATGATTAGATAGAAGAAGGCTTAATCATTTACCAGGGCCTTCCTTAATATCATGTTCCATCTATTGCTACGTTACCATATAATAGGATTCGCTCTTTGTGGTATCTTAATCACTCATGAGATGGCTTCATTTCATTCTTTTCTATTTGGCATCGTAAGCTTTCTGTCAGCCTCGTGTAATATTCCTTCCTTTTGTACTACGGTCATATCGTCCGCCCACATAAATAGCTTGACTGCACACGTTGCTCATCGCCTTATACAAAGATAAAATGAACCCTACATTCATATGTGCACACTTGAATTGCATTACAAGGGATCCGCGCACGGTCCATTTAAACTTATTAAATTGGCATTGTAACGCCCTTGACGGCAGCCGTGTGCGATAATAACAAGCCCAATACAATATGATGATTGTTGTATATGTATACGGCTCCATTTATCGTTGATTGGTCACTTTTTGATCATTCATAGGCAATAGCAAAGACTCACAGGAAGGGTTGAAAGAAGTCATGGCACTCATGATAAAGCATTTGTAAAGAAAAAGAATCCAAAGTAGGTCATTCTTGGTTATTCATTATCAAGCAGCAAAAGAGTCATCTTGTTCATTCCCTATTGTCGTGTCCATCATCCCACATTTAGCAAGCGATAGTGTAGATGTTGCCGAAGAATGATTACAGCCCAGCCAATGACGGCATAACAATGTCATTTCAGGAAATCATGGACACGGGTTTACGGGTTTATTACAACAACAAGGGTCGTTGGCTTGCATGAGACAAAGAATTTTCTTTCTTTTCTTTTTCATTGTCATCATGCTCGGAATAGGGAATGCATTTCGAAGCAAGTTGTTTGGACGTGCAGCAGTAGCAGCAGCATCTAATCATGCAACACGTCGCTATATATGTCACAATCGATTCATGCGAAGAGTATCCATCATTGGTGCTGGTGGTGTTGGTTCAACGATAGCTGCAATGACCATGTCAAAAAACGTGGCTGATGAAATACTGCTTGTTGATGCCATGGAAGATTTTCTCAAAGGTCAAGTACTTGATTTGAGTGATGCCAACATCAACAATGGAACCAAAGTCCGTAGTGCCACTTGGAAGGAGGCTGGCCAAGCGGATGTCATTGTCATCACCGCTGGAGCGAAACAGCGTTCAGGAGAATCCCGTCAAGAGGTAAAAAAAAGAGGGTCCCTTTGTTGTTGACGCAAATGATAATAACAATCCTCCTCCTCCTCCTTCAGCTAGTGGATCGTAACTATGAAATTTTGAAGCAAGTGATTGGAGAAATGCAACCAATTCAAAAGGATGCCGTTATGCTTCTTGTATCAAATCCTGTCGATGTACTTACAGCAATTGCACAAAAGCTTGCGGGTCTACCCAAAAACAGGGTGTTTGGATCGGGAACCTTTCTCGACTCCTCAAGGCTAAATGTTTATTTGTCTGACAAGCTCAATGTAAATAATAATCATAATCCCGCCGCTGCATGAATGTTTTTCTTATCAAATTCTCACACCACGTGATGATTTATAGATATCTCCATCATCCATCTCTGCCTATGTTTTGGGTGAACATGGCGATTCGCAATTCATTGCTTGGGAAAGCGCCTCTGTGGCTGGACGACCCTTGCTATCATTTCCTGAAATCCAAGCTCTCGATAAAGAAAGCATTCGGAAGCAAGTCTCTAACAAGGCGATGGACATTATCCGGTATAAAGGATCCACATTCTACGGCATTGGTGCATGTGCAACATCATTGTGTGAAAGCATTCTACGTAATACCCTTGAGATTCGACCTGTCTCAGTGCATGTGGACAACCTTGACACTGTGCTATCAGTGCCAGCCAAGATTGGTGCTGGTGGTGCTGAAGAAGTGTTTCCTATTCCTCTCAGTGATGATGAACAACAAAAGTTACTAGAAAGTGCACAAACTGTAAAAGAGGTAGCGAGGAAATATCTCTTGTGATGAATAAAAACATCCTTTTATTTGCTCACGACTACTCTCTTGGCACACCAATCGGTGAATGTTTTGAGATCCTTCAGCCATTGCTCTTTTGATACTGCTACATTTGACTCGACAATGTAATCATGGGGTGCATCAGGTCGCGTGGCTATGTCGAGATCAACACCATCCTTCTTTAGCTTTTTGGCATACGCTTCCATCTGCGGCTTGAGAAACTCTCCACCACCCATTGTCAACAATACGGGACAAAATTCACGATAATCAGCGTAGATAGGCGATACATAGGGTTGTCGTAGCACTGCTTGACGCTCTTGCTGATTCAATTGAGCGAGTTGTGGCAAGTATCCCGAGAAGTAGCTCCGTATTTGCCAACTTCGTACAAAGTCACTGTCAACATCATTTTCAGCTGTAATCGAATGATCGTCATCGAGATCAATCCAAGGAGATATCAAGGCTGCTCCAGCAGGTAATGGAATAGGTGGAAGCTCAGCTAAATCTTCATGATGTCGTTGATCCCGTACTTTTAGCAGGGTCGCTGCTGTGAGATTACCACCAGCACTATCACCAGCTAAGCATAACATCAAGTTAAACAATGGATGGTTAGAGTTGATAGTAGTATGCACTTACCGACAATGATCCGAGAAGGGCTAATGCTGAGATCATGGACAAGGTAACGATACGCCGATACACATTCATTCAATGCCGTTGGATGAGCAGCCATAGGTGATAAAGAGTAATCGACCGAGAGAATGCGTACATCGTTTAGCTGATGATTGTCTTTGAGCTGGGAGATCATGTTCAAGAATGCCGGCATGTACTGAGTCGATGTCCCAAGATGAAATCCACCTCCTTTGATATATAAAAGTAAAAAGTGATTAGTGACATAGGATCAACAATCGATGTATGAGCATCATCCACGGACCATGAATATACATCACCACAAGGTCTGCTTCAGCAGCCGTCATTTCCACCCATCCTCTCGGATTCTTTTGCTTCTTGTGGATATCTTGCACGATCCAATCACCAACCCATGTCTTGAAACGAACTCGTTGTATGCTTGAGAAGTGTTCGCTTTCTGGCGCTTGCATCATCTTGAGTAAAGGCCTCTGGATAGAAAACGGAAAGCGTAGGCCTGATGCGATCAACTTGTATCGTATGCGTACTGGCACCAAGAAAATGTACTTTTTGGTAGCGCTAACCAGTGACCGAGACACTACCTATTGGAGTTAGTGATATCTGTATGTGCCTGGAACGCGTGAACTCATTGCTTACATAGACGTCTCCCATTGCTGGTCAAAAGGAATACGAGTAGCAAGGAAAGGACAATGCGTTTGAATGTCCATGTTGTTGCATCGTCATTGAGCTCCATTGAATTGTCGACTGTCATATGAAAGAAAAGAAAGAAAGAAGAGCTGCACACAGTAATTGATCACTCTGCTGCTGGATTTTTTCCCTTTTCGGAGCGATGCATGTAGACAAGCTTCCTTGTGAAAATCCCGCTCCATAAGTAAAGGTGCTGCAAGTACGGCCTACTCACGTGATGCTACAATAGAGCTGGCATAGAAAATGCTGTTGTTGGAATGCCATCGTCACCTCATAAAGCATCACTCATATAACTAGCTTGGCACCATATCCTCTGCCTGATCGACGCACGAACGTCACTGATGATGTGATAGCAGTAGCAGTGTCTTCGTACTAGACAAATAAGAAGCTTCATTCTTTCATATCCCACATTACGCAAAGATCGGTTGTCGTATTACTAAGAACTTCCCTTGGCAATTAAGGAGTCTACATTTCTATATGAAAGGCCACACGTTACGACCTTTTGCAAGGCTAATGTCTCTTTGTGGCTGCTACAGGGTAGTTCTTTGGGGGATGGAAAAAGGTGATACATGGCCTTCCTGTACCGGTAAGCACAAATCGCATGATAGCAATGCAATGCAATACTACTGTATAGTAGGGGTATATAAATTAAGGAGGCGGTAACTTGTTGGATGAAAAATTCTCGGCCAGGAATGAATACTTATGTATGCTGATAATGTTGAAAGATTATGGTTCGCAATAGATACATAATAAGCCATCCTATTAGGACACGCTACTACTACTAATATCGGCATGTCATTATACATGAAAAGTAGTACTATCATTTTCTTAAAAGGTATCCCCCAGAGATAGCATTACCAACTTCGATGCACGACCTGCATGCATAATGTACTTGATCGTGGTGGTAGTAGAGTTACCCCTTTTCTCACTTTTCTTTCTCACTTTCATAATACCAATCAATGTCTGGCACCACGGCAAATAACCATCTGGACCACAGATACGATATACAAGAGAAAGACGAGGGCACAATCGACAACAGCAAACTTGAAAGCGATATTTCAAGTGACTTTGATGATAGTCAGCATGACCTTATTACCATGTCAAAAGAAGTGAACAGCCATTCCCGAGGTCGGACATGGTTGATCGTTATCGGTCTTCAGCTGGCAATGGTCTTGGTTTCCATTGACAAGTACGTGTAATCATCTAACTCCCTATGATCCTATCATGTAATGATGGCTTTTTTTAATAGCACGGTGCTTACAACGGCGATGCCAAAGATCATATCCGATTTGCAAAGTATGGCCCTTTATTCTTGGGCAGTCACCAGGTATAGTGCGAGTATAGGAGGATGATAGGAGACGCGTCTCCCTACTAATGCTGATTCCTTGTATCTATTGAAGCTACATCGCGACATCAAATGCTTTCCGTACGTATGACATCCTTCAACGTTCTTAAGCCATTAACTTGCTGATATGGGTAGAACCTATATTTTCCAAGCTCTCTGATATCTTTGGTCGCAAGTATATCATCAATTTCGGGATTGCCATGTTTTTCATCGGATCCTTACTATGCGGCTTTGCAAAGGTGTGTGTAAAACCAGGCTAGTATTCCGTAGCATTGAGTATACTAAAAAAGATGCGTCATTTTATACCAACCGCGTAGTCCATGGCTTGGCTCATTGTAGCTCGAGCCATTCAAGGTATCGGAGCCGGCGCGGTTAGTGTTTCATGGATGCAAAGAATCATGGTTGCTGATTGTACGAATAATGAATGTAGATAATACCATCGGTATGAGATGCGAGAAATACATAAACAAGATGAAAGCTGATGTTCTTTGTTGCCCTAAAGGTATACATCATTGTCGCCGATATTGCACCATTACATAAGCGGCCCCTTTATCAAGGGTAGGTTACCATCAGAAAACTTAGCCTGATCCATATCCTTGTTTTTGACGCTGGTGGTATTGTAGAGCTATACAAATGTGTGCCACTGCCGGGTCAATTTGTGGCCCATTCATTGGGGTATACATACATCGTAACTGCTGTTGGAGAAAGCTCGGGCTGACATCATGTCTATTACCAGGGTTCCTTGACCGATTACATCAATTGGCATGCCATCTTTTTCATAAAGTACGTACAATGAATGCGTCAAACAACGACATGAGATTGATCGAAACCCCCCTTCCTTAATGACCTATACTTAGCATCCCTCTTTGCATTATCATCTTCTCCTTGATTTCAACCTTCATGCATATACCAATTGAGAAGCATGATTGGAGGAAAAAGTTGTTACTCATTGATTATTTCGGTATGTCGCTTCATCATGCATCATTGGCCCCTAAAAAGACTAAGCATTTACATAGGCAGTATCCTTATTCTTTGTTCGTCGATTGCGTTCACCCTAGCTTTAGCCTTGGGGAGCCAAGATCATGGATGGGGAAAGCCTATTGTCATTGTAAGTCTTTTAAATTGAGCAATAGGATGCAGTCATTTATTCTGCAACACAGGTCCTTTTCGTCATGACAGGCATCTTTTTGGCTCTACTGTGGTTTGTGGAATGCAAGGTAGCGGTTGAGCCTATTTTACCTCCAAGGATATTCACGCAAGGCCGAACCATGTTATGCATTATCGTGATTCAATTCATCTTTGGTGGCGGTGTGGGATCGTTTGCCTATTACATGCCGCTGTTTTTCCAAGTGGTGCGTGACAGCTCTGCCATGATGTCTGGTTTACCATTGATACCAATGCAACTTGCCGCTATCGCCACCACACTCATCGTAGGATGGCTTGTATCACGAACAAGGCTCAATAAAGCACCACTCCTTGTTGGGACCTTGCTATTTACTACCCTCTATGGTCTTGTCCAACTCTTTGATGCCGATACCCCTTGGTCACGTAGGTATACGTGGGTGCCTGCTACATACAAACATGGTATGATGATGCTCACGATGGTGGAATCCTTGTAGAGGTATATGGAACCATTTTCGTCGGAGGTGTTGGAAATGGATGCATCTCCGGATTAGCAATTGTCACAGGGCAATCTGCTTTAAAGGATCAAAAAGATACAGGTACATGATGCTTGTATACATACATGATGTACATTTGCTGTATACTCATCACTGATGCCAATTTTATAGCTGTGGCTACAGGTTTGCTATCGTATGTAACCATGATGGGAGTAGGTGTAAGCGTCCCAGCAGGATCGGCTTTGCTCAATGCCATGCTCATACAAAAGCTTCCTGAATTCGTACCCATGGATTATGTAACACGTATTTATAATTCACCCGAGTACATTCACCATGGTTTACCGCCACGCTATGTGGAAGGTGCTATCAAAGCCTATGTCAACGCATTCCGTGCACTATGGGGCATGATGATGGGGGTTGCTGCTATCACCGTTGTTAGCGCGCTTCTCATTAAACAATGGTCGTTGCCTACCAACAACGTTGAAGAGCCCAAAGTCGATGTAGAAAAAGTCCAACAAGAGCTATAATGATAATACTGCATACCTACTATGACCGGTTTATCGAATAAACAATGGTCAAGTAATGTCATCATCTATTTGTACCGAGCCTCAGATACCATGTGGATGCAGAGTATTACACAAAATGCCGTTTTACCAATGACTCAATGGAGAATGCATCATACGTGTAATCACCTGCCATCAACAATGACAATTATTAAAACGCCCTATACCTTAATTCACCTTCTTTTTCCCCTTTCATCAAAATTTCAACCCATGCTTGAATCCAAAGCACCAGAAAACAATCACGATACCATTTACGAGCAGCTGTTTGAGAACAATGACGTGTCTCGTTGTGTCGATGACAATGAACCCTTGGTATTAGACGCCATGGATCCCAACTTGTCTATCACCTTTACAGAATTGCGCACCAAGGTGCGTTCATTAGCCGTTGCTTTGCGACAAGCTCCTTTCTTTCTTGAAGAAGGCGACGTGGTTCTTTTTTGTACCAAAGATCATGTGAGTCATTGTGGCTGTGTTTCCACTCATGGATAATTAAGATATATACATATGCAGGTCGAATGCTCCATTGCCCTGTTTGGGGTTACTGCTGCAGGTACAACTACAACATCTTGATTGATCCACATTCTTGGATAATAACAAAGGCACGTGCGTACGTAGGATGCGCTGCTTGTATGCTCCCATCGATTGCCCCTGTCAGCGACATACAACGTATTGTTCAATCTACCAAACCTAAAGCCATCATTGCCCATCCAGATACAATGGATAAGGTCAACAAGGTTGATAATAATAAGGATGATGGCAATCCTATACCTGTATTAGTGATAGGTGGCGGTGAATCAACAAGCATTCCTAACGCAAGTCATCTTTCGCAATGGTATACAGCCCATGCCAACATTGAATCACTGCCTCGCGTACATCCTGATACCTGCGCATTTCTTATATTGACATCGGGTACGACAAGTAGTCCAAAGCTGGTTCAGATCTCGTAAGTGAAAATAGAAAAACAATGTGATGGATGTACATAGCTGGCAGGTTGATGATCATGTTGTATTATTACGTAGCCAACGTGGGATGGCAGCACGCATTCGACACGCACAAAACATGCCACGCTCGCTCTTGTTTCCAGAGGATGTAAAACCAGCAGGCTTTGTCATGTCCCATGTTGCATTTTCATCTTGGATTATGATATGCAGCAATTGTACTTGCCTTGGTGTGCCACATTATGTGGGTGATTTTTGGCGTATACAACCCAATCTTGATACCATCTTGCGCAAGATTCAAGAATTACGTATCACGACCTTTTTCCTTTTGGATGCTCGATCCATGACTCGCATTGCAGCTATGCATGATGATGATGATCAGCAGCTCAAATATGACATGTCGAGCCTGTGTGCCATCTACACTGGAGGTCAAACCATCCCACAAGATGTACTTCAAGCTACTGCCAACAAGCTTCAAGCTACCATCATGAGTGCGTATGCTGCTACAGAAGCTGGAGTCCTTTTTACATTGGGTTATGCAAGCCCTTCAACCCTTGCTCAGCGTAAGAAAGTTTAAATGTGTATCCATGGCAACCCCATTTATTCATATCCATGGCAGCATTGCCTCGCGAATCGATACCTGCCGAAATTAAATTGGTGAATGAGCAAAATCAAGGTGGGAAAAAAATGCATGATGCCAAAATGGTGTTGCTCACTTTGTATATATGAATAGAGGTGCCAGTGGGAGAACCAGGCGAACTTTTAGTAAAAAGCAGCATGAATGCAATGGTATGTGTGTGGACGAATGCATATCATCATCATCACCAACCACCATTTCACGTACCAGGGATATCATGGGCGACCTGATTTAACAGCTGAGAACTTTGACAAGGATGGGTTTTATCATACAGTGAGTGATTTTAGATGACAAGCCATATCATCTCTGACATTGTTGATCATCAGGGTGATATATTCACGGTGAATGAGGATGGTCAATACACCATGCTTGGACGCCATGCGGATGTCATAAAGACTGCAGATGGTCATGTAAGTGATACTTTGTCGTATGTATTCGATCACAAGGCTCATTTTTCCTTTACGCAGTTCTATCCTAAATCACTCGAAGACATCTGTGCAAGTATTATGGGCGTGATTTTTAAAGTAGATCTCGTTGCTCACTTACAATTCTCTTCTTCACCTTCATGATAATAGATGGAGTTCCAAGGAATCAAGCAATGTGTCATTGTTGGCGCTTTCAGTACCAAGCATGGTCAAGAGTTACCTCGTGCCTACATTGTTCCCATGCCAAATGATCGGCATAGGTTTGATGAAGAACAAATCGAGCGATTGAAAGAGCATGTCAAGGCACGAGTACCCTTAAAATCAATGGCATTGGATGGCGGGATCAAAATTGTGGATGAACTTCCAATAGCCCGTAGCGGCAAAGTGGATCGATACAAGCTACGAAAGATGGCTCATGAAGAATTGGAGAATGATGTCTAAGATACGTAGGCAACTGTGTTTAGCTAGTCGATGATCAAAAGTATATGGCCGGGTTTTCAAGTCACCATGGCAACAGAACAATGATTGACAACATGACCTACTGTCTACCAATATAGTCAATTTTACGATCCTTTATGTGTGTGTGTGTATCGTTGCACATGAGAGTTGTCAACAAGTTCCCAATCAAAAATGGCAAGCCCCGCTGGTGTTGCAATGGATCATTGTGAGTGGATGATTCATTAGGCACATTGCCACACAAAAAGGCGATGATGACAATCCATACAATGAACCAACAACAGCAATTCAATAGACATATGATGTAGTATTCCAATCATTTATGATAACAACTAGGTTATGCTATTCTTATTATTATTTAAGTTGAGGGAATGGATGTAGAATGTCATTGTACATTGCACGTGGAACAAAGAGAAGGCCAAAAATAGCATGCATTGGGCTCCGGGAACAAGTGTATCCTCTTTCCTTCTCTTCACACCACATCATGGAGAACCAGAATCCGTTACCACCTGTGGCGCGTGATGCAGCTGGCAACAAGATTGAAATGCGACCTTACTATGGCGACAAGGATCTCAACTACGTGCACTATCTTGTATACTCGACTGATTTCGATCTTGTTCCTCGGGGAGTACGACGATTACTGCAATCGCCTTTGGTGGTGAGCGTATGGTTGGCCATCTTTGCATCGGTCTACACATGGCTTCCTCCTTATCTTGTGGGCCTGATAGGAGCCGACCCGTTACTGTTGTATATCCGGATTGCTGTGGTCATAGCGAGCGTGGGTGGCGGGCTACTATCGCTCTTTTGGTGGGTGGATAAGCAAGCCCATATGCGTATTCAAGAGGCGTTGTTGCATGATCTCAAGGATCCTGGCGACTATTATCGTAAAGACAATGGCAACTTTTGGCTCTTGACAGTGCAAGATCAACCTGTCGCTTGTATTGGTATCGATCATCATCAATCCAATGTTTATTCAGCATCATCATCATCATCAAGAGAAAACCTGGCAGATTCTGAAGCGATTCGTCAAGCCAAATGGCCACGCGTGGCGTATGTCTTAGCTCGGATCGATGATACCATTCGTGGATGGGTTACAAAGACGACGCAGAAGGAGGAGGAGGACCATCAAAAGGTGATTTTCAAGGCACACAAACCCAACGAGGCGACGTTGCGTCGATTAGCCGTCAAAACCAATCTTCAGGGCAAGGGCTTATCCACCCCCTTACTCAAACGTGTCGCTTTTTGGGCCCATGCGCAACAAATCGAGTATCTTTACGCTGAGACCAATGAACTCCAAACCACCATGGCAGATATCCTAAGCAAACGACATGGCTATGATCTCGTATCAACGACGCGAGTGGGTCTTACAGGCGAAAAACGTTTATGGCGTCTGGATGTCAAGTTGTGGATGAGCAAAGAATTGGAAGCAAGGGATCAACGCAACCTCGAAAAGGAAATGCAAGAAGAAAAGGAGGAACTTAAGGGATACAATTACTAGAGAACAGGCCTTGTACATATATATATAAAATCTGGTATTATTGGGAATGGATGTATTAGCAAGTATTTTGGATTTGTATGTGTGTATTTACATGCTTGGGGCATTATGGTATTGGAACATAAGTTGGGGAATGAAATCTCTCTAATTGTACAAGTATTAAACCGATTGAGCACGATGGGGTCTTCGTCGCTTAAACATGGATTCTGCTGCTCCCGGAGAAGCACCATCTTCTTTGCTGTTACGAGGAGGAACACTGCCACCCATCAATTTGTGAATCTGCTCCGGTTGCCATCGACCTAATAGTAGCAAGCTATCTTTACTGCTGCCCAACAAGAGTTGTTGATGATGTTGTTGCTCATGTGCAGTGGATGTGGGTGACAAGTAGTTTTCCAAATCCTCCATACCAGTGCTCCCACAACAAAAAACAGCATTACCACCACCTCCGCCGGGTGATAGATTGGATTTCGAGTCGTGTGGATGAAAATGAGGATGAAGAGAAGCGGACGATGTTACCAATGGAAGGTTGATGATACTGCCTTTGCTAGCACGTGCGATTGAATCGAGCAAGTACACGCCGGCAAAGATGATGATAAAGCCGCAGATCAAGCTTGCTGTATTGATTGGATTATTGGTATGCCATCCTCGGTACATGATAGCTGAAGCCACAATGGTTGCCGTTGTAAAGAATACAAAATAAATTGGATTGACCCTGCATAGATCCATCCATCAATCATCTTGTTAAGGGGAATACATACATAGGCATACTACACTTACAGACTTGTGGAGAATGTATCCAATGCCTTGTTAAAGTAATTGACTTGGGTAATGATAAACACCACGCACATGAATCCAAAGACATAGGTGGAGGGTTCCTTGAATTGGTTGTTGCCTTCAATAGTGAGTCTCACTGCTATACCGAATGCTTTGATAGCCATCACTGAAAGAGATCCAACCAAGGAACAAATTGAGACATAGACCATGACCTTGGTTTTACCCCATCGTGGTACGGCTTTCCATATCATGAGCACCGTAGTAATGATCACCAGAATGGAATAGACCAGAAACCCTTTCAAGCGTCATCTTTTAAGTACACATCATGCAAACGACAACAAACTTTCTTACCTGGTTGAATCATGTAGCTAACCAATTCTTCGACACTTTCCACCTGCGGGTCCTCGGGTGCATGCAGAACGATAATCACTGCACCAATCAATGACAACAAACAACCAATAATACCAATGGTCCCCAACCTTTCTTTTAAAAAGATGGTGGCTAAGATTGCACTATGTACATGCGAATTAATTCATGGCGTATAGATAAACAAGCACGTTTCCCCTTGTCATTTTCTCACTCCACCCCCTCCTTCCTGCTGCACTAGTACTTCTTGCCATCCACTCGTACTATAGTACTACTCCTTGTTTTTCTTCCGCCAAACTACTTACCCTATAATCACACTCAGTGCACCGAGTGGAGTAATCAAGATGGCTGGGGCAAATGTATATCCTATATGATGTTCAAAAGGATGGTCAATGTTTGTTTGTTTGTTGTCATGGTAATGTTTGTGTATGTCTCACCGATAAAATTAAGCAACTCGCCGGCTACCATGGTGGTCAATCCAATCCACCATATGGGGCTCTTGAGATATCGATGGGAATCGGATGCAAATGCTAATGTTGTCCTTTTGTCAACAAAAAAAGTGTCGTTTGTGGTGTGGTGGATAGTTTACCTTGGGATGCTGAAGATGACTGTTGAAGTCCCTTTTTAGTGATGACAAAGGATGTGCCGATCAATATGCTGGAGCATAATGCAAGAATGAGACCGATGTATTTGCTTTCCAACATGAAGAAGAAGATGTATGTATGTGGTGATGAAAATACAATGAAAGGAAAGTAACGGGTAAAAAGGATAAGATAAAAGGAGTGGAAAAGTGAAAGAGAAACAGAGAAAAGGAAAGGAAGGAGTGGATAAAGGGTTTCGCGTTTATGTAGTAGGCTGCTGCTGCTGCTGCTGCCATGGATTCTACTTACAATAAGACCATCCCCCTCCAATACACATATACAGCCGACACCTGGATACCAAAAAAGGAAGGTGGAAAGGAGAGAGAGCCTAGTGAGAGTCAAGAGCGATATGCCGGGCGCCAAAAAAAAGTGTGCGTTCGTTATGCTCTCTCAACTTTATTGTCGTTGCTCCTCCTCGACGATTCGTTCACGAACGATCCCGGTGCGATCGTTGGCTACTTACACTCAATGTACGTTTACAACAACCTAGTCACTCCCACATTTCTCATTTGATATTGTCAACAACAGCTGTCTTGGTGCCAGGCGATCGTGTCCATGGCTATCGAGTACAACAGGTAAAAGACACCATTTTATTATGCAGACTTTTGTATATGAACAGCTCTAATATAGGTGCGACAAGTGCCCGAGTTGGAATTGACGGCCATTGCTCTTGAACATGAACGCACAGGCGCAAAGCACTTGCACATTGACCGCGACGATGCCAACAACGTATTTGCTGTCGGGTTTCACACCCCTGTGAGCGACAATACCGGCGTACCCCATATTCTTGTAAGAGCCATCCTCGTAGATGCATTCTCTGGTATTCATGGATCTATGTAGGAGCATACAACGTTATGTGGCAGCCATCGATATCCTGTCCGAGATCCTTTCTTCAAGATGCTTAACCGCAGTTTGGCTACATTTATGAATGCGTTTACAGGTATGGATGAATTGCGTATATGTATAGCAAGATTGATTGATTTGCTGATACAATTGTGTTCATAGCAAGTGACCATACAATTTATCCATTTGCGACCACCAACCCTGTGGATTATGCAAACCTACGAAATGTCTATATGGATGCTGTCTTTTCTCCCCGCTTGGAGAAATTGGATTTCAAACAAGAAGGCTGGCGTTTAGAACATGAGGTGCCATCAGGTAAAATTATGGGAGATGTGATTGAATAAATGTATGTGAATGCTGATGATGTATGTATGCATGCATGTATATAGATCCATCGACTCCCATCAATTTCAAAGGCGTTGTTTATAATGAAATGAAGGGTCAAACGGTAAGTGTAGGATGAGGTTTATACAAGGAAATGGAGCTTTCTAATAGTCCCGTTTGTATTCTAGTCCGATGCCAATTATCTGTACTACGTCCGTGCGCATGAAGCTCTATTCCCCGGTACAACTTATGAATACTCGAGTGGTGGTGAACCAAAGAATATCCCAGATCTCACCCATCAGCAATTGGTCGATTTCCACAAGACGCATTATAGTCCAAGCAATGCTCGAATCTATACTTATGGTTAGTGTGTGTGTGTGCATATATAAATGTATACGTGTGTGGATTAACATGTCTCTCTCTGTAGGCAACTTCCCCTTGGAAGATCATTTATCAGCCATCAATGAACGCCTTGCTGAATTCAACAAAGTGGATGTGCCCTATGTCAACAAACAGGTGACACCATGGACAAGCCCAAGAATGCATCATGGTACATGTGCTTTGGATCCATGTAAGTTTTTCTTTAAACTCGACAAGGAATAAGGATGTTCATTCAATGTGATTTAGTGTCTCCTGCCGATAGACAAAACCGCGTTTCGATCGCTTTCCTCACCAACGAACACAAGGTAGATCATGTTTTGCGCGTGCGTGTCTGAAAGGAAATACCAATAAGGCTTGTTGTTATAGGCCACGTTTGAGACATTTGCCATGCGTATCCTATCCTATCTCTTGTTGGATGGCCATGCTTCTCCCATGTACAAGGCTTTGATTGATACAAACTTGGGATCCGAATTCTCTGCAAACACCGGTTACGATTCCTCTCTCCAGTAAGTAGGGATCATGCATGATAGTAAACAACATTCTCATATTGGATGTCTAGCACAACTTGTTGTTCCATTGGCTTGCAAGGTGTCAAGGACACTGACGTAGAATTGGTATGTTGACCACAAGGATGCAAGTTAAGGTTCTAATAGCTTGTTGTCGCATGTAGGTACAAGAGCGTATCATGTCGGTGCTTGAACAAGTGAAGAAGGAAGGATTTGACAACAAGCGTATCGAAGCTGCTATTCATCAAATGGAATTGGGTCAAAAGCATGCAAGTGATATACACCCTTGATAAATGAAAGCGGTCTATGGCTAACTTTTGGATGTACTTTAGAAAACGGCTGATTTCGGTTTGACGTTGATGCATGGTATTTCTTCTGGGTGGTTCAATCAAGTGGATCCTATTGACATGTTGGAAATCAACAAGGTGAGTTCTTTCTTTTCTTGACCACTTTTCACCCATCCCCGCAGGCTCACTCACACGTTATGTTGTAGTATGTGGATCGGTTGAAAAAAGAGCTTGCTGAAGGCCAATTCTTTGAATCACGTATCGACAAGTACTTTTTGAACAATCAGCACAAGTTGACCTATATCATGCGCCCAGAAGCCGAGTACGCTGCACGTCAAAGCCAAGAAGAACAAGATCGACTCCAAGCTCGTGTGAGTCAATTGACTGAGGCAGACAAGGAAGAGATTTTGAAAGAGGGAAAATTGTTGGCGGCCAACCAGGACAAGGTGGAGGATTTATCATGCTTGCCAACATTGCAAATGGGTGATATCTCGCCAAAGATGAAACGTACCGTGCTGGATCATACCGGTGTGGCCAACACACCTGTTCAATGGCGTACGACGGCAACCAATGGTATCACGTACTTTAGAGCCATCAGTAGCTTGCCCGCTTTATCAGATGATCTCAAGCTCTATCTTCCCTTGTTTTGTGACGTGAGTGTATTGAATGCACATCCTTGCTTGCTTGCTTTCTGACCCATCATTTTATGCATAGTCTTTGTTGTCACTTGGTACCCATTCCCAAAGCATGGCTGATATTGATGATGAAATACGATTGTATACGGGCGGTCTACGTGCTTCCACCATTGTATCCACAAGCCATTCTGGTAAGTTTTTATTGTTATGCACGAGAATGCATACTAAGCAAAAAAGGGGATTAGATATCAGCCATGTGGAAGAGGGTATTGCATTGACGGGTAACTGCTTGGATCGCAACATTGACAAGATGTATGATATCATGGCGAAATTGGTCCACGAAACCAACTTTGATGATGTTGAAAAGCTAAAGACGCTCATCATTGGTGTAAGTACAGACGTGGGATAGGGAAGAAGGGATCACTCATTCATACAATGTGCATTAGAACGCCTCGGCTTTGGTCAACTCGGTTGCTGATGCAGGACACATTTTTGCAAGAACGTATGCTGCATCTTCATTGACGCCAGCCATGCATAATGCTGAATTACTGAGTGGTATGACACAAGTGGCTTTTATGAACCAATTGGCCGTGACAGAGGACTTGTCGGATGTTGTCAACAAGCTCAAGACCATTGCATCCATGGTGCTTAAGCAACCTTCTTTGCGTGTGGCTGTGACATGTGGTGAAGATGTTATCTCGAACAATGAGCAAGCTTTGAATCGCTTCATTTCTGGATTACCCCAACAAGACGAGGCATCTCAAGATAATCCAACCGTAAGTGATCAAAGGGAATTCAACGTTGTGAGAATCATGCATGACTCATCATGATGGGTGATGATATTAGAGCGTCTTTGTGCCATCCTATGACAAGACCTTTTTCCCACTTCCGTTTGCTGTCAACTTTTCTGGCAAATCCATGCGTGGTGTCCCTTACACACATGCTGATGGTGCCAAGCTCCAAATCCTATCTTCACTCATGACCAATCATTATCTACATCGTGAGATCCGTGAAAAGAATGGTGCTTACGGCGGTGGTGCCACCTATGCAGGTCTTGGTGGTTTATTCTCATTCTACTCGTATCGTGATCCACACACCCTTGAAACATTGCAAACTTACAACAAGTCCGTCCAATGGGCTCTTGACCGCAAGTTCACCGATCAAGAGATGACCGAGGCTAAATTATCCGTGTTCCAAGGCATTGATGCACCCGTGAGCGTGTCTGAAGAAGGCATGTTGCAATTTGTGAATGGTGTATCGGATGATATGCGTCAAAGGTAAAGCATAAAAGGGATCCTATATGGCTTGGTACTCAATGTATGGGTGTCTTTCTCTCTTTTAGACGACGAGAGCAATTGTTAGCTGTGACACAGGATGATATTCGCGATGTGGCCGAAAAGTATCTTGCATCCAGAGCTGGCAAAAGCTCCATTGCTTTGCTTGGTGAAGCCAACGACAAGCTCAAGGACGATCCTAGCTGGATTATCAAACAGTTTGGTCAAGAATAGATTGTAGATTGACACATGTACATTTTCCTCGTTAAACAAAAAGTCGTTTAATGACTCTTGCCAATGGCATAATAATCACTGTTGGTTGCTTCATTAACATTGTTGCTAAGGGAATACGACTACTGGCGGTTGTGGATCATGTCTTTAAAGTCATTGCTCGTGGTCAAGCGCACATACAACATGTGCACGTTATTGATCATCCATTTTGGGAAAAATTCAAAGAGGATCGCCACATTTTCATTAGGTTTGTGCCACGATCTATTCCTTCAAGCGTACATTGCAAAACGATATTACGCGTGTTTCTTTCCTATACCAACATGTTTGCCTTGCTGCTTTCAATCATATACTTTATTGGGTAAACGAGAGCAACTCGTATTATAGATCTCGAAATGATGCTCACACATCAAATGCCATATGTATACAAGCCCCACCTTATTATACGACAAGAAAGGTACCAAGGAAGACCATGAATCGGCGACTACGATTGTCCATGAGAAGAAGGAAGAGGAGGAGACAGCTATATCAGCCAATGATGGTAATGAGGCATCATTGTCTGTGGATGCAATCTTGCAGCTACTTGAAGGCCAAAAGCAGTACAAAAACAAAGAAATGGATCTTTTATACAATGACAAGAATTTCCTTTTGATCCACGTGAGCGACAAAGATGACGAGCGAATGACGATCATTCGTCCTGGTGACGATACGAAACATAGGCAGGATATTGAGGAACAAGGAGGCTTCTACACACTATCACATCGATGGGGTAATGCCAAAGACTATCCATACTGGCAAGTGGGTGACTTTATTACTGATCTGGATGGGGCTCCTGCTGCTCCGGTGCCCATGGTTCCCGAAAAGCGTGACACCGTCTATGCCTTGCTTCGATCTCACCCTGGTTATTGGTGGATTGATGTGATTTGTGCACGTGTTGATACACCTCTTGTCATTATGGGCAGCATTTATCGTTGTTGCAAAACGTGTCTTGCTATGGTGGATTGCCCTACGGACACAATGCGCTTGTTATCGCGGGAATCCCTGAGGCCATTCAACAACCACGTGGTCACAAGTTGTCTTCGCGTCCAAACGGCCGTGATCGATGTTCGCTATGATCCTGATCGTTCTATTGTACGCGAGATCATCACGCCACGCGCCAAGGATCATTATCAATTACTCAACCACTTTCAGGAACACATCCAAGCCATGTATCGTCTTTTGGCATGTCAATGGTTCGATCGAGTTTGGACGCTCCAGGAACTTGTATTGCCTTTGAGGGTGCTGATGGTGTCCGATAACGGAGGCCTATCAGGTGTTAACGAGCAAGTGGATATTGCATCTATCATGCAAATCGCCAATTCACTGGTACCATGCGAATACGACATCTACTTGGAAGATGATAAAGTCACTGAAATTGATTCAGGCAAGTCAAGAGTATGATAACAACAATAACAACAAGGTCTCATTGTGTGAGTTTTATAGTATTGGTTGATTCAACCTCTGTTTATGGTGTGGCACAAAAGGCATATGGATACTTGGATGGATTTGACATTTACCGCGAAAGCTGCAGCAATGATTTATATGGGCTTTATTCATTAAGTGATTTGTTTGACAACTTTAGCACATGCACACGATCATGCATGGATCCTGTGGATTACGTCTATGGCGTGCTGGGATTACTTGATTTGGACATTACGCGTATGAATGATGCTGACCTGGTTTGGCAAACATTCCTTTCCAAGCTTAATGAACGTCTCAACCGCATGATTGATCAAGTAACACAAGGCAAAGTCTCGTTTACCATCAATGAAGAAAAGGTCGATTTGACCAAGGCGACGAATATGGCAGACGTTTACAAGGGATTATTGAAATTTCAATTTGATGAACAAGCTGATCTTGATCAAGCACAAGAAGCAGGGAATCTTGGCAAGTACATACACACAGACGACGAGGACATAATATCTCATGCATCATGTTATTAATTAATAGCCTATCTCTTGACACCAGAGATCGCTGGGAATATGGATTTAGTCGATCAAGTGAGGAGTGCTGCAGATACTTTGGTAGAATCAAAACAAGCAGCAGCTGTTACTTCAACATAGTTTATAATAGCCTGGTCCTTATTTGTATATTCTTTGTGAATGATGTTGTGCATGGAAACCATCACCCAATCACAAGCCACAGTAGGTTGTATGCATCATGCGCACGCACCGAGCGACAAGAGCGCGCGCGCGCGAGTGTGTGATTGAATGATTAAAACAGCTCTCTCTTTTCTATCTTTTTTCAATGGCAGACGACAATCGAGAATTGCAAGAGGAGGAGATCTTGGCTCTTCAAGCTATTTACGGCGAGCATTGTATTCAATCCGATCCGAATGCCCCGCATGGCTACAATGTGACCATCAACTTGGACGATGAGGAAGAGGCGACGGCTACGTTATCCCCTCGTATCCTGGTAGTGCGCTTCTTTTTACCAGAAACATACCCAAGCCAAGACCCGCCTGTCTATGAAGTGACGTCGGTGTATTGTGGTACACACCGTGTGGATGCATCCATGATTGAAACGATCGACCGCGAGTTTGCACAACTCTTTTCACCAAGACAAGTGGTTTTATTTGAATGGATCAGCTGGTTACGTGATTATCTCGAAGCCCATGTTGAAAAGAGTATCGCTCCACCTCAACCACCACCACCACCATCATCATCAACACCATCTTCATCCGCCAATGGAAAGAACGACGACGAGGAATTACCACCAGGGACAAGACACAACAACCATGAAGAAGATGAATTGATCAATAGAATGAAATCACACAACCTTCAAGACGTCCCTGTACCCCCCATTTATTCCAGCATGGAACCTCTTGTGGATCGTCGCTCGGTCTTTGTGGCCCATGTCGCAGAAGTCCATAGTCAAGCAGAAGTCCATGCTGTTATAAGCAAGCTTTTAGAAAACAAAAAGATCGCCAAAGCTACACACAACATCAGCGCATACCGTATCGTTCAACCGGATGGGCACATGTTACAGGACAATGATGACGATGGTGAGACGGCTGCTGGCGGTAAGTAGCAACATGTGTGTGTGTGTGTGTGTGAATGGACCCTCCCTCATATCTTACATTTACATCAGGTCGACTATTGCATTTGTTGCAAATTCTTGACGTTAAAAACGTCCTCGTGGTGGTCAGTCGATGGTTTGGTGGCATTTTATTGGGAGCCGATCGATTCAAAGATATCAACAATTGTGCAAGGAACGCATTAGATGATTGTGGCTATATTCCTCACGATAACACCAATGATCATCATCACAAATCAAGTAGTAATAGTAGTAAAGCAAAGAAAAAGAAATAAGATTTTCATTTATCTTATTGGGGGTCGATTATGGAGATAATAAGGCCATAAGGTGTATTGGATTTCTTTGCTAATCACAACCGATGCCGTACGATCCTTCAGGTCAATAGCACCACTGGCTCCGGCATTTGGATAATTGAGAATGTATAAATCCAATTCTGGTAAATCAGGAGTAAAAGAACGCACCATACGCAAAATCATGCTTCCTGGTTCTAGTACAAAGAGTCAGCTCAAGATCACACCCTTTGTTGCCATTCATTTACCTGTCCAAATATTGGTTTCCGGTATATGTAATTCTGTTTGCAACTTGTAGCAGTACGGTGTAATGGGGGTGAAATCTTTATGCGTTGGCCAAAATATCCTTGATGATTGATCAGGGAGCACCACCTAGGAAATTGAGTGAGTGAGTGAGTGAGTGAGTGAGTGAGTGTTGTTGTTGTTGATCTTGCTAATGGTAAGCTTACCTCAATTCCAATATCATGCACGTCGCGTGAATTATACAAGTCGGCTTCAAATTCAATCTTGCCTGGAAATGCTGCCGGATATTTGAATGGCTTATCCGGATTGGGTATAGGCGATGTGATGACAGCGTGCATATACTTGGTGCTATTATCGAGATCGATCATCATCGGCACGTACCCCTATTGGAACTTTATGATTAGAGCTATTGTTACTCCCGCTGCTTTCTATACTACTACATACCTTGATGGATTTATACAACTCGTAAACAATCGATGGGCTGAGTGATTCTTGTGCATCCACCAGCATGGATCGTAGTTGCTCAATTTGGAATTTCACCCAACTTTCATCATCAAAGTATCTAAAGGCACTCACTGTTAAAATCCCCAAGGATAAAAAGTCATATGCTTACCTTCTAACGTCGTCAATGCGTCGAATAAATGCAGCGAAAAGACTTTGCAGCTCTATAGACTTTTCCTTGAATCTATTCAAAGCGGGGTTGGCATGAGTAATTGAAAGCCACATTCGCTTTCCTACTTGCCTGGATGCTTCCTTGAAAATGCTGAAAATCCAAATGAGATTGCTTAGGATACGAAAATAGACAGCCACTTGGGTATTCCATGTCGAAAGACCTAGGAATGTGTGTTGCATGAGGTACGATCGCCGTAAAAGTGCTGCTGCTAATAATTGTCCCGAGACGCCAAAGGAAGGTGATCCATAGCTTGTTTTAATCTAATGCATTGTGAGCCTTATCACCCAAGAGCTCCTCCTCATCCTCATCCTCCTTACTTTTAAGACTTGATGGTAGCATTCCAAATAGGCAATAGCTAGCTGTGCTTCGTCCTGGATCTCATTTGTGCTTGTCGACTGTATACTTGTCAAATATTGGAAGCTCCTATACCACATATCATTAATCATGGGCTTTCAATAGGTAGGCTGCGAGAGAGAGACACCTTACTTGATGGCATCGGTCACCACAACATCAGCGTCTGCATAGCGTTGCTGTTGTATGTGTTGTTCAAGTCGTGCAAGCATGCTCATTGTCACCGCGAGGTATGATTTTCGATCCTGATCCTCCTCAATATCCATGGTATCCACTATCAGTCACACCCATTAATCCTTGACTCATTTCGTCATATCCCCCCCATCATCACTTGCCTGTTTTCAAGGGTGTGGATGGTACATCGCCAAGTTCCTTTTTCACCTTTTCTGGGGCCGAAGCATAAAGACTCTACATACCAACATGAGTAAACCATATATGCGTAATCAAAAGGGCATGGTGATACCTGTAAATCAGGGATACAATCAGGGTACTTGATCTTGTAATAACTGAAATGTTGAAAAACAAATGCAGGTAATTTGGCAAGGATATCCGAAATCACCGTACACGCATTGGCAATCAAAATGACGTTCATGGTATCTGAAAGATTTGTGTTAAGAGAAGAAAAAAGTGTCTCGCATGAATGATAGCTTACATGTAGGATCTTCAGCATTTGGATCACGTGTCATGTACTGTGGATCGAGCCTCAATAGTTCAATGATATACCCAACTATCCTCGGCAGTGAGTCATTGGTTATGCATGCATCGATTCAACTTACCGACAAAATCAGCGTGCCTCTTTCCTATCTGAGCTGTTGCATGATAAATGGACATGAGATCTTCTGGATAACGACCAATGTTGGCTTTGAATGCGTCCAGCAGTGCCAGCAGTGAAGCAGGGGCATTAAGTCGAGCAACCCTATGTCGCCGTGTTAGTGTAAAAGTGATGCGAACGTATATCTTACCTACCCCATCAAATCATGCGTCGCGTGTCTTGTGCCAGCATGTGCATCTTCCAATGTGCTTGCAACAATTTCCAAATCCTCCTCGTTGAGCTCCAGGTACCATCGTGTGCCGATCTTTCGCAAAGTGTGGATAGCGTTGATACGCACATCACCAATCTCATCATTGAACATATCTAATATCCATCTATAAATATATATTTTACCTCATGTGTGTGGTTGAATACGTACCAACAAGAGCCTCGACCGCTTTGTCAATAAGATGTTCATTGTACATGCACAGCTCACCAATGCTATCTATATTCAAACATGAGTGATGTGTTTTGGTTGGGTTGTATAGATTCATTTACCTATGGATGCATTACGCACTTGCTGAAACTCGTCCTCCAATCCATGAATAAAAGCACCACATGCCCCTGAATCAAGCAATCGAAATTCATCCGAGCCGACATCCACATCGCCTTCTGCTACAGGTACAAGCTAATAACATTGTTATCATCCGCGAGATCCCTTTTTTTTCCTAATCCACTTACGCCATGTCGTTTCTTGGGTACTCTTCGTTGTCGTAAACGTGACATGATTTGTTTGCTGAATGTTTGTGCAAGGGTATCTGGGCTCACGTCTTGATACGACGCCATGGATCCACCGGCGTTCACTCGTACTGTCACCGATACGTCGTTCATCAAGTCGCATATCCGCACAAAAGCATCATCAATAAGCCGTACAGTTTCATTAGGTCCATGATGTGGCAAAGGGAGCGGCATCTCGGGCTTCAACATGCTCAACACCCTATGTATATAAATACCTTGAGTCTCATTCAGTTGAACGATTTGCGTGCATTCATTACTTACCAAACCAAATTCAATGCCGCCAATCGTACTTCCTCATAATCATCCCTCAAAGACGTGACTCCCAATGGATACAATGAAGCATCAAGAGATGTACCCCGTAATTGCATATCCACCAACGCATCCAACGCGTTCTACAATAAAAGAGAGAGAGAACTCAATTCACTTTGCCTCATATCCCAAAATTCGTGTGGATCTTACCTTGCGTACCCGTGGCTCATCATCTCGTACATATTTACCAATGACCTTTTGTACATTGATATCATTGGCCAAAGGTGGTCGGTTTTGGATGGTGTTGAATATGAAGGGGAAGAGTGAAAAGACTCGCAAGCATACAGCGCGTACTCGATAGTGTGGATCGGATAAGTCGGCAATCACGTGCTTGTATAATGTATCCATGGCTTCCATGTTGGCTTGTCCTTGATTAAACCGCCTTGACTAAATACCAAGTTAAAATTCTCCATCTCATTTGTATGATGTATCAATTTACCTTGAGCATACGACTGATTGTGTTATAGAGTTGGCATTTGACTTTGGTGGAGGTGGTATCGAGCTAACATGTTCTGTGAGATGATGATGATGGATCTCATCCAAGACTTACCTCAAACACCAATGCTCTAAATAAGGTCGATCCATTGACTTGAGGAGAAGAAGAAAACTCGTCGAGAATACGTATGATCAACACCTATCCAAAAGTTAACATCGTGACCTTTTGCTTGTAGTAGTACCATACACACTTGCCTGGATATCATGTTCTTTTTCTTTGCGTAACAATGGAAAGAGAGTTTCAAGCACTTGTTGTCGTTGATCACATGAATAAAGGAGCATAAATCTTGCTATACGGCGGAGGCACTAGAAGTGAGAGAGATAGGAAGCATGAATAACAATGCAACCCACCCCACGTGGATAAACACACAAACCTGTATCCGTTCCTGGGGATGATTGGATTCAAGATCATCCAGTGATACAAGCTAATTTGCATGATCAATACGCTTTCTTATCCTATCCCCCTTGATCCATCAATACCTGTTGTAAATTGATACCCGGGGCAACGACACCATCCACCACATTGGCATAAAGTCGATCATCCAACGAGCTATCACTGCGGAAAAGCTTTAGTCCGTGTATTTGAAACAAACGTTGACACACGCGTAGTTGGCCCATGGTGGGAAGAATCCCTACCTTGCAGTGCCTTGATTGTGGTCTTGATTGTGAGAGGTGGTGCGTTTCATGGTGAGATCGAGCAAGTCGTGTGTCAAGTGGTGGAGGAGGAGAAGGAGGAGTAACGAGTGGGTGGGTCCAAGTAGAGAGAGAGAGAGAGAGAGGAGAAAAGGCAACTCCGGTGTGTGTGGTGTGTGGTGTGTGTGTGTGTCTTCTTTTTCCAAAGCTGTGTACCATTTTTCGCCGATAAACTTCTTCTCTTATAATCACAAGAAGGAAAAACAACATGGCCATGCCCAATGGAACACAGCCATTAATGCCAACTCCCATCCAACCGCATCCACAACAACATCCACCGATCCTTCCATATATGCAACAGCAACAGCAGCAACAGCAACAACCACCTCAACAACCTATGCTTTCTTTTCCATACCCTTATCCCATACAACCATCGCCATCGGGACGCGTTCCTATCCCTACACCACCATCGCAACCCCACGGCATGTTTGTCCCTCCACCTGCCATGCAACAACAGCCACCGATGCCACAAAACATGATACAGCGGTTACCACCTCATATCCAAGGGCTTTACTCGACGTATCCAACGCGACTAAAGCATTCACAAGAAAATGCTCTCTTGTTACCAACCAGTTACCTTGCTGCTCGCAAGTCGCGTTTTGAATCCGAAGATGATTTCGATGAATATGCAGATGATTCAGATGATGGAGCCAGTGCTGCTGCTGGTGGTGGCAGTGCATCGATGAATAATCCACCTGCAGTACGAGCAACACGATCCGCTACAGCAGCAGCAGCAGCTCAAGCACAAGCACAAGCACAAGCATCTGCTATCAATCGAGGCACACCCACACCCTCGTCAGGTGCTCCTCCTGGCGCCGTCGCTCAACATGTGGACATGCGTAGAATCATTCGGAAAAGGAATCATATCTATCCACCACAACATGAGATCGATAGAGCTTCCACCATGGAGGAAGTTTTGGTGCCTATTCGATTGGATATTGATTTGGATGATGTCAAGTTACGTGATGTCTTTTTGTGGAACATGAATGGTAAAGGATGACAAAAGAGGAGGAAAATCAATACGGTCACTAACACACACACACACATAATGTAGAGCAATTCTTGACACCTGAAAAGTTTGCAGAGATTCTTTGTGAAGATTTGGAATTATCGGTGGCTCGATTTGTCCCCTTGATTGCAGAATCTATAAGGAACCAAGTCGTCGATTTTGAAGCAATACACGAGGTCGAACTACCACCCGATAGCATTCGCGTCGTCATCAATGTATGTATTCCATCTCTTTTTTCTTGTCTTGTCTTCAAAAGGATCACATGGCTAAGAGGGATGGATTGATTTATTAGCTTGATCTTCAAATTGGCAAAATCAACCTTCGCGATCGATTCGAATGGGACCTGGAAAATACTACTGGCAATGCACCCGAGATCTTTAGTCGGCAGCTGGCAGCCGAGGTTGGTTTGGGTGGTGAATACGTTTGTATCATTGCACACGCCATTCGCGAACAACTGTATAGACACAAACGACAATGGGTGGATGAAGTAAGTAGACATGATGGATGGGACTTTTGATGGCATATGGCTCACACACATGTACCCATAGTCATTGATGGAGGAATTGGCAGAGCCCTTGGCAACGGGATTCCGAAGCATAGAAAGTGCAGAAACTTGGGCTCCTCAAATGGAATTACTATCAAATGAAGAACTCGAAAAGTTGTTGATTGCACAAGAACGTAACATGCGGTAAGTGGGATACATCCTTGTTATCATCGTTCTGCTCTTTTATTCATTCTTTTTATATAGACGCTTGCGAAGAGAAACTCGTTTCAAGCGATCTAGGCGACGTGTATCAGTAACACCTTCTAGACGTAATTATGGTACTCCTTAGAGTTATTCTCTTGTTCCCCCCTTTTTTCTGTAAATACACATCGTAGAATGGTCGAGAGGTTATTATGTTCGTTCAATGGTGATGAGAGGGACCGGATTGCATTGTTCTAATATAAGATTGAACGCTGTAATGTGTAGCAACAAGCACACAACCCCGCTCTTTGTAAAGATCGATACACTTGTCAATAACAACAAACAAACAAAGAGCCCTTTTTCTTTGTCATGCATACATAATGGTGCAGCGGAAAATACGATCTCTTTCTTTCCCTCCCCCATTCATATCTTTTTATATGAATCACAATACTGGCAATATCCCTTTCTTTGCAAACTCGCAGGGTTCATTGGACCCATCATCATGCGGTATCGTCGGAATGCAAATCCTCCCTGATGTCGCTGTCAAGTATCCACAGCTCAAAGATCATATCCAGCACATGAATACCTATGAACAAACCCATGGTCCATTTTGGGATGGTGGTATTCTCTCCAACATGACGCTCATTGATGCGATGCCAAACAAGGTCGTGTGGGAGTTTAGGATTGAAAAGCGACATTGCAATCAGTATGTAAGCCTCCATTTTTAATTTACCATTGACAGCAACAATGTTGATACACGTATAGTATGGGCAAGATGCATGGTGGATGCATGGTAACGATACTTGACATTGCCAGCAGCTTTGCTCTCTTGACATACACAGGCCGATCGCATTGGAAGTCATTGGGCGTGTCAACTGATATCAATGCTAATTATATGCGTGGCATGAACGCAGGCCAAACAGCACGATTTGAATGCCGTGTACAACGTTGCGGGAGGAATATGGCGAATCTGTATACCGAAGTATTGGATGAAGGGGGACGTGTCTGCTATGCAGGCTCCCATACAAAGTTTAGTACCAATCCCAAGCTTTAGATGTACATTATAGAAAAAAAGGACAATTCTTTAATAACGTGAATCCACCGAGAATTTGGCATGGTTGCCCGTATAACATAGTACACCCTCTTGATCATATATCCTTATCCCAATATTGGCTGTCAGCCTGCCCAAACGTTCCAAATCACATTCAACGCGAGCTGTTTGATTAGGTTGGAGACCGCGTAAATAGGATACCTTGAGAGTGGTCGACACGCCAAAGTGCTTCCATTGATGTTTTCCTACGTATCCACGTTTTCAATAAACAATCATCGTTGGCTCATATGCTGTACATGAACCTTTCCTACCATCGTGCGTAAACACTGCAAAGTTGCTGCATACATCGACCAACGTAGCAACACACCCACTTTGCATCACGCCGTCTCTAAAATCAAAGCGTGTTGTTGAGCCATCCTATCCTTTATCCAACAACAGCTCCTTACCTATTGCAATGTATTTGCTCTACCGGGAACTCCCATACAACTTGGTTGGGCCCAGCATATACCATCGTTAACTTTTCTGTAACCGTTTGCTCCCATTTTGGTGTCGTCTTTTTTTGTTCCATCCGGTGCTCAACAACGTGCTGGATGCGTGGGTACTTTTCTGCTATACCGGGATATAGCTTCATTGGCGTGTGTTTATGATGTCTCTAGGATAAAGAAGGATGATAAAGGAGGTAACAAAGAAGAAAGAAGGACGTGAAAGAAGAAACCGAATTACAAAGCGGAAAGACTCCTGAGAAAATGAGATCCTTTGTTACACAATCCACTTGGGAGGATGATGCTGTCAAAACACGCCATCTTAAATTGGCTCGCATAGCAACGGAGATATGATGAAGGCATTTGTATGTATGACAAGAAGCAATAAACGTACACGACAAGAAGGCATCAAGTGATTAGTAGATTAAGAGAAAAAAATATGACATTTATATACATAATGGGTTTATTGTACAAGCATGATATGTATGTGATGGGATGGAATGGGATGATGATGATTGAGAGGTATAGAGTAGGTAGCACTTAACTACTGCCACCACCTCCTCCACCTCCTCCACAACCACCTCCACCGCCTCCTCCACCACAACCGCCTCCTGCACCGCCACTGCAGCCTGCACCAGCGCTACCACAGCCTCCAGTGGCGCATCCACCACCGCCACAACCACCGTTAGCGGCAAAGTCTCCTATCAGCTCGCCAAGGCCTGAGAAAATTTCACCATCGATCTTCTTGTCAGAGCTGTTACACTTCTTCTTCTTTAGATTGGAACGTTTAACCTTGTCTACAAGATGCATCCATACACACAAAGCATGAGTTGAAGGCTTGCTGCGTCCACATACCATAAGATTACATACCCCAAAACCTCCTGGTTGCCCAATAATCGACGTCTGAAAAAATCCATAACAACATGGTTACCATGGTGCATCGAATAGAATGTCTATGTATACCTTACCTTTTGTCCATAAAACTTGCGTTCCAGCAGGTGGAGAGGACTTGTCTGTAATGCATTGAAAGGCATGAATTAGTTTTTGAGGATTCATACCACTACCCATTTGATCAGATGCATACTTGTACTAAATGAAAGGACGTGTAAATACAAGGTTCATAATCAGCAATAAAGCCATTGCGTCATTACTTACGTCTTAGCCGATGGGTCAATGCCAACATTGGCAGATGCACAGTTGATGGTACTAATGATAAGGGCATGAGCATGATGTTTTGAAAGGCTGATTGACGATGCATACCCAATGTAACCATAACCAGTGTCTTCGATGGCTTTGTATGTGGCTGCTTGTGCATCGCCTGATTTGTGGAATACTTGTAAAAGAGCACGCACTTTCCCTACAAGTACAAATGTCAATACCCCTGAATGCCTAAATCGACATGTTGAAAACTTACGTCGATCGTGAAAGCTTGTATCAAGATGGATATCCTTTTGCCTATGCATGTATCATACTTTGATCAATTCACAACCCCTTATGTTGTGCTGATGCTGCACCTACCCTGGAGTCACAAGAACGATCCCATCAGGAAGATTCCCATCCACAAAATCGCCCAAGTTGGTACCAAGCATTGCACTTCGCATCTTGCTAAAGAAGCCTTTCTCTTGAACGCCCGTATCCATGGGTTGATTTGCGTTCTATTGGGTGAGCAATCAGGATGAGTGATACGCCTTTTGTTTCCATATGCGTGTCATGCAATCACAAACCTTGTTGTCGTTGATCAAGTTTTTCCCTTTGTAGTTGTTCTTCCACAACATGTTGGTGCCTTCTGCAAACTTGGCCAATTGGGCGGGATCGATATTGTCGTCGTGATTGACATATTGTCGTACCCGTTTTATGGTGAAGGCTCTGTATGTTTGGGGATGCAACATGTGTGTATGCCATGCAAGATCTTGTATCGAAACGTCATTCGTTAGCATCATCCCATGATATAAAGTCGCCATGTTGCATTACCAATTTCAAGCGTTGGCACCAAAGTTTGTCCAGGATAGCGTTTCATCAAGCCCAAAAACTTGTAATATTGTCGAATACCCCGTGCGATACCAAATGGCATCTGCCAATTCACCACCTCGATGGCCTTTTGGTTGAATTCATGTTGGCGACTGACAGCTTGGATCAAGTCAATGGAGAAAGGCGATGGATTCCCATGATAGCATCCTCGAATACAGCCAATGATATCTGCAAATGATGTGTAAGAGCTTGCTTACAGTACACAACGTATACGACTTACGTGGGATATGCTCCAACCAATCTTTTTCAAAAGAACGTTCTCTGCTACACCTGTGGATCTTGCTGATCAAATCATCCAACGACTCGCCTGGAACGAATAGCCCTGGATGATAGAAATTCTTGTTGCCGATCTCAACCAGCTTGGCCATGGCTTCGTTTTCAGGATACTCCAACAAGCGCAATTTGCCACGTCGTGTGAGCATCGTGCCACTGCCAATGCACCTTCCAATGAGCCAATCCGGCAATGACGACAATCCCATTTCCCACTTACGCTAATCGACACGATGTCCTCTCCAGATCAATGGCAAGCTTTTTCAATGAAGCATTGTACACGGTGGTTTCACGTTTGCAACTATGACATTGGATACCGACATTGGGATCAAAACGCCACTCGGTGTATTCGACCCTGCATGAAGATCAATAAGCTTGTGTCACCTTGTTGCTGAGCTGATTTGTACCACCACTTACCATGAGCATGACATGTCCTTGTCACAGTAACAGCATGCCACAGTGACATTGCCGATACACACATTGTCGGGGGTTAACGTATACGGCTCATCGTTACCGTATATTTGTCTCCAAACCGAAAGCGCCTGAGGACTCGGACCTTCCATCAAACCACTCCTGTGCTATTATAGCAACAATGTGTCATTCATTCATTCATCTCGTCGCCATGGTCACGGTGCAAAAAAGTCACATACCATCAGTTTCAATGGGAGGTTGCTCTTGAAAACACCAAGCTGATTATTACGTGCAAGGTCTTCAAAGTATCGAAAAGGACTTAGCATATGCGCATGCCACATGTAGCCAATATCTTTCATATTCCCAAGTAGTAATGTTAGCCTAAGATGTTGTAGTAGATGTGTACTACCAATAAACATACCAATCGGTGGAGCAATTTTGGGATTATTGGATTTGCTTTTGGAAGCATCATTCAAGTATCGCAACCAACGCGCATAGCGCATCTCGGCACGAGCCAGCATGACTTTGACAAGTTGTGGTCCCAAAGTGCGTTTGTATTTGAGGAATCGTTCCATCAATGAGAGATAATAAAAGCAATTTTCAACCGAGACGACATCGTTGAGTCGAGGAAACGTAACGGAATGTTCCTCTGCTGGAGGTTGCGGGAGGCTTGCATATTTCATTGTTTGCTGCATAATGAATGGTGTTGTTGTTATGGAAGGAGAAAGAAAAGGATCGACCGTCTTTATATATAAAGAGGCTATATTTTTATCTTTGATGCCATTACACAAGATTTATCATGTGCAGTTGTAAAAATGTAGTAGCACTGTACGACGAATAAACACGTCCTTGAGGGGACCTCCCCTCATGTGCTCAAAAACTTAAACCATGTGTGAGGCTTCAGTGGCTCAGCATCAGCTTAGCGACAGCGGCGCCGTTGCACAAAATGATACTGGTAGAAATGACGCAACCTATCGTTGTCCCGACAAATGATCATCATCATCGTCAACCTTGTAAGCGATCACGTTGACTATAATGTGAAGAGATCCCACTATCACTGGATACTAAGCCATGGTTTTGAACGATTGTTCCTTTGACTATACGCCTTCAGCCATTGAAGCATACCTATCGTACGACAAAAACAAACTCCATCGGGTGTCCCAAAAGCGCTCTTTCCCATATCAGGAGTTTACTTTGGCTGCTTGCCTCATTTGACAGCACTTGCATGCCACCGTGGAGTAAATTTAATGCTGAGCACCATCAGCAAGCTGCTATAGCGTAACTACTTTGTAGCACACACCGAGCTTTTCAATGCATACACTGTTGTAGTATCCAACCGCCGGCTGTGATATCTGCAAATTGGAATGCTACCTAATTTATCTTGCTAATACAGATGCTAAAGAAGAACAACATGCTTATTTATGTAAAAAAGGGGATGCCTACTATATATCTATACGCAGCCGTGCTTATCCAACAGTAGCCTTCTTAGTCAAAACATCACTCAAGCTATCAATGATATCACATAATTCATTTGAGATAGCAAGATCCTCGACACTGTCAGGGTGAGGAGCCATCCGAGCTATATTAAACGCATAAAAGAAGAATGTACCATGATTAGTATGCGTGTGCAGATACCATCATAGTAAGTATACCTCTCTTTTCAGAATCTTTCAATACTATAGCAAGGGCACGTTCATCAAAGTCGAGTGTTAGTAATCCGTTGTAAACTTCTGAAACGTTCTTTGCTTCGTTCAACTTGATATCGTGAGCCGATGCTGACAAGGTAAATGAGACATGGACATCCTCAGCAGTGATATCATTGACCATTTGCGCTAAGCGATCCTCGAGCTGGGACAAAAAGGTCCTCCATAGATGATCGGCATTATCTAACCTCGGGATGTTCAGATTGAGTAGGCCAAGAATACCATAGACGTAATCCAATGGATCCATGCATGTCCTAGGTGATCCTGCTAGACTATCAAATACGTCTTGGATTTGATCCAATCGGGCCACCATAGTCAAGTCCTCACTGCAAATGTAAGGTCCTTCCAAGCATGAGTCACGCTTTTGTGCCAACCATTCGACCATAGGTACATGCTCTATCACGTGATTCCATATATCAATGTTAATGCGATAGGACATGTGTGCCACACATTATTGAGACTCTTACCTCTCTCATACACCATACGTGTAGCATCATCCAAGTAATCCACAAATTCCTCGATTTGTAATACATTTATGACATCGTTGATGATGTCAAACTCGGCTTGGTCTTGGTGAATGTCAACATCTTCATTGTCTTGGTAGGACTCCGTAAGGATAACTAACTTGGTGGGTAACACAAGCTCTTGCAAAGTCCAAATACGGCTGAACCATCGGCACCCCAAGAGATCACGCATAGCTTGTATTTCATCTTGATAGGACATCAGCTTTTCCAAATAGGCCCCTGCTGCTGGTGAAACGAGATTGAAAGCTGAAGATTCATCAAGGTCGTCATTGGCGGCTTTGAGCATTGCCTTGTAAAGCGTCAAAAGTGTGGTAAAGATATCGTTTCTAGTAGGCAGCAAATGTCTTTTGGAAAGGCGATGGATGGTTTCGATTGAGCAATCAAGCAGAGCAAAGCAGGTCTTGCATGATCGATAGATGCTTCCCATGATCACAAGCGGGGTATCAACGCGTGCACACAGTACATCAATCCACCAATATCCAGGATAGGCCTTGAGAAGAGCCAACAACGTGTTGCGTTTTTCAGGCCGCATGGGTATAGGTTCAACAGGTGCACCATCCCAATCTTGAATAAAGTCACCAACCTCCCAATAGGGGTAATCCTTTGCATTCCCCCATAGATGTGATAAGGCATAATGGCCTTGTTGTTTCTCCATAGCTTTACGGTGCTCAAGTGTATCCGCCGGTCGAATCAACGTCATATTGCCATCGTCACTGACATAGAGAACTAGAAAATCCGGGTTGCTATAAAGACTTGGCCATTCATGTTTCCGGTATTCCATTTCATATTCTTGTTCTTGTTGTTTTTTCTCGTTGCCATCTTTTTCGATTGCTACAGGATCCATTTCGGGTGCTGTTGTGGCACATAGCTTGGTTGCCATGGAAACAGGCATGATGTTCTTGGTATATTATAAGCGACAAATCCAATGACGTTTCAATTTAACATGAAAACTGCTTCAGCAGAGAGAGAGAGAGAGAGGGAGAAAAAGAAAGAGGGAGAGAATAATGGTTGACCTGCATGCTGTGTGCCCCGTTTTACAACTTGGTGTTACATTCACTTCTCCAATAAGCTGTCAGCAGCCAATGTAGTACGATGGTTTGTTGATATTGCAGGCTGGCTGTGATATGTCATTGCGTCTCAAATGAGCCTATTCAAGCCGCCATACTAAACATTGAAGAATCCGATATCCCTCATGAGTGTTGCTAGTTGTATCCAACCGGGAGTGGCTTGCGTGAAATGCTTGATTTCATTCATTGCACTTGGCGGACGATTGATTTAAATTGAAGCTGTGTAAGCGTGTAACCTGACAACAGCATACGTACGTGGATAACTAGGATATGGTCGAGATCCAAGGCCCATTTGTTAACACATGCCTTGATGCATCTTCTTTGTTGGCTGTTGTTTACATACGTACGTACCTTTCTAAAGGTAATCATTTTCCATTTATGCAGCAACCTATCAACGACGCGTGTGTAACCACCGCTTGTCATTTCACTAAATTCATCATGTTGACCATAACGCTCTCGACAATCAATTAGCAGAAAGCAGCTCCATCACGCTTACAGTATAGATAAGCATGCAGGTACTTGTTTCTCGTAATTTCATAATAAAGGGTGGAGGCTTTATGAGAAAGAGGTTGATCAGCATGCCCAGGAGCATCTTGTGTGAAGGTTTCAGGTTCTGGAAGGGCAATCTCAATATCAAGGTTTGATGTACCAGTGAACATGGATTTGTAGAGCAGTGCCTGACCTATTTAATTTCGACTTCTTCCACTTCCACTTTCTTCCCTCTTCCTCCCATTCTCAATTGCTGGCCCATTCAAGTATACAACTACCACCAACGAACGATTGTCCTGCTTCAACCCATCATGTCAATCCTACAACCGCCCTGATCCGATTGTCTTTGTCTGAATGGCACGTTCATGGCGTGTACGCAGCCTTCTTGCCACCCTTCTACAACACACGAGTCTCTTGACACAACAACGCTCTCTAGCACGCACAGCATTCATTGCAACAGTTGCTATTAGCAGGGTCTTTACTCCATTGTTTCAAACAACATTCACAACCTTGTCACTCTACTACAACACACGCGCTTACACACTCCTCTCCCACAACCAAACGCAACAGCAGCTGCTATTAGCAACGTCTTTACTCCACCGTCTCGAGTGACTTGCAGCAACTTGCTTTGGTGCATGCGATTGCAATGAATGGGGTGCCTTATCATCTATCACGTACACAGCAATACAAGCAATATTCACCTGGTTGAGTTGCGATAGAAAGTGATCAAGAAGAGATGGACCAACAACCGATGGAAAAGGAAGCACATCGGAAGCGATGTTGGTGATGATGGATGGATGGGGTCTAGTACAGAGATGAGAAATCCTGGAATGTCACTTTGGTTATTTGGCACGTCGTCAGGAAGAAGGATGGATCATCTCACATGGATACTGCTGAGGATGATGATGGGTTGGATGGAATTGACAAAGGCGCTTAGATCTTTGGCGAAAGGTGTTGTACAGCCATGGATGATACTGGAGTACTTGATTCAATGCATGCAGCAGCTATTTTGCAATCATGAATGAAGGATGATTATGACGGCAGCAACCCAAGACTACAATAGCACAATTGCCCCTGTCGTCTCTATGTAATTCACCCGTGTCCCACTCAATGTTCAATGCTGTTCCTTTATTATAATGCTTGATAAACATCCACACTACCATATACTATTCTTCGACTACTCCATTGAATGAGAATTGTATTCAACATCGTACTATCGGCTCATGTGGGAAATATGTGGATCACTTGGTTGGTTTCTGGATTGAAAGTGGGGGGGGTGATCAGAAAGCGAGATTGAATCATTTGCATCATTGTGTCGAGTTGAGGAACACACAATGTAACTTCGAAGATGGGAATAATAAAGTGATCCGCTCATCGGATATGCAAGAAGTATACGGCTTTTGTGGTGATACAATAAGGAGGAGTGGGATGACCTTGAAAGAAAAAATGAAGTGATCCCTCCATTGAGTTTCAGGATGAGTGACCCATCAATCACTACATCGTTTGACAACATTCGCGAGCTAAAGGTGTTGCTGATCGGTGCCTCCACCATGTCAGTAAGATCCTTGCAACCTTGATTGTGTACTCCCATTCCTCACTTTTCTTGTTCTTGAGTCCTTGAGAACTACGTCAGCATTCTTGTTCGAGAGGTGAGGTGAGGTTGGATGCTCGTTTGCTCATCGTGTCAACAGGATCGTTAACACCTGTTCCCATCAACTTCTTTATCGGTTGCCATGGTCCCATTCATGCTGTCGCCATAGGTTACAAAGATTACCAAGATAGACATAGATCATGTAGATACATGCATGCAATGATAACAATAAACGTGTATATTGTAATAAGAACAAATGAGGGATTTGATTTATTAGCATACAAGAGGATGTTATCTCCATTACAGTAAACAAGGGCAAGTGGGTGATCTATTACTACGTATATGGGAAAGGGGGACTCCTTCTACTACTACTATTATCATTTTCATAATTTTGGTCGGCGGTCAGAACTGCTGGTATAACGCAACACTCCAACAGACGACACCTCATCTTTCCTCATTGCAGAAGGGGAACCGCTTCACGTCTGTTGCGCTAGCGTAACCTTACACCCTGTCAACTGCGAGGTAAAGGAACTCTCATGCCAACCTCACAAGGAGCAAGGCATATACATACTCCACTCCTGCAACAATGACCAGAACACGCTTAGCGGATTACATCCAGTCATGCTACGACCCAAGAGCATCCATGAACACGACCAGCGCAACATGAATACTTTCAGGCGGAGGGGTAACGAAGAAGGGGGAAAAAACCTCGCTTTGTTACGCGGCAAAGGCTAAGGAAAAAAACCCCCTGTACAGGCCACTCCAGTCAACTTGTTCTATAACAAACTTACATGAGTACATAGTGCCAAGAGATGAATGAACAATAGAAAACTTACCGGGCAAGAGAAAGGAGGATACTGCGCCTCAGAGGAAAAGGGCTTTGTTTTAAAAGAAAAAGTGCGCTCTTTCAAACGCGCAAATTTTTTCAATCCCAGCGTGGTTTTTTTACGTGCTTTTTTCGCGCTTTTTCGTCCAATTTCCTTTTATACTCAGCGCGTTTCGCGTCGCGCGTTTTACAGGCTAATCTCTGCCTAAAGACGCCGTTCTTTCTTGTACATGTGGGCAAGTAGAAGGGGAAGTAAAATTGTGTTGTCAATGACAATCATGCAAACTGACACCTCCTATTGTGGCACGAAGCTATCATGCCGACGCCGATGCGGAGAGATGTGCAGCTAACAGCGACGCCGTGTACCACTGCACCTTCTATATCGGTGCATGTTGATCCATTACTGTTTAACAAGCTATGTTGGATCAAAAGGGTATACCACACCTTCAATGCCCAAATGCTAATACAGAGCATTCATATATCTGGATACGCCTATCAAAATGGCATGACTAAAGAGATTCGACACTCTTGGCTTAAGCTGCACAAACAAGACGTCGTTCTGCATCTTTAGCTGCTTCACAATGCACAAAGACATCCTTCATATAGCATCACGATTGAAGCTTAGTAGAAATAAAGACGTCAATATCTCTCAACTTTACGATCAAGTGCGAGGGATTATTGTTGGGTACCATTACTATGGGTTTATTGTCTTTGAAAACAAGCGCGTCTATTTAAACCTATACAGCCCGCTGAGAAATGCCACTGCCTATCGTCTATCAGCGTACGAACAAGGAAGCTTCAACGAATGTAATGTGACAAAGGAACAAGGTATCTCGATACAATGATGTAGATGATCCAATCTCGCTCTCCACCTTCGAAAATCCTTCCTCCCTTTCATTCCACAAACCAACCAAGTCGATCACATAGAATCAGCGGGTGTCGTTGTTGTATCATTGGATCCCTTGGTTACCGCCGTCATAAGCATCTTCAACCATGATTGCAAACTAATTGTTATGCGTGCCTTGATTCCGATATCCCAATATCATCCATGGCAGCAAACCGCCTTTCGTCAAATATCGAAGCTTTCTGATCCATGCCATCCAATCCATCATCATCCTCAACTATAACCACGTAACATGATCCATCCTTCCTGCTAGCGACATTTCAGGGTCACCTATCACAGTGCTTGGCTGCATCCATCCATCCATTCATAACCATTGCAAGTCCAACATGTTGATAGAAAGAATCGTTTGCTGGCATCCTTCCTTTTCCATCCGGCTGTTGGGTCAACCACTTCGTTTGTCATTGTGTATAGCTGCTCAATCAGGAGAAGAATGCTCGTATGGCGCAGAATAGTTGATAGGTGATATGGCATCATCCATTGGAATCCATGTGTATCAAAGCAAGTTGCTACACGTAAACAAAGCTGCTTCTAAACAACGGCTGTCTGCTGTTCACGTAAAAAAGATTGCAAGTAGAGAACGTCGTCTGAGACAAAGACAAGACCTTGTTGACAACGACTGCTATTACGTTTGATCGGGAAAAGGAGTGTGCAAGAGCGTGTGTTGTAGCAAGGTGACAAGGTTGTGAGCACTGTTTGAGATAATGAAGTAACGACCTTGCTGCTTGCAACTGCTGGATGAACGCTGTTACGTTTGATTGTCGTCGAGGAGTGCACAAGAGAAGGTGAAGAGTCAAGGAACGTGGGTGTTGTAGGTAGGGGTGCACACGCCATGGACTTGCCATTCAGTCGAAGTCGTTGGGATCAAGACAATCGCAGGCTTGACATGATGGGTTGAAGCAGGACAATCGTTTAGAGATGGTGGCAGCACTTCAATGGACGAGCAATTGAGAATGGGAGGAAGAGCCAAGAAGTGGGGAGCGGAAGAGCTGGAAATTAAGTAGACTTTGTGTTGGATGATGTTTCTTTGTGTGTGCATTGCTCACCCAAATCCCCTCGGATCAAGGAAGTTGAACGATGGGCATGCTGGGCTGGAGCAGAACAATCGTTCATATGCATTGTTTTGGGTAACAATGGCGAATGGGAGGAATGGGCTATCAGGTATCAGGCTACAAATAACTTACCAATTTGATTCTTCTGATATTGGATGATGTTTCTGTGTTTGAGCATTTTTCAGTCAGATCTCATCGGATCAAGAAAGTTGAATGATGGGCATGCTGGGCTGGAGCAGGAGAATCGTTCGTATGCATTGGATCGGGTAACAAAGGTGAATGGGAGGACTAAGGTTATTAGCTGGCATCTTGAACTATTCCTAAATAGTGTACAAGAATCATGCATCGCCTGTGCTGAATGACTCAAGTTACGCAAACACGCCCTCTGCATCTTTTGCTCTATTATAGTCATACTACTTTACATTAAACAAAGACCACTTCTCATATAGCATCACGCTTACAAACATAAAGGTGCCTGTATCTCCAAACTTTACAATCAAACGTGGGCTCTTTAATAGATCAACGTGCTCGTCGGGGTCAAAGGAATCTTGTGTCAAAGTATGAAGTTCATCGTGGGCAATCCCAGATTTCACAATGTCGCCACTAGCCAAACTGGATCCGGGGCTCAACCTCTTTCGACGACGACCAAAAAAATATTTTTTGGGCTGTTTGCGACATTGAACGCGAAACTTTCACACAAGGTGCTGTTGGCCAAGCCGAGCACATTGCCCTAATCAAAACCCCACGTTTCATTGTAAAGTTTGGAGATACAGGCACCTTTATGTTTGTGAGCGTGATGCTATATGAAGAGTGGTCTTTGTTCATTGTCAAGTAGGTGGACCCTGGCAGAGCAAAAGATGCAGAGGGTCGTGTTGTGAAACACAGCTACGTTTGCATGAATGAAAGGGTAAATGTATAATTACTTTATGGATCATCTAGGAACAGGCATGTATTGCTAGCTAACGGCCACTTTAATCCAATCATCATTGTTGCGAGATCCACTGCATGGGAACGATGCCCCTGCTCTAGACATTCATTTCCATGATTAAAGTAGGTTGATCCGAGCTGATTTGACTGAGCTGCGGTCAAAGAGAGATTACATCACTCTGGACATAAAGCACGCTCGATGTAGCTCAACCAAATCAGCTCGGATCAACCTACTTTAATCATGGAAATGAATGTCTAGAGCAGGGGCATCGTTCCCATGCAGTGGATCTCGCAACAATGATGATTGGATTAAAGTGGCCGTTAGCTAGCAATACATGCCTGTTCCTAGATGATCCATAAAGTAATTATACATTTACCCTTTCATTCATGCAAACGTAGCTGTGTTTCACAACACGACCCTCTGCATCTTTTGCTCTGCCAGGGTCCACCTACTTGACAATGAACAAAGACCACTCTTCATAGAGCATCACGTTACAAACATAAAGGTGCCTGTATCTCCGAACTTTACAATGAAACGTGAGGTTTTTATTAGAGCAATGTGCTCGGCTTGGCCAACAGCACCTTGGGTGCCAGTTTCACGATCAAGCTTGCCAATCCCAGATTTCGCAATGTCGCTACCAGCCAAACTGGATCCGGGGGTCGACCTCTTGAAACTTTCTTCGACGACCAAAAAAATATTTTTTGGGCTGTTTGCGACATTGAACGCGAAACTTGCACACAAGGTGCTGTTGGCCAAGCCGAGCACATTGCTCTAATAAAAATCTCACGTTTCATTGTAAAGTTTGGAGATACAGGCACCTTTATGTTTGTAAGCGTGATGCTATATGAAGAGTGGTCTTTGTTTAATGTAAAGTAGTATGACTATAATAGAGCAAAAGATGCAGAGGGATTTGTTTGTATAACAAAGACAAGAGTGGCAGCATTTGAAAGGTCAATCCTATTGGTGGAGAAATGCATGACAGTAAATCCATTCCCTTTAGCAAGGTCTGCCTATGTTAGCCAACCATCAAGTCAACCACAGTATGGTTAATAAGCCTAAATGACCAGTGCAGCTACAAAAGCTTCGTGCGAAGGGATGAAAGTGGCATGATTTTGTTTATTGTCTGCCCTTTGATGCCGTCATAACGTCTTTTTCACGGTTCCAATCAGTTGCTGCGTTTTTTGTTTCGAGTATTGCAGTATCACCCATGGTTGTAAACCATCTTTTGTGAAGGTACAGGCCCTCTAGTAATGCCATACAATCCATCATCATCATCTTCCATCGTATTCATGTGATGTGATCCATCAATCCTGCATCCTGCTGACGACGTGAAAATAATTACAGCAACATTCCAGGATTCCTCACCACTGCAATTGCTTGCATCCATCCATGATAATCATATGATAAGTTCATGAGGCAATCAGATCCAACAAATTGTAGCTCTTAACACATAGCTTTGTCATGATACAAACAATTGTGGCAAGTAGCTGTTCCATGCATATGGATTCAGGGGAAGCAAGTGATTTGTGTCTGTGCTATGGTGCTGAGACTGTCAAATTGTTTTACATATGCAGCACTAGCCTAATCAAGTAACAGAAGCACATTGATGTACACATTTTGCTCCAGGGCACAGCCACAATTATGCTGCACCACCATCACCCACCACGATGTGCATGTGCGAGTGTCAAATTCCGATCCCAATTCTTTGATCCGAATACCCGCCAACGTTACGACAACGACAATGATGGACCTCATATTCCAATTGCTGCCAGTCCATAATGAGATGAATTGAATTGCACAGCCTCAAGTGAAACAACCACAGCATGTTGTTCACCCAAATGAATGATGATGGATCATTGTGGTGGTATCCAAGAATTCGACTCAAAAAGATATATAAAGGCAATTGAAAAAGCATCCTTTTCGAACCATCATCAGTCAAGTCAACAACAACAACAACAATGGTCAACAAGATTATCGCTCTCCTCTTTGTCCTCTCCATGATCGTCGCTGCCTCTGCCAGCCCTGCTCTTGACAAGCGTAGCTCATGCCAACTTGGTGGTCTCTGGAGCGGTGGTGGTGACGCCTTGTGCAGCGCTCACTGTATCAAGCAAGGCAACAAGCATGGTGGCCACTGCAACAAGAAGAAGGTCTGCGTCTGCAACTAAAATCAAGAAAGCATTACTACTACCTGCTGTATTACTCCTCACCCAATTTAACCTGTATCGATTATCTTTTCAATAAATCATGATCCTCCGTTTTTTCTATATACACAATCACCTCTCCAATCCAATTCATTATAAAGTACACGGGTCTAAATCCAATTGCTTGTAGGTAATGGGGCTTTCTTCACACACACACTCTTCATGTTTTCACTAACAAAGCGTGTTTTGGATATGATAATGGCTTTAGGCCTACACATTTAGATGCTAAGTTGTTTTCGATTGACCCAAAAAGTCATTAAGTATACAACTCGTACCTCGCTGGGAACAGCGATTAGTGAGGTGACCGCCACGCAATGTTCTATATGTATATGCATTGGATATACAAAGTATGTTACCATTAGAAGCGATATGATCGATTGGCCCATCTTTAAAGTTCGTCCTAGCTTTGTGCAAAGCATACTAATGGCGCCAAGAACAAATCTTGATATGCATCGAATCATCCAAAACCAAATGACATGTCTATACTAATGTTGTGTTTTTGCACTTGAATCGGACTGTCTTGGATGATAGCGCTTGCCTTTCATGAGCTTTTTCTTCTATTTCCACTTTTACGTAAAAAGATACCACCTATATCGATATTGGCCTTTGATGGACTGGGTAATCCATGCTCGTATTACGCATCCTTAGTGCCGAAAATAGAGCTGTTTCCTTTTGGATCATGGACTTCGATGTCATGTAAAAGAAGTAACAACCATTCTTGTTGGCATTAATGCGCGTCATGTCTCAATTGCAATACACGCATACTCTAATTGTATAGAACAATAACACCTAGCCTATGTAAATGCTCACATTGCTCCCTGCTCTACACTTGCTTTGGCATAGTGCGATAAAAGACCAACGTTAATGCTCATAGCATGGGTAAGACTAATTGCGTGGTGGTAGCACGTACCACCTCATTTCGGTATGGGGTACATGTATACCACAAAAATTGTCCGCCATCATGTTGGTATTGTAAATTGCAAATCATAAGATCCTATGTATGTACATCATGATGATCGGGAGATGAGACGCTCTAATAATGGTGGTGGTGGTGCCCAAGGTACACAGCAGCACGCGTAATGGTATCGCCACATGATCTTCTTCTTCTTGAGGCAGTGGTGCTAGTGTTGTGCTAAAGGTTGTTCTTTAGCAAATCGGACCATTTACGCTGATTCAGAATGATGGGTTCCACGTTAATTGATTCCTGATCAAGGGTGCATTTACATCGGCCACAACCGACATGAGGCATATGATCGCAAATCACAATAGTGTAACGCTGTTGACGCATGAAAAAGTTGTAAAGAGAGGCGAAGCCAGATATTAATCACCATTCATGGTTAATTCAACATGGCGTTAAAGGTGTGGCAAGGGTCCATGTATATGGATCAAGAAGCTACACATGTCCCCATACTCTTGCGTAAGCTGTCGTGACACTTTAATTTTTTATGCAGCACTCACCCAATCAGACATCCAGGTACCTGAGGCACAGCCACACATTTTTTTGCACATCACACGAGGTGATGATCTTGTCAAATTCCGATTCTTAATCTTTGATACCCGAATAACCGACGACACCCACCACCATGGCAAAGAATAATGACAATGACGATGATGATGATGATGGGTCCTCGTCTTGTATTCTCAATGACTATTCTTTAACGAGCAAGACACAGCCTCCTCTTGTTCAACACCACCATTAACAGGCTGATGACTATCCGATAGGGTATGTATTATACATCATCCAAGAATGTGAAGTGGAAAAGGTATAAAAGTGCCATTGAAAAAGCACCCTTTGGATCCATCATCAATCAAGAATAACAACAACAACAACCATGGTCAACAAGATTATCGCTCTCCTCTTTGTCCTCTCCATGATCGTCGCTGCCTCTGCCAGCCCTGCTCTTGACAAGCGTAGCTCGTGCCAACTTGGTGGTCTTTGGGATGGTGGTGCTGATGCCTTGTGCAGTGCTCACTGCATCAAGCAGGGTAACAAGCATGGTGGCCACTGCAACAAGAAGAAGGTCTGCGTCTGCAACTAAGAACTTTGTATGCAAGAAGAATTTGCCCAATCAACCAACTCTCTCCAACCCTGTATCAGTAACGATCATTTTCAATAAAACATGATCTCTTCTCTTTATACACCCAAAATCGATGCATCATAAGAATGCATACATGTTTCATCTTGTGTACTATTACTATCATTAACTTCTATTCAAAGTGTTGATGGATCCAAAGGCAGGTTTTCAGTGAGCACCATGGTGTCAGCTTCTTTTATGAAATCGTATACCACGTGATGTACGCGAGAGGATGCATCATTGTGCTGCGGCGTGCCACTCTTTTAATTCCGGATGTACATTTTATCCTCAGGCTGCTGCTTTTATATAAATGATGTACAAATTCAATGTCCTTCATCACCACCGATAACGATCATATTCAACCAGTGATCTATCCCTCACCCCATCTATATGTTTATACCGAACCGCAGTAAGAGGGTGCATGTCAAGTTTGGGTTACAAGGACATACCGCAGCAGTAGCATAAAGGGCGGCTTTATTTGCAGCTCAGCCAAAATGAACGTGTACTTCTTTCTTTTCCAACACACATTCACGCACACGACCCCGCCATGGAATTCAGCAACATTTTGCACCAGGTCGTCAGTGGCATTCACAAAGAATCCAAGGGAAAAGGAAAAGGAAAAGCCAAGGCTGGTGGTTTGACCTTCAATGCATTGAATCAGCCATTCACTCCCTCGCCTTCGACGCAGCAACTCGAAACGTCGGTTGAACAGTTCAAACAGCTATTAGAAGACTACCGCAGCAGCCTTCAAGAAGATGGTATAGCAACGATCATCTTATGTATGTTTATATCTACCTATGTTGACATTGTTGGATCATAGCTACCAAACATGATCTTGTATTCGGCAGCAATATTGAATTCAATCCACCCGAGCCATTGATATCACCACTCGAGTCCGAAGAAGAAGTATCCAGTGTGGATGATGAGCAAGAGGTTTCACAAGCAGCTACATCCACCTTTGATCGCGATTGGTTATTAAAGTACGTTGACATTCTATATCATGTGGAGAAGCCATTCTCACTGTTTAAATTAGGCTCTGCCGCGATTATGTCAATCAGCACAAGGATAATACGGCTATGAATGAACAGCAATTGTGCATTGATCTCTTCACGACGCTTCGCTCGGATGATAATGGTAAGAGCATATGCTGTTAAAAGGATACAAGGGATGACTTATGGATTCCTTATTAGATGACAGCATCCAAAACACGCTTGTCGACCTTTTGGGATACGAGGCTCTCGATATGGTGTCGACACTTATCATGAATCGATCCACCCTGGTAGAAAACATCATGAACCAGGTAATGTCTTTAGACATCACATGGTTTAGCGAATGAGACATCTGACATGTTGATGTAGTCGAGCTATGCACAAGCCAACCTCAGATCGGATGATGCTAGTCCCAAGGTCAAATCTTATGGACCTCAATTCACCGTTCAATCACAAGATGAAATCAAGCAAATGAAGCAAACACGCAAAGATAAACGCAAAACAAATCGCGAAAAGCCCCAAGGTAAGTAGTAGGAGTGGTAGCCATAGTGTTGATGGAATTTAATATCCTTTTGTTGTCAGATGAAAGCACCACATCCATGCATATTCTTGGTTTTGAGACGGCCAATTGGCGTCAAGCACGTGAACAGGCACTCGCTACTGCCGATCAAAGACCTTTGGCGAGTACGGGTCGAAAGGTAAAACATATAGATAAATGAGGGCTTTCTTGGGATATAGCATCTCATCCAATGATGATGTTTAGGCTCAATCAGGTCCTGTTTATCCCAATGTGTATCAATCTGGCAATGCCGGTGGTGGTCCATTAACCATGTTTGGTACACGATTTGCACTTCCAGCTGGCACAACACGTGATGAATACAAGGATTATGAAGAAATCACCATCCCTGTTCCTCAACAAGCACCCATCCGACAGCATGAAAGAAGAATCATGATCAGTGAAATGGATAATTTGGCTCGTGGTGCTTTCAAGGTATGTTAAAAGTATGAAAAAGAGGAGGGGTGCACAAGATAATAACAAGCATGATAGGCCTATGAAAGCTTGAATCGAATCCAATCCATTGTGTATCCAGTCGCCTATGAGACCAATGAAAACATGCTCGTGTGTGCTCCCACGGGTGCTGTAAGTGGATCCTTGCATTGTTTTACATTGACGATATACTGACATCGTAGGTATGTTAGGGTAAAACGGACGTTGCCATGTTGACAGTACTTCGATGCTTGTCGCAATATTGCAACCCTCCTCCATCCACAGAAGCCACGGATATCGATTTTACGATTGCGAAGGACGATTTCAAGATTGTGTATGTGGCACCTATGAAGGCATTGGCAGCTGAAGTCGTGGAAAAAATGGGCAAACGACTCAAATTCTTGGGGATCAGCGTGAGAGAACTTACTGGTAAGTACAAAAGGAGAGGGAACGATTTCATCTTGCTTACTCGGTGTTTAGGTGATATGCAATTGACAAAGACTGAAATCATGTCGACGCAATTTATTGTGACAACACCTGAAAAGTGGGATGTCATTACACGCAAGGGCACAGGTGATACTGAATTGGCCCAGGTATGAATTTTAATGACTTTTGGTGGATCTCATCTCACCTATCCAATATAGAAAGTACGACTTTTGATCATCGATGAAGTCCATTTGTTGCATGAAGACCGTGGTGCCGTTATTGAAAGTATCATTGCTCGTACTTTGCGCCAGGTAAAGAAACATAAGGATCCAGCACACAATTGGACAATACTAATGTTTAGAACAATAGGTCGAGTCGAGCCAATCGTTGATTCGTATTGTGGGTCTTTCTGCTACGTTGCCTAATTACTTGGATGTGGCCGCATTCTTAAGGTAAGCATGCATATATGCCATTGTTCAATAGGAGTGCTAATGGCCATGTTTATATAGAGTCAATCCATATCAAGGATTATTCTTCTTTGATGGTGGTTTCCGCCCCGTACCACTTGAGCAACACTTTTTGGGTGTCAAGGGCAAGGCCAATTCGGTAGCATCACGTGAACGTATGGATCGAGCGTGTTTTGACAAGGTGTCGGAGCTTGTTAAAGAAGGCCACCAGGTGATGGTCTTTGTTCATGCACGCAAAGAAACGGTCAAGACAGCACAAAATCTACGGGAACAGATGAATGATGAAGGATTGAGCGACTTCTTTGATTGTACCTTGGAAAGCAAGTACGGCTTTTATCAACGTGAAGTTGCAAAGTCCAAAAACAAGGAGCTGCGTGAATTGTTCAAGTATGGCTTTGGTATGCATCATGCTGGTATGCTGCGCTCTGATCGTACCTTGACCGAACGGATGTTTGCGGATGGTGTACTCAAGGTCTTGTGTTGTACGGCTACACTTGCATGGGGTGTCAATTTGCCCGCCTACGCTGTTGTCATCAAGGGCACTCAGGTGTACGATGCTCAAAAGGGTAGCTTTGTGGACTTGTCCATCTTGGATGTATTGCAAATATTCGGTCGTGCTGGTCGTCCTCAGGTAAAGCAAAAGTCAAATTATGGGTAGGGTCACTGGCTTATGGATTGCGTCTATAGTATGAATCTCAAGGTGTGGGTTATATTTTGACAACGCACGATCGTCTTTCGCATTATGTATCGGCCATCACACAACAACATCCCATTGAATCAAAGCAAGTATCATTTTTCTCATCCATAGCCGAGCTATTTACTAACATTTCATAACGATGGATAGGTTTATTGAGCATATTGTCGACAATTTGAATGCTGAGATTTCCTTGGGCACTGTGACCAACATTGACGAAGCTGTGACATGGCTCAGTTACAGCTACTTGTACGTGCGTATGAAGAAGAATCCTATGGTGTATGGCATGGACCATTCTGAGCCTGCTGAGGATCCGTTATTGGGACGCAAGCGACATGAGATTATTGTGCTAGCAGCTCGACGACTCGCCAAATGTCAAATGATCATTTTCGATGAGACGACTGGTTACTTGACACCCAAAGATCTTGGCCGTATCGCATCCAACTTTTATATCCGACACACGAGTATTGAGATTTTCAACGATTTCATGAAACCACGTATGACAGAGGCAGATGTACTATCCATGATGAGTTTGAGTTCAGAGTTCGACAATATCAAATCACGTGATAACGAACACAAGGAGCTGAAGGGCTTGCTTGACAATGCTTGTGCATGTGATATTCCAGTAAGTAGTACTTTTTCTTGCTCCAATGCATCAAGAATGACTCTCTTACATTTGTATTTTAGGGAGGTCCTGATTCAACGCATGGCAAAGTCAACATTCTTTTACAATCTTACGTTTCCAATGCACGCATTGATGATTTCGCCCTGGTGTCAGATTGCGCGTATGTTGCACAAAATGCTGGACGTATTGCACGTGCTTTGTTTGAGATTGCATTGAACCGCAATTGGGGTCCTACGGCGTATGTTTTGTTATCCATCAACAAGGCCATTGAGAAACGCATGTGGACATTCCAGCATCCCTTGTATCAAATGGGCGTGCCAGTGGATATTATGCACAAGTTGGAAGCACGCACACACCCAGTATCGATTGAAGAAATGCGTGATATGGAACCTGCCGAATTGGGTGAATTGGTACATCACAAACGCATGGGTCCTCTCTTAGCACGCAATGTGGATCATTTCCCTTCGCTTATTTTGGATGCACGTATTGCACCTATTACACGCAACGTGTTGAATGTGGAACTCAGTATCACGCCGGATTTCTTATGGAGCGACAAGATCCATGGAATTGTAGAGCCATGGTGGATTTGGGCTGAAGATTCGGATAATGTCGAGATTTATTATTCAGAGTACTTTTTGCTACACAAAAAGTCGTTTGGCGAGACCATCAAGATTGGATTCACGGTGCCCATTGTTGAACCCCTTCCAGCACAAATTTATATCCGTGCCGTATCGGATCGATGGCTTGGTGCTGAAGCTGTACTTCCAGTATCATTCCAGCATTTGATTCTACCACAACTCAGTCCTCCCAACACGGATTTATTGGATTTGCAACCATTGCCCATCACAGCACTCCAAGATGAGACGCTTGAAAACATTTGTGCACAGCGATTCTCTCATTTCAATCCTGTACAAACACAAATTTTCCATACATTGTACAACTCGGCCCATAACGCATTGGTGGGTGCACCTACCGGTTCTGGTAAAACAGTGGCTGCTGAATTGGTCATGTGGTGGGCATTCCGACAACATCCTGGTAGCAAGGTGGTGTACATTGCACCTATGAAGGCATTGGTCAAGGAACGTGTGGGTGACTGGAACAAGCGATTGACTGGAGCCATGGGCAAGAAACTGGTCGAATTGACAGGTGATGTTACACCCGATCTCAAGACAATTGAATCTGCCGATATCATCATTACGACGCCTGAGAAGTGGGATGGTATCAGTCGTAGCTGGCAAACCCGTAGCTATGTCCGCAAGGTGTCCTGTGTCATCATTGATGAAATTCATTTGTTGGGTGGTGATCGTGGCCCTATCTTGGAAGTGATCGTATCACGTATGAACTACATTGGTTCACAGCTTGAACGCAAGATCCGTATTGTTGGCTTGTCCACCGCTTTGGCCAATGCACATGACTTGGCAGATTGGCTTGGTATCGAAAAAGTGGGCTTGTTCAATTTCAGGCACTCTGTACGGCCCGTCCCTCTCGAGATTTACATTGACGGCTTCCCTGGCAAACATTATTGTCCTCGTATGGCCACCATGAACAAACCAACCTATGCAGCTATCAAGACCCATTCACCCACGCAGCCTGTGATTGTCTTTGTCTCATCTCGTCGACAAACGCGTTTGACAGCACAAGATTTGATTGCCTATTGTGGTATGGAGGATAACCCACGTCAATGGTTGCACATGGATGATATGGAATTGGAGCTGTTATTGGATCAAGTGCATGACGAGTCACTCAAGATGGCATTGGCTTTTGGTATCGGCTTGCATCATGCTGGTCTTACGGAGGAGGATCGTAAGCTGGTTGAGGAGCTTTATCTCAAACTCAAGATCCAAATCCTTATCGCAACAAGTACTCTTGCTTGGGGTGTCAACTTACCAGCTCATTTGGTTGTTATCAAGGGCACTGAGTATTACAACTACAAAGTGGGTCGATACGTGGATTATCCCATTACGGATGTGTTGCAAATGATGGGTCGTGCAGGTCGTCCACAGTTTGATAGCACCGGTATTGCACGTGTATTTGTCCAGGACAGCAAAAAGAACTTTTTCAAAAAGTTTTTGCATGAACCTTTCCCTGTTGAATCGAGCTTGCACAAGTACATGGATGACCATATCAATGCAGAGATTGTGGCGGGTACCATCAAGACGAAGCAAGATGCGATGGATTATCTCACATGGACCTACTTTTATCGTCGCTTGCAGCAAAATCCCACCTATTATGGCTTGGATGATATGACACAAAAGGGTCTTGACACATTCCTTTCCAACATGATCAATGACGTGTGTAGTCGATTGGAGGCATCCGGTTGCTTGGAAGTTGATGAAGGATTTGATTTGATACCATTGATTTCAGCACGCATCGCATCATACTATTATCTACGCCATCAAACGGTGCGTCATTTCGGCCAAAGCTTAACATCGCAATCAATGATGGACGATGTCTTGGATATTATGGGTCATGCTCCCGAGTATGATGAGTTGCCTGCTCGTTGCAATGAAGACTTGCTCAACCAGGAGATTGAAAAGTTTATCCCATACAAGGTGCGCGGATCTCGTGATTTCAAGAGTCCACATATCAAGGCCTATGTTCTTACCCAAGCCCATATCAGTCGTATTGAATTGCCTATCTCTGATTACATTACGGATCAAATCACTGTTCTTGACTCATCCATTCGTTTCTGCCAGGTAAGAAAATATATATTTTGTGCGTGTATACATTGGATTAACGGGGTTGCTTTAGGCTATGATAGATGTGGCTGCTGATGCAGGATACTTGACGACGACTTTGACGATCATGAATATGCTCCAATGTATCAAACAAGCTCGATGGCCTGAAGAATCCACCTTATTGACCCTGCCCAAGCTCAAACCGCGCATGTTGAATCATATCAAGCATCCCAGAAGTAAAAAGCCGCTCACGTGCTTGGCCGAATTGATGCAGTATTCCGACAAGCAGATCCGTAGCATCTTTGAAAATGTCCCAGGCTTGTCTTCCAACGATCTCAATGAGATTCAGCGTGTGGTGGGACGTCTTCCCAACATGGATGTGACCACGACGATTGTATCCAAAAAGCCTTATTTGATCCCCGAGACCTCCTACAAGATTCAAGTGCAGCTGAGTCGCCGTGGCAACAAGCGTGGCACACATGATGGCAAGGTGTATGCTCCACAATTCCCCAAACCACAATATGAATCATGGTGGCTAGTGATGGGTGATCCAGAAAGCGATGAGCTATTGGCACTTAAGCGTATCAGTATGCGCAATGGACCCAATGAGACACTGAGCAACAAGGCTACTTCCACCATCAACTTTGAAACACCTGTGCATCTCGGTAAACACAAGTATGTCATGTATCTCATGTGCGATGGATACCTTGGATTGGATCAGCAATTGGATATCGAATTTGAAACTCGAGTAGATTTAGATTCGTAATAATAAAAGGACACTCTCTTTATGTGTGACACGTGCCACAATAACCATGCCAAGTGTTTGAAATCCTCTTACTTTTCTCTCTCTTCCAAGACATGCTTGGCTAAATGAGTGACATTACTCCATTCGCTCTTGTTTTCACCCATTGCTTTTCTCCATCATGTCGACCCTGATTCTCTTTTGCATTCTTGTTTTATTTCTGCTATGGCTGTGCCAAGACTATCCTACGTGGCGACGAGAACGACGACGACAACAACTCGATGGTAGCAGTAGCAGTACTGGAAAAGATAATACACCCACAGCATCAACTACCACACCATCATCATCATCATCATCATCCACCGCATCCACGACAACAAAAAAGGAAGAGAAGGAGGATGGCAAAAAGCCTTCGTTTTCTTTAGCTCATTACATCCTAGCAACACCTTTGGCAGTAGTTTACATGGTGATACGATTGATCTTGGATGCATTACGGCATGCAATCTATTACACCTTGTGGGGCATCGAAAAAGCAGCACCACATGTGGATGATTGGTTATTTGACAAGGTGACAGTATGGATTCCTGCCAAACTGGAACAATGGCAACAATGGTGGGAGGATCATGGAAAGAGACACTTGCAGACAGTACAACGCTACACCAAGCAACGACTTTTACCGGCATTGATCCAAGGGGTGGAAACTACCGTGGTTGCTCTCGTCTATGGTGGGCGTGAAGCAGCACGACTATGGGATCAAATGATGTTGGCATGGCAACGATTCATGCAACAACACGACTGGCAACAATTGGCATCCGATCTTGTGGACGTCTTGACACCGATGGCTCTACGTATAGCAAGACTTGCTGCGATGGTATACCATGGTACCCTTCGTATTGGCCAATCACTTAAGCAAGATGCTCTATGGGTATGGACCATTGCTATCCCTTTTATCGTCAACAAGGTGGCAGCTTCTTCCAATACGATACGACGTATCCTCGATTCTTGTTGCATAGCTGGTATCTGGATCACGGATCATGTGGTCACGCCTATGGTACGCATAATTCAACCTGCCATGATCAAGACGGCGGATACGATTCTTGGCATTGTACAATCACCCACATTTATCCGATTACGATATGATTGCTATCGTGCGATGGCAGTGCGCTTTGTATGGGTCGTTATGGAAAGTATGACCATGATACAAGATATGAGTATTTGTGTGGAATGGGTGATTGTGCATACATTGGTCCCTTTGATCTCGTGTTACTTTAATGAAATCCAACCACGACTCGCACACGTCTATCATTATATGGTCGCTTTATTGGTTCAACAAATACTTATGCCTATCTACCAGCGGTCGTATCCACTATGCATCACTCTATATACCTCCATTGCAAGACCAATTGCCATGGCCATTCATCAAGCTACGCAACATACATACAAGGTGGTGTCATTATTGGGACAACGAGCGATTCAAATTACTGTACAAGCATTACAACATATGTGGCCCCTTGTATCTGCTACCAGTCAATGGCTCCAACGACAGGCACCATTTTTATACGAGTTGTTTGCATCGATTCATTTCAAGGTGGATTGGCCAAGTTTGGGACAAGATGTCATGGGGATGGGTCGTTGGATGGTAACACAGGCTGAAAATGTGTTGGCATCCTTTGAACGCACCTTCTCAGAATGGATCAAGGATCAATCTTTACCTGAAGATGATAAAGTCAAAGTCCAATAAATGGCTCATTTGTCTACGTAAATGTGTGGAAGCAATGTGATGGCAGGAATATGGGCAATCAAATGGAATTGGTGCCTTTATTGTGATATTGATAGGTGGATAAAAGAGGACAAGCAGACTTTGCTACAAGTCCATCATCAAGTTGGGCTTTAAATGTGTGTCAGCCATAAAGCAGTAATAGGATGGATGGAACAAAGTCTTTAAGGGGATTCATGCGGGTACCCAAAGTCAGCTGGGTTGTCTAAGAAGCGGTGGCAGGCAGACTGGGACTAAGCCACAGTAAGGATGGGGCTAAGAATTTTCATACAACTGGATCAGTGGTCTCTCTCTCTCTCCTTTCACCACCTATCGAACCGCCATGTCGACTTTTGAAAAGGTTAGCAGCATGACGTCCATCGACTATGACGCACGTATCCATTGCGACATGAACCAACATTAAACATATACATTCGTATACACACACCTCAGGTTATTGTCATTGATGGCAAGGGTCACCTTCTTGGCCGTCTCGCCTCTATTGTCTCCAAGCAAGCCCTTAGCGGTCAAAAGGTCGTCGTTGTTCGTTGTGAAGAATTGAACGTTTCTGGCGAGTTTTTCCGTAACAAGCGTATGTACTCGTTTATGGATCCAGCATTGGATAGTGTATATGCTAACCTATTGTTATAATAGTCAAGTACCACTCTTACTTGCACAAGCAGAACCGTGTCAACCCTCGTCGTGGTGGTCCTTTCCATTTCCGTGCTCCTTCTCGCATCTTGTACAAGGCCATCCGTGGTATGATTCCTCACAAGACCGCTCGTGGTGCTGCTGCTTTGGATCGTATCAAGCTCTTTGAAGGTGTCCCTGCTCCTTATGACAAGGTCAAGCGTATGGTGATCCCTGATGCCCTTCGTGTCCAACGCTTGAAGCCTGGCCGCAAGTACACCACTCTTGCCCGTATCTCCAAGGAATATGGCTGGAAGTACCAAGATGTCGTTGCCAAGCTTGAAGACAAGCGCAAGGCCAAGGCTGCTGCTTACCATGAGCGCAAGGTCGCCCTTGCTGCCATCGAAAAGAAGGCCATTGCCTCCAAGGCTGATGCTGTCAAGGACATTAATGCCTCTCTCGCTGCTTTGGGTTATTAAATGCATTAATTCTCCACACCTTCATCATCCCGTTTACTTCCTTCTATCCCACAATACATGATTCATTCTCAAGTGTGTATTTACCATGTTTTACAAAATGTGTGTGTGCTTTTTTTTTATTGTGTTTGTATGCTTGATATGTTGTTGTTGTTGTGTTTGCATTGGTGCTGCGTGTGTGTGTGAGTGAGAGAGTGAGTAAAGTAGATAGATATCATATATAATATAAATGTGTGAAGATAAAAGAATGTGCTGGTGGTGATAGTGGCATGATATAATAAAATGGGTGGGTGGGGTTCCTCAAGAACGACGAATCTTTTGCTTGACACGGCTTAATTGAGAATCGACTTCATCCAACATTTCTTCAAGCTCTTCTTTACGTCTGCGTGACATGGGTCCTCCACCGGATAATGGGATCTTGCTATAATCGGATTGAAGCTATATTCCATTACATGTTAATCCCTGATGCATGTGATTCAAGTCCATGGGTATACATTCTTCTCCCCCCTCACCTTGCTCCGATATACCTTTTCCTTTTCTTTGGTGAGTTTCATCAACTCACGATCCAATTCATTCACCTCCTCATAATAACGGGTGGGTTGTTTACGATGGGATGATACATCAGATTCACCGCTCGTCACTGAAGATTGTGGGGTATTGTATTGCTGTTGCTGTTGTTGCTTGATAGGAATGGATGAAGTCGATGAACGAGTGGAAGGACTGGGTGGTAAAGAACCTCGTTGTTGTTGATGTGTGGTAGTGTCATCTTGGCTATACATTACAATAAGTACTCGAAATATCCACAAAAGAATCACGTCTACTATTACCTTTGCTGTTGATGATTGAATGCTTGTGCTTTCATTAATTGATCCATGGTAGACCGCAACAATGCGATTTGATCATGTGATTGTGCAAGCTCCGTCTACAACCAAAAACGCCATGTTAATGCTATCATCATCATTGGATTACAAAACACACGATCATATATACCTTGAGCCTATCGATTTCATGATCCTTTTCAGCAAGTTGGCGGTCTTTCTCCTGGATGATATGCTCCTTTTCCTTGAGCTCATGGTCTTGGTTCCTTAGAGCATTATCCTTTTGCTTCAAAGTCTCTTTGAGTGTATCACGCTCCTCTTGAGCATCTTTTTGCAATTGCTACAATCCGTGTATGAGCATCGTGTATATCTATAGACATACATCACATACCTCGATATCAGATTTCCATTGATCCACTTGATAGGATTTGTCTCTATCCAATACAAAATAAGTTTTTTTTTTCTCTTGGCCTCTTTCCCCCCTTGAACCATTGGCCCTCTCTCTCTCCCCCCAACTCCTTTGTGAAATCTTAACCCCCTTGCATGCTCCTCTCTCTCTCTCTCTTTCTCCTACCTGGCAGTATTGTTGCTCATTTTGAGTTTATCCATCAAAACATTCAAATCTTCTTCACGAGTCTTGTTCTTTTCCTATAGTAGAATCAATGAGATCAATGTTGTTTCGATACAAATCTCCAGTCCTTACCTTTTCTTCCTCATATTTTTGCTGCAATGATTCTTTTTCTTCCATGAGATCATCTAGCATTTGACTAAAGTAATCCAAATCCTTAGCCACCGCTGCATATCAAAATCGGGTTAGCTCATCTCTTGTACGCCCAAACCACTCCCATAATCCAACCCCCCCCCAAATGACATACCTTCTTTTTGACCTTGAAGGACCTTGACGATGGATCGTTCTTTTTCCAAGTCTTTTAAAAGAGATTGAATGGTAGGTTGAGATTGTTCATCCGCTGTAGTTGTTGTTGTTGTCGCATTCTTGGTAGAATTGGCAAGACTACTAGCACTTTGTTTCTTGTTGAGACTTTTGTTGGATGATTGAGATCGAATCTTGTTGCCACCAGCAGCAACACCACCTGGGATTTGAGATGGTTTGCGTAGTCTAGTAGAAGAGGTGGTAGGTGTTGGACGAGGTGTAGAAGGTGATTGTTGTTGTTTGTTGGATGCACTACTACTGCTACTGGTGCTAGTGGATGTGGTGGACGAAGGTGTACTTTTGATATTATTGTTATTGTTGTTTGATCCAGTAGCAGCGATGGCGGCTACAGCGGCTGCTTTAGATGCATTGGAATGATATCGAGGTCGAGCTAAACGAGAAGGGGTCGTTGAAGTTGTCTTTGTTGGTGCCACTGAGGATGATGATTTGTCGGTATTTGTTGGTTTGGGTGGCACAGGTGCTACATCATGCGTTTGTTGTTGTTGCTTGTCCTCTTCTTCTATCGATGTAAAATAGCATCAGCTGTTATTCTATTTCCCCCATTCTCCTTCAATGTATATAATACCTGGTTGTTCTGCCTGACTGGGAGGTGGTGTTACAGGCTTTTCTGGTGTGGCTAATCATCTAGGATGAGTTGTCATTTCATATTAAAGATGAGTGTGTGACACTTTACCAATATCCAATGATGGAGGTGGATCATTCTTAACAGCGGCGCTTAGACATGGCATGGATGGTTGATTCGTAGGTGCAGGACGCGCTCGTAAAGAGCCCATGCTTTGACGTTTATGCGGGAAGAATCCACTATACAAGCGTATCATTATTAGTGCCTTGTTGAAAAGGGAGAAGGAAGGAAGGAAGAACATTGGATCCCCTTATCCTACCTTAGTCGTTTGCTCTTGACCGACTTGTCGTCGTCAGCGTCATTGCTAGGTGGTTGTTGTGTATGTTGCTCGGATACTATTCAATGGTCGAGTAGTCAGCCAATGGGGCCACCCCATGGACGAGGTTGTTACTACAACTGACCTGCGGATGACTTTTTCCCCAGACCCAACTTTTTCCAAAACTTTGGAGTGGAAGACTTGGAAGACATTGCGACAACAAGGAAGAGTCCAAAAGGACAATGGAAAGGAGCGATGAGAAAATGGGAATGAAGAAAAAGGAAAAAGAAAGTGATGGACAAAGAAGTGAAAGTGAATATGACAGTTGAACAAGGTAATGTGCCTCGCTTCCATCTTTATTTTTTCCTGCGGAGATAGTGTGTGTATGTGTGCCTTTCTACCCCTCAAACCACGCGCTTGCATTTCATCCCGGGTTTTTATGGTGGGTGCAACATCATTGTTCTCTCTCTTTGCTCGCTCGCTCTCTTTCTTTCTTTATATAATATATACTTTTTTCCAATGCAAAATGATGAAATCTCCCTCAATTGGGAGTTTGACTATCTTGTGAATGAAATGGATCTGCTATGCTAGTAGTAGTAGTCGTCGTCGTAGATGAATTCCGTTTCCTACTAGTGCCTCGTGGTTTTGTATCGCTTCGAATTGGTATCTTGACGCCTTGTTTTGCAAAGCACTGGGACAATGCGGTGGGTGCTATCATCACAATCAATTTCCCTATTCTTTCTCTCCCTCCCTTTCCCTATCTCTTTGTCACTTACAAACAACACCTGGAAATGCCTTTGCTGTATAAGCTATAAACACATCCGAAAAGGCGGTTGTCACGACATTGCTGATGCTTTGAGTATTTACAGTATGCTGCTTGGGTGATGATGGTAATGAAGGTGATGATGCCGCTGCTGCTGCTGCTGCTGCAGTGTTGCTGCTAATAGTAGTAGTGCTTGGTGTTGTTGTAGTAGTATTAGAGGAGTGTATCAATCTACATGGAGATGAGCAATTCGTCTCTTTGATTAAATGAATCTTCTTGCATCACTTACGAAGTTCCAATGTTCAACAAAGAAAATAAAAGACGAAATTTGCCTTCAGATCGTAAACTGAGGTCATGGAATACATAAAAAATGCCAAACTCGCCATCCACATTATAGAGTTTAGCTCCCGTGGCAACACAGGCACCCACAAGGTTACGCATAGCAACGGAAGAAGAAGCATGACTTGATGTAGCCGCCGTTGATGATGATGACGATGATGATGCGGAATAGACCATGTTGGCAGGTTTAGCCATGTCTTGTTGCCAACAATCACAAAACACCACCAAAAAAGAGGTATCAATATCACTAAAAGAGAGGGGCACATGTCAATAGGGATCGTTATCATCAGCATCACGACAAACCTATTACCGAGCTGGAATCAGGGTACCATCCAAAGTACGCACAATTAATTGTACAATGGGAGGCGGTGATATGGGTCGGCGATCCTTGTCACCAAATCCGCACATTCGCGCTCTAGAAGGTTGCTGCACCACTTTTAATTCAAATCTAAAAAAGAAAATTAGAAACACACACGTGTACGGATATTACATGTACACACTTACTGAGCATTCTGTAATTGGTCAGATGAGATGATGGGCTCTTGTCTTGAATGCAAAGACTCGTTTTGATGATCGTCCATCATGGCTGAAGGTGTTGTTGCAGGCGTTGGTGTAGGTGTTGTAGTAGTAGTAGCTGTTGTTGTAGTTGTCCATGCTTGTGCATACGGCAATGAATGTAGCCCTGGTGACCATGGATCATCATTTTGTGTTGCAATGCAAGAAGAATTACTACTTCCTGGTGCCCTTGCCATCGAAACCAGTCGACCAAATAAAGCTTGTTCTTGACATTGTTGTTGTTCTTTTACGTATTCAAAATCTTCCAAAGCAACAGCGGCGGCGGCCTGCGCTACCATTGCTGCTTCTTGTTGCTGTTGTTGCTGTTGCTGCTGTTGTTGTTCCATAGCTGCTGCTTGTTCGATGGCTGCTACTTGTTGCTGCCACATATGGTGTTGTTGTTGTTGTTCGCTTGCTGCCAATGATGAGGATGCTCTCGAGGGACCTGGAAGAGGTGTCAACGTAGGATCATATTGTTCTTGTTCATGTCGTCCTAAACAAACATTGACGTACGTACTTAGGAACCCGGTCCCTTTTACGATGATGGTGATGATGATGACGACGACGCGGTATATATAAATATCTACCTTGTCAAGGCGCGTTCAACTGAACTTACCTGGCAAAAAGATCGGAACTGAAGATCCAGTAATCACTCCATCGTCAACATTCTCCCCCAAATAGTACGGGTAAAAAGGTTGCTGTTGCTGCTGTTGCTGTTGTTGAGTAGCCGTGTCTATCAAATACTGATGATGGTGTATGCTACTACCATCATCTTGTGTTGCAGTCATAAACGTTGGCATCGGCTCATCGTCCAAAAGGCGTTGTTGTTGTGGTTGTTGTTGATACTGCGTAGAAAGATCATGATGATAGGGACTACGTGTTTGCTCAGTTGTTGACTTTGATGAATCATCTTGTTGATATTCGCCCGTCCCACCAGACGGCAACATGGCAAATCAAAAAAACTATTATGTGTGCGTTGCTATCGAAACAGTCGCCAAAGGACTTTGTTATCAAAAGAAATGTAAGAGCTTGGCTGTTGACTTTTTGATGATGATGGTGATGATGGTGATAGTAGCTGTTGTTATCGATGTCGTGGTGAATAACGAAGCTTTATGTTTCAAAAGAAGAAAAAGAAGGGAAGAAAAAGGTGACCTGAGCCGCGGGGCAAGAAAAAAAAAGATACAGAAAGATAAAAGGGGGAGAGAGAAAGAAAAAAAAGGTGAATGAGTGAGAGAATGAATAAAAAGAATGCAAGGCAAGAGGCTGTCACGTACAAAAAAATACACTTGGCAAGATACACATATCAAAACCATCCTTGATACTGGTCATTCTCTGGCAGATGATGATAATGTTTTCTCGGAGGTGGGCATGGCTGCTCACGCGCTGCATATACATCCCCTTCCCATCTATCTTTTTCCACTTTTTCGCACACCCACATATGCTCATGGATTATCATGCATGCATGCTATTTTTTCATCACCCCCACAAACCCAACCAAGCAACCCAGGTTGCCTACTACACACACGCATGTACGTATATATACACTCACATTGCTGCGTACTACTATTCGTTTTTGGGGGGTTCGTGGGGAAGTAACTTTTATGAATGAGACAACATGTATGACAGATCAAACCATTTTTACAATAACGGTGATGACAATGTCAAGTTTTTTTGACAATAAGGATGATCGGTGGTGTACCGTAGGGCAAACAATCAAGAACAAAAGAACACATGTGCCATGGTAATTCCATGGACGCACGTGCAGTTGCGAATAATAATGGTGGGAAATGCAAAAGTGTGTGCGTATACGTGTGTGTAAGCGAGTGTCCCATGACCTATGGGTTGTACACACAATAAGGCAAATGTGCAGTGAATGATGTCTACGCACAACCTTGGGAGCTCCTTTTAGTCTAGAACCAGAAGATAAAGAATGTAATGAAAAAAAGGTGCTGCCTTTCTCGGGTGTCCTCGTGTCTGGTGAAACCGTGTGGTACTGCCATCTGTGTCTAATGTATGTTGGTGTAAATGGTGGTGTGTGGCTTTACTCATTTGTCGTCATTGTTCTTGTTTTTTATACACCGCATATGCACAAAGAAGAGGGGATAAATGATGATGTGCAGTGTGTGTGTATGTGGTGTGTCTCGCGGTGTCTTTGGAAGGTAACACACGCACGCTAAATGATTTGACATTGTCGTGCACGTGTTGCAGTTTCAGACAACAGGCGTACAACAAAAGAGGTAAAATAATAGTTTTGAGAAAAAGCCGATCTCAAACATCCCCGTGGAGAGTGCAAAGAAAGCAAGGTCCCCCCTAATTGTTGCATTTGAAAAATGTTCGAGTACATGCAGCATCGTCCTACTACTGATGAACATCTGATAAGCAGTATCCCCATTGGCGGGCCGACAATGTTGCCGTCATCATCATCCTTCTATGTATCTTTTTGAAAGAAGTAGGCAGCTGCTAGTTGATATGCACAAAACAAGGTCACCACCGCTGTTGGGAAGAAACGGGTATATGGGTCAGAGGCATCAGACACAGAAAAAAAAAGAATGATGGGACTCAAAGATCAAGGGAGAGGGATTTGATTGGATATGATTTTATGATAAACATCAGGTCCCAGACATTGCTGATGTGGGCCCACCAACATGCGCGCACTGTGTCTCCCCGCACCACCTGCTGGTTTTTCTTGGCACTGAAACATTTTTTGGAGAATCTCTGGGCAATAGGATCAACGCATTGATACAGCTGTGCCTGGTAAGGTAGTCCTTAAGGAACTCTTATTTCATCATCAAGGCGATCATCATTATCTTTTCAATGATGCCTTGGTTATATAAATAAACGAGGGGCTGTTCAATGGATGTGGCAGCGTTCCACTGTCTTGGAGAGATAAAAAGATTGTTACAAACCTAATCCAATCGCAGCTAGATTTTGAGCGATGTTACCATGGAATTTTCAAAAAAGTGATAACGACGCTCAACCTTAATGCTAACGTGGCCGTGGATCAGTTTTCGCATGACACACCTTATCTTGTTTTGTGTTGCCATTCGTACGATATCAATCCACCCACGATCGCAGTGGCTGCTACTGCTGACTTTTTTTTTGTGGGAAATTACACGGTTTCGACATGCAGCAGTAATAGCAGCAGTAACTTTTCCCGATGATGTCCGTCACTGGTTGTGCAAAATCGAGATGAGATGGGCCAAGGGAAAAAGTTTGGGTAATAAGATTTTTTGTGCCTTCCCTTCTATCCTTTTGGAAATCAGAAAAACACACATTCTGTTTCCATGGCAACAAATGAATCAGGTGATGATGACGAAGGTTGTTGTTGAATGCCAATGACAAACAACAACATGATGATGTCTTCGGGTAAAGGTCTAGGCATAGGTACCCTATCTCTCATACATAGGGACCCTCCCCCCGCATCTCCTTGTCAAATGGCGATTAAATTATTTACATCCATGTGTGTGCACGAATCCCACAGACAACAGTGAACTAGGCTACATATGCTCTAGTCGCATGCATCATGTTGCTGCGTTGTCACCAAACCACCCACGTGTTGGAATGCCTTTACATGTCTCAACACTGATACGTATCATTACGTAAATAGTGACAGCCAATGTAACCATGGCAACCGTATACAAGAAGAGTGACGCAATAAAGAAACAAGCTCGCAACATGTTACCAAGCCATCTACTACTACAACATGCATACCTGCTTACGCCCCATGTGTTTCAAGGAAAGTTGATCTCGCATTCTCGTTTGAAATTGTTGACATGGCAACCATGTTTGCAGCCCGCCAACAAGAGAGGCTATGATCGTTGGTGTAGTGAATGATGTTGAAACCAGGGATCGGCAAAAGTTTAGAATGATTTACACTCCACCCCTCAAGATTATGCAGCCGTGCACGAAAAAAAATGATCCGCTTCTCCACATACAAGCACGCACTTTGCGTCGAAGCTATACTATAACCCAGCGATCATCTCATGTCTATCGGGCATAGCACCTCTCTATAAATATTTACATACACCGCAGCTTCTTTTTCCTTTAGTAAAAGAATGCACGGGCCATCATGTATGATTATCAGCCAGGGTCTCTTTGTCAGCGGAGCACATGATGTATTATAAAACTGCGGCATTATATCGATAGCGGGGCTTTTCATAGAATACCTCTAACGCGTTTGCTAGCACCTACGGATTTGCAACTCCTTAGGCGTATATCAATGTATGCATTTCATGCTTAAAAGCGACACTTTTTAGCGTGAACCTATACAATCGGAGTGAGACTGTTGCGATATTGAAAGACATTTGCTGCTATGTAGCATATTGTTGTCATCGATTGCTTATTGAAAAGCTGATATCACTTCCAATCTAAATGACTAGTCATGGTCATCGACTCGACAAGGGCAAGCCATGAGATCATCTCACGTCCCCACCCTGGCCATCATAATCATCAGGGAACAACCTTCTTCAATGCATGTTTATTCTCAAGATCTCAAGACGATACGTACTACGTATCTTCAAAAGCCTAATTTCCGTATACGTTGGAGGGGGTTCATTGTATGACGTGTATATGAGAAGAATGGATTAAAGTTATTCATCGAAAATAAAGTTCATTATAGTGGAGACAATGTTCACTATCGCGATCCAGAGCATTGTTAAATGACATGTGTCGTACACATAATAGCATCATTCATGGGTTGTTGCACAAACTTAAACTAGATTCTTCTATACAAGAACGGAGCCATAATAGCCTGCTGTCGACAACAACAACAAACACACACACAAGAGCAGCTGTTACAAGAGAGATTTCCCCCCGTATTTTTTAATGGAAACAAGGGTGTGCTTTTTTGTCAAAGAGTATTTACATGGTGGGATGACGTTTTCGGATAGCGAGTTGTTGCTGATCCTTGAAGAGCTTTTGTAAATGCATGACGACTTGAGGCGAAGTGACATTATGAGAACGGCTGAATTCATTGGCCAAGGCTAATGGGTCATCATATAAGCGTACAGGGACTTGGACGGTGTTGCCAGATTCAAGTTCAATGTTGATACGAATGACGACAGGATTAATTTGTTGCTTTGGAGCAGCAGTAGCAGCAGATGCCGGTTTGAAAGGATGATGTTGCAAATTGGGATTCACGGGTATTGGAGAAAGACCAGGAGGTCTCTTGTTGTGGTTGGGTGAACTGATATGATCTCCAAGTTGATGAATGGCATTACGGAATAAGCCAGGTGGAGGTCGCATCGATGCCGGTCTTTGAGGTCGTGGATCAGGTTTCAAAGATGTTGCCATTCCTCCATAAGGTTCATATTCAGAAGCAGTAGTCGTAGTAGTAGTAGTAGTAGCAGGAGGATGAGGATGAGAAGGAGTACGAGTAGCATAAGATGGTGATTGAGTAGTAGTCCTTTGTTGTTGTTGTTGCTGTTGCTGTTTGTTGTTCTAATAGAAAGGGATGAGATGATGAATTGCAAAGCCAATCAATCAATCAATTTACCTGTTGACCCGAGGATGGTGGAGGATGTTCCCAAAATGGTTCGGATACCAAGGATTGTTGTGTCCAAGCATTATTCACTTTAGGAGGTGGTCGGGTTGTTGTTGGTGGTGGAGGAGGAGGAGGTTGTTGATGTGGTTGAGAACGCTTCATGGATGATGTGGATGGTGTTGTTGATTGAATTGAACGTTTATGTTGTTCTTTGGCATTGAAGTTATGATAAGATGATGGTTTGGATGGTGCTTTTGGTGGTCTCTGTATCATCACAATATAAGCAAACTTTATGTATACACGCGCGCGCACAGACGTGTTCTTTTAAAAGGTACCTTTTTCTTATTGCTTGGTTGGGTAGAAGGTAACTTGAGTCGTTGACGTAGAATCTCGTCTTCATTGACAGGTTTATAGTTGCGCCCTTTACGATGCAGATCGCCACTGCCAATACCATTGGTCTTGATCTTGAATGAAGGGTCAAGTAACGTGTCCCAGCCGGCAGGTGCAGCATTGGTGTCATTCGGCGTGTTGACATGTTGTGCTTGGTCTCCCCATGCTGCCACTACTGGACCATATTCGTCGTCACTGTTGTCACTATCCATGTATGTGTGCGTCCGCTTCGAGGAGGTACAAAGGTACAAGCCAAAACAAGAAAGAGAGAGAGAGAGAGAGGGAAAGAGAGAAAGAGAGAGAGAAGCTGTTGACTGTGTGCCGCTCCAGAAACCCAATTATTGTGCTACGACACTAGGACACACACTTTTTTCGGTGTATGCTGCCATTGATGCTGCGACACACGTCTCTTTTCCCTTCCTCCACTACTACTTTCCGTCATGAAGCAACGTTTCAGTGCTCTCGACATTCGTGCAACTGTTATCAACTTTCGTGAACGGTACGCATTCAACTCGCCCTCCTCTACCCAACAGCAACAACTAGAACTCACTGATCGTCCAGGTTGACCAATCTGCGTCTGCAAAACATTTACGATGTCGATGCCAAGACCTTTTTATTGAAGTTTGCAAAGGTAAAGAAACAGATAACCAAGTTACACTATAAACACTATGCTCAACCAACTCGAATAGCCGGACGATAAAGAATTGGTGTTGATAGAGTCTGGTATTCGACTTCACAGTACACAGTTCAGCCGTGATAAGCAAGTGACACCATCACCCTTTTGTGCCAAGGTAAAAAAGCATTTATTCCACAAGTTGAAAGTATATTCAATCATCCTTGTCATTAGATTCGAAAGCATTTGCGTACGCGTCGTCTTACCAATGTTCGTCAACTGGGTGTGGATCGTGTCGTGGATTTCGAGTTTGCTGGCTCCGAGAAGAGTATTGGCTATCACATCATTGCCGAGTTCTATTCTTCGGTAAGTGGATTAGGAAGGAAAATTGGCAAGTAGGTATTGATTGACCATTGGTGGGTTATCTTTTTAGGGTAATATCATTTTCACCGATGAGGAGTATAAGATCCTTGCATTGTTACGTGTGGTCAACTCGGGTGATGTCAAGATGGCTGTCGGCGATACCTATGATGTTCAACGCGCATTGCCTGATTTCCCAAAAATCGAATTCAGCAAGTTGCAATCAGTACTTCGTAACGCTGGTCCCAAGGATACCCTTAAGAAGGTGCTCAACATTTCGTATGGTAAGATTGAGTCATTGCATCCAATGCACGTGCAACATACTAAGGATGGATCACGTGTAGAATATGGCCCGGCTATGGTGGAGCACATTATTTTACGTGCCAATTTGGATCCTGGCATGAAAGTGGCATCCGAATTTGATTGCTCAGATGGTAAGCATCATTTTATTGTCATATAGAGGTATATATCTCTTATACCTTTCAACAGATTCACCCGCCCTAAAGGCGCTTATGGATGCATTAAAGGAAGGTGATGAGATGATTGAATCCACCAAGAACAATGTTCCAAAGGTACGTGTGTGGGTGTGTCCCTTGACGATGGTGTGGCATGTCGATTGAAAATCAATTTTTCTTGTCAGGGTTACATTATCCTTTCGGAAAAGACAAAGACTGGTGAAGATGGCAAGCAGGAAACGATTGACATGTAAGCGTGTGCATATCTCTAATGACTCTATTGTATGGTGCTGACCATGTTTTAAAGCTATGACGAATACCATCCTTATTTATTCAAGCAACACGAATCCAAAAAGTACAACGAGTTCCCCAAGTTTGATGCCGCAGTGGATGAATTCTACTCTGCGATCGAGGCGCAAAAGATTGAGCTCAAGGCTATGCAGCAGGTAATATAGATATCATTGTCCGTTGTATCATTCAATTCACACATTTCGTATGTAGGAACAAGCTGCTCTCCGAAAGCTGGAAGCTGTGCGTCGAGAACAAGAGAGTCGTGTGCAAGGATTATTGGAGCAACAGTTGACCAATGTACGCAAAGCTGAGCTTATTGAAGAGAATGTTCCCATCGTGGATGCTGCCATCACCATTATCCGGAACGCTATTGCAAGTCAGATGGATTGGCGGGATTTACGCGAGCTTGTCAATCAAGAAAAGAGTCGTGGCAATCCAATTGCGCAAATTATTGATGATCTCAAGCTCGAAACCAACCAGATCACGCTATTGCTCTCGTATGTGTATTATAGGATTCGATGATATAGTCACATGGCTCATATGTAATTATCGCTAGGAGTACTGAAGATGAATCGGATACCAGTGACGAAGAAGGATCTGAGGATGAAGGAGAGGATGAGGATGAGGATGAGAGGGAGGAGCAACAACGACAACCTCAAGTGTACAAGATCGATGTTGATATCTCAGCAACAGCTTACGCCAATGCCCGAAAGTACTATGATCAAAAGAAGAGCACAGCGTTGAAACATGAAAAGACGATTGCTGCATCATCCAAGGTAAAAGGAAAGCATACACAAACTCATTCAGATGCTAATTTTTCCTATCTTTATGCAGGCCATGAAATCAGCCGAGCGCAAGATCAAAAAGGATCTCAAGGAAACGCGCATCACCACGTCCATCAACAAGATCCGCAAGCCGTTTTGGTTTGAAAAGTTCCTTTGGTTTATCTCCACTGAAGGATTTTTGGTGATTGCTGGTCGTGATATGCAACAAAATGAGATGCTAGTCAAGCGATACTTGCGCAAAGGTAAGGAGGAAAGGATAAACAGCAATGATAGGGTATTAATGTATGAGAAAATTAGATGATGCCTATGTTCACGCTGATTTGCATGGTGCAGCTTCAGTTATTGTGAAGAACAAGCCCGAATGTGCCGGTCAACCTATTCCTCCAAGCACTTTGTTTCAAGCTGGCATCATGTCTGTTTGCCAAAGCAAGGCTTGGGATGCAAAGATTGTCACTAGCGCTTACTGGGTTCATGCCGATCAGGCAAGTACGTCATATCCCATACCTTGGTACGTGTAACTAACACTATTTTCCCTCTTTAGGTTTCCAAATCCGCCCCCACGGGTGAATATTTGACAACCGGTAGTTTCATGATCCGAGGCAAAAAGAATTATTTACCACCTGTGCAACTCGTCTATGGTTTCGGCTATCTCTTCAAGTTGGACGAGTCATCCATTGGTAACCATGTCAAACGCAGCATCAACGAAGATGAAGGATCAACAACTGGACCATCGGCTGATGACATTGAATCAAAAATTGATACGTCAACCACAACACCCTCTGAAGTAAAGGAAGCTCAAGGTACGTTCATTGTATGGATCTATGGACAAGTATCTTATGATGTATGTTTCCATAGCAACACCACCCCAACCTGCTGCTGAGCAAAAGGAAAAGGAAAAGGAGGAAGAGGAAGAGGAATCATCATCATCGTCTGAAAGTGAGGAAGAGTTCCCAGATACACAGTTGGCTCCCGTTCAGCAACCAAAGCAAGAACCTGATGAAGCTGCCAAGGAGGAATGGAAAAAATATGAATTGGAACAGCATGGTTATGACCCTGATGCCGACAAATTACCAGAATTTGCCCAACCTGGTGCTGCAGCTGATAAAAAGGTATATGGCGTAGTATTGGAAATTGCATGGATGACCAACATGAGATTGGAATAATAGAGCAAGCAAGCCATCAGTGCTAAGGAGCGACGCCAAATGAAGAAGGGCAAAAAGGATGATCAAGGAGCTAGCCAGCAAGCATCCCAAAATGGCAAGGGCGGTAAAGCCAACGACAAAAAGGTAAATGAATGCATCCATGTACCCTTATAAGCTCTGACAAGATGTTATTAAAGCAACAGCAGCAACAACAACAGCAACAGCAGAAGTTATCACGAGGACAGCGCGCCAAAGCAAAAAAGATCAAGGAGAAATATGGTGAACAGGATGAAGAAGAGCGTCGCTTACGTATGGAATTGTTGGGAGTAAGTCAAGGGACGCACTTTGGATGTTTCAGCATTTTGTTGACAATGATTACCTAGTCAAACAAGGGACCTCAACCCAAGGGCAAAAAGGCAAAGAGGGAGGCCCAAGCCAAAGCCGAGCGACTTGCAAAAGAAAAGGAACTTGCAGAACGTAAGGCTGCTGCCGCTGCCAAGGAAGCTGAACGAAAAGCTGCTGAAGCAGCTGCTGCTAAACAAGAGCAGGATCATGAACAGGTACATACATAGGAAGAGCAAAGGGATATAAATTAACCCATATCTTATAGGTGGATGAGGAGCAGCATGGTGAAGAGGATACGGAGCAAATTCGTCAAATGCTCAAGGAAGAGAACATTACTATGCTTGAGGAAGATGAAGTGGTATGTGTGTGTGGATCATCCAAGGGTTGGATGTAAAGGCTAATCTTTTTTAAACAGGCTAATCTTTCTGTGCTGGATTCAATGACACCCAATCCATTGCCTGAGGATATCATTCATTTTGCCATTCCTGTATGTGCTCCCTACACATCGTTGCAAAAATACAAGTACAAGGTCAAGTTGACACCTGGCACACTTAAACGTGGCAAAGGTAAGCTTTATCAATGAGTCCCTCACGCAAAGAATCGCTTATTGATTATCCATCCAATAGCTCTGAAACAAGCACAATCTGTGTTTTTGAATTCATCCGAATCAACGGCGCGTGAAAAGGAACTCATCAAAAGTGTACCCGACATGGAAGCTATCAATACCATGATGAGTAAGGTCAAGGTATCAGCACCCAACCTTGAAGCTAGCAAGCGGAAAAAGGGCAAGAAATAGCTATAGACGTGTTTTTATTTTTTCCTCTAATGAAATCACTATTATTGATCCCATCCGATACATACAAATGATGATAACACTGTCTATGTGCAAAATACCCCGCATTTTGCCCACGTGTGTAACTTGATCATTTATTACTACGCATCTTGAACATGCACAATCTTGTAGGTGTGTTCCAAGAAGTTCATGAGCCAAACGCATACTACACTATGCACATCCAAGTTGCCTTGGTATTTGGGATGAGCAAAGCATATAATCCATTTTTCTCACATGGGGGTCAACATCATCATGACAAAATCCAAGAATGGTAGCAGTCAAGGTGGTATGAGGTAATTGGAAGATAAATGTGATTGTGTTGCATCACGTGTGAATTGACGTAACGATTTGGTGCTTACATGAGTGACACGTGGATTCCCCAGCAAGACAAAAACAGCTTACCGCAAAAAAGAATCAGCCACAGCATGTGCTTGTGCGCACGTCCACAATGCAAAACAAACACAGGGCCATGTTTTTGACAAGTATAAACAATGGGAAGCGTAAAGGGCCAAAAAGAAGGCATGGCCCTCTCTCTCGGCATATCTTTAAATTGATAACCTTGCTTATCTTTAAAAAATTTGTGCCGCACTATGGTTTCGCACGCTTACGTTATACCCAGATAAAGAGTCCGCACACACGCATGCTGCTGAAAGTCATTGCATCAATGCAAAAAGGTGCAAACACAGACGAGGAGGATGGCATTGTCGTGAGAGAGATTGACTTGTCAATCGTCAAAATAGGAGTAGAGACGCGAGATGATGATGATGATGCTGCAACAGGGCCAAGAAAAAGGGCCATGAGCAAGTAGTGGTATTAGATAACGTAAAAAAGAAGTGTCCTTTTTTGGAAACAAGGGGCCATTCGAAAGGGCCAGCTGTTTGGATGCTGTTGCCATGGCGGATATGTCTGCAGGTTGCCAAGGAGACCGTAAGGATGGATACGGGCCATGTTGAAGGGGCCAAAAAAAAACGTAACGTTGGAAGAGGTGTATGATGATGATGAGACTGAAAACCAAAGCTGATTGATGGGGCGCGTTGTTCTTTTTTTCTATCGCTTATTGTTGGAAACGTTCCTTTTCATTATGATTCAACGTGTTCATCTCTATTACTGCTGCTATCACAATATGACAAGGTCAATAGCTGATACATGATCGATTCGAAACATGACAATGAACGTGATCTTTTGAAGATTGATTGGTATGATGTCATGGGGTCATGCATAATGTGTGTGCTGTCAAACCTAGCCTTTGGAAAAGGCTCAAAGGATTTAACCGAAACAATGATGATAATAAATCAATGGGCTGATACATGGCATCTACAACAAGATGATGAGAAGGTCAAGGTGATGTCTTTTACAGAATGGTCCAAGAAATGAATATGACGGGAAAGTTGCTAATTCCAGCGGAGCCTACATGGAACGCGCTTTCGCGTGTCAGAGGTCAGAGGGCCATGTAAAAAGATTGGTAATACTAAACATCACGGCAGCAACAGCCGCAATAAGGTACGCTAAGAATAAACGTACCCCATACATATTGACGCATCGATGCGAGGCACATACATACATGATGCATGATGGAATTTAAGATCGGCATATGCATATACACACATAAGCAGGGAGAAGCTGCATACAGTATGTGTGTTGGTTGTGGTGTGTGTGTGTGTGTGGCTAATCTTTCAGCCTGCAGCGGGTTGTCGGAACAAATGTCATTTTTTCATGGCCCTTTTACGTGGCCCTGTTACGCCTATCACACCGCAAGCCCCCAATTTCCAGCTCACGTTTTCTCCTTGAAAGGACCCTTATGAACAAAGAAAAAGTAATAGATCAGTGGAGAAAGGTTGTGATCATTGATATCAAATGGCCCCTTTTGCCACATGCATGGGCCGTAAAGGAGAAAACAAAGAGGGGCCGAGAGGGCCATGCGTACCGAATCTGGTTTTTGCTTGGTGTGACGTTATCATTCAAGCACCGCTTGAAAGGAAAATCACGAACATATATCCTGGGGGATTTTTTTGCACACTTCTTGTTTACTTCTTCCTCACCTTCTTCACTCTTCCAACCCCCCTCTCTCTATTTAATCCATCAAGGTCTGTACCTTACATTGCAGTACCACACACCATGATGTCCTCCAATGCCTTTATGCGGGCCGCCAAGGTAAACAACAACACGCGACACACGACATTGACGAACCTGCATCCACTGACATGTGTTGCATACATAGGCTGCTGCCCCTGCTGTTCGTGCTCACGTTCCCTCTCGCACTTATGCTCAAGCTGCTGGTACTTGGGCTAGCCAAAAGGTTGCCATGTCCAACCTTGAAAAGGACAAGTTCATCAACTACCAAAGAATCGAGGACAACCTTGAAATTGTTCGCAAGAGGTAAATTGTTACACACCCAATCCCTTTTTTCACATGTGCAACACGAGATGTTGGTAAGAATCATGCTGATTCCCGTGTCACAATATAGATTGGACCGTCCCTTGACCCTTTCTGAAAAGGTTGTTTATGGCCATTTGGATGATGCCAAGAACCAAGATATCGTTCGTGGTCAATCCTACCTTAAGCTTCGTCCCGATCGTGTTGCTTGCCAAGATGCCACTGCTCAAATGGCTCTTTTGCAATTCATGTCTGCTGGTCTTCCCAACGTTGCTGTTCCTACCACTGTTCACTGTGATCACTTGATTCAAGCTCAAGTGGGTGGTCCTCAAGATTTGGCTCGTGCCATTGATATCAACAAGGAAGTTTACGACTTTTTGGCTACTGCCTCCGCCAAGTACGGTATTGGTTTCTGGCGCCCTGGCTCTGGTATCATTCACCAAATCATCCTTGAGAACTATGCTTTCCCTGGTGGTCTTATGATTGGTACCGATTCGCACACTCCTAACGCTGGTGGTCTTGGTATGGTTGCCATTGGTGTTGGTGGTGCTGATGCTGTCGATGTCATGGCCGACATTCCTTGGGAACTCAAGTGCCCTAAGGTCATTGGTGTCAAGCTTACTGGTGAACTCAACGGCTGGACCTCTCCTAAGGATGTCATCTTGAAGGTTGCTGGTATCCTTACCGTTAAGGGTGGTACTGGTGCCATTGTTGAATACCACGGTCCTGGTGTTGACTCTTTGTCTTGCACTGGTATGGGTACTATTTGGTAAGTAATCAAGCAAGGGGATACAAAAGTGGGATTTTGTGTGTATGTTTATACGCCACAATGGAGAAAAAGGGGTGTTTTTATTATTGAGTGATACGCCATCTGGATTATCTTAACTTACAAACCTACGCTTTATAGTAACATGGGTGCTGAAATTGGTGCCACTACTTCCATGTTCCCCTTCAACAAGCGTATGGGTGATTACCTTCGTGCCACCAACCGTGCCGATATTGCCAAGTACGCTGAGCAATTCCAACACAACTTGCGTGCCGATGAGGGTGCTCAATATGATGAGTTGATTGAAATTGACCTCAACACCCTTGAGCCCCACATCAACGGTCCCTTCACTCCTGATCTTGCCACCCCCTTGTCCAAGTTCAAGGATGCTGTTATCAAGAACGATTGGCCCCAAGAGCTTAAGGTTGGTTTGATCGGCTCCTGCACCAACTCTTCTTATGAGGATATGGCCCGCTCTGCTTCTCTTGTCCAACAAGCCATTGACCATGGTCTTAAGACCAAGGCCAAGTACACCATCACTCCTGGTTCCGAACAAATTCGTGCCACCATTGAGCGTGATGGTATCATGGATACTCTTACCAAGGCTGGTGGTGTTGTCCTTGCCAACGCTTGTGGTCCTTGCATTGGTCAATGGGATCGTCAAGATATTAAGAAGGGTGACAAGAACTCTATCATCACCTCTTACAACCGTAACTTCACTGGTCGTAACGATGCCAACCCCGCCACTCACTCTTTCGTTGCCTCCCCTGAAATCACCACCGCCATGGCCATTGCTGGTGACATGACCTTCAACCCCATGACCGACACCTTGATTGGTGCCGATGGCAAGCCCTTCAAGCTTCAACCTCCCTCTGGCGATGAGCTTCCTCGTGCTGGTTATGATGCTGGTGAGAACACCTACCAAGCTCCCCCTGAGGATCGTTCCCAAGTCAACGTTGCCGTTTCTCCTGAATCCAACCGTCTTCAACTTCTCAAGCCTTTCGACAAGTGGAACGGTCAAGACATCAAGGAAATCCCCATCCTTATCAAGGTCAAGGGCAAATGTACCACTGATCACATCTCCATGGCCGGTCCTTGGCTCAAGTACCGTGGTCACTTGGACAACATCTCCAACAACATGTTGATTGGTGCCATCAACATTGCCAACGGTAAGCTTTTTTATACATGATGTGGATATACAAAAAGAGAACAAGGGATATTTATGAATACGTGTTTTAATTTATAGGTGAGGCCAACAAGATCAAGAACGTCTTCACTGGTGAATTCGGTGGTGTTCCTGATGTTGCCCGTGACTACAAGGCTCGTGGTGTTAAGTGGGTTGTTGTTGGTGATGAAAACTATGGTGAAGGTTCTTCCCGTGAACACGCCGCTTTGGAACCCCGTTTCCTTAACGGTGCCGCCATTGTCACCAAGTCTTTCGCTCGTATCCACGAGACCAACTTGAAGAAGCAAGGTATGCTTCCTTTGACCTTCGCCAACCCTGCCGATTACGACCGTGTCCAACCTGATGACAAGGTTGACATCTTGGGTCTTACCGATTTCCAAGAAGGCAAGCCTTTGACTATGCGCCTCCACCACCAAGATGGCTCTGCTGAGGACATCACCCTTAACCACACCTTCAACGAGGGTCAAATCGCCTGGTTCAAGGCTGGTTCCGCTCTCAACTTGATGCGCGAGAAGTCTGCCTAAATATAAAGCATCTTTCACATCACACCATCTCACAAACATATTCCATCACGTATCCTCCCTAACACACACTCAGCATTTAACACTCTCTGTAATTGTAAATAAAAACGGAAAAAGTTTTTCTAAACAAATGGTCAAGAACACTACTATACGTTTCCATATCTTGTTGATAATAACAACCGATCACGACGATGATAGCATGTATAAGGTTGGGGATAAGATAGCATTTATGCATTGTCGACAGCTATACTATGTACATGATTGGGATTATAGGGGCTATACAACAACAATGACAACATTATGATTGTGTATCCTTGACGATTCCACCTTCTTCGTATCATGGCACTCGTGTTGGGTTATAGATCTCATTCAATCTTCTTTCACTGTATGGAGTCAAAGGCCGTGTTGAAATATTCCTTGGAGATAATGACCATGTTGAAGCTCGCTGCGTAACTCATTGACGCTCAAGCTGAAGGAAGCAGTTGTATCACCTTGTCAACCCAATCCAACTTTGCATATCCATATCGGGAGGTAGCTGTATCAAAAGGAATGTAAGCATGTACTTCATCAAGCGTGGTGATTAGGTTTTACCTTAATAAAGGAACCAAATACCACAATGACAACAATGGAAGTGGGGTAACAATGAAACACTAATGCGCAAATACTTTAGCACATAGGTTGTACACCAAATAAAGCCATCCACCATGATACCTACTGAATACCATCTCGGTCGCTGCTTTGTTGTATAGGAAAATGATGCAGCTGGACAAACTTTTCCCAAGTCGACAGCAATGAGAGTCTTAATGTTCTTGACATCGTTCTTCATGACATACGAACGCGCTTCTTCAAGCTTCACGTTATTGTCTTCCTTTGCACCTTTTGTCCAGCTGATGTAACCTTGAGAAGGTCGAACGCCATTGGTTTGGATGGATGCTGTTGGTGTGTACACGTTTTCAGAGGATCCTTCAATCATCTTTCTTGCTTTGCGGTTGTATGCTCGGTTCCTCCCAATCAGCTTGTCATCCTTCCTTGTAAGGTCCATCAAGAATCCAATAGCACCCTAGCAGGATCACGATTTGGGTGGGGTGTCTTTACCACAATGATCATAAATGTCTTGTTGTCTAATTAGAACACCAGCAAGTAAGGTTAACATCATAATCATCTCCATCCAAACTTGCACTTACAAGTTGTCAACGATATGTGTAGAAGCTTCTTAGCAATTTCAACAGGATCATTTACAGCCACCTCTCGCAATTTTCAAAGCCATGTCGTCTCTTGATGCCTAGTAGCGGGAATTAGCTATGCCTTCAGATAAATTACATTGGATACGTACAGCCTTAGCAACGGCCATCACTTCGTCAATGGAAACAGAGCGCATACGTTGAATACGAATGTGGGTGATTTCTTTGTTGATGCGTGCATAGAGATCGGCCGGCAAGCAACTTCTGCGATGCACATGCTTTCCACACCAGATGACACGGTATCTCTCCGGGCTACACAAGCAAAGTTAGTCAATCATTATGAGTATACAATATCGGGACACTAAACCTTAGTTGCATCAAATGTTGAGTGTTGACCGGGTCATCGAGGAAATCGCATGTACTTATGCCACCTGCAAAGGAGTCCTGAATTTCCCATCTCGGGCTGCGCATCGTCTTAATAACATACATCAATATACAAACGAAGATGATGGTCATACCTACCACAAAGGATCCATCAAGGAGCACAGCCAAATGTCATTAAGAAGCAATGAGCACACAAGTGGTAAAGCAATGAAGCGAGCTACATAGATGGATGCATCATGAGTACCCTCATTTTGGTGATCGCATCAAGACCATCCTTGAGACTTACCAAAGGCCATTGATGATGACATGCGTAAAGTAGAAAGAAAGGGTGGATGATGGTGTTGGCGACAACAGCCTTGTTTATATGTGAGTGGGCGTGGGAAGTGTTGTCATGATGGATTGAACTGATAAAGTGGTCAAGCAACTTGGAGCACGGAGTCGAAGTGATGAAAACTGATAAATCCACCTGTCGCTTCAAAGGTGACCTCTTGTAGGTGACATTAGTGTGTCCTCATCAGGGATAATTGTGTCGTTGTATTCTTGGTTGCTGCTGTCATAAACATCCTTCATTCATGATTGCAAAATAGCTGCTGCATGCATCGACTCGAGCATTCCAATATCATCCATAGCTTTGATCCATCTTCTTTCGTCAAAGATACATGCGCTCTTGTCAATTCCATCCAATCCATCATCATTCTCAGGCGTATCCACGTGGTATGATTCTTCGTCCCTGCTGATGGCACGCCAAGTAGCCAAAGCAACATTCCATGATTCTCATCACTGCACTTGGTTCCATCCATCCATCTTGGCCATCGCAAGTCCAATACGAAAGAGCCTCTGTGGTTGCTGCTGATATGCTTCCTTTCCCATCTTGCTGTTGTCTATCCCTTCTTGATGACTTTCCATCGCTGGTCAACCAGATGAAGATTGCTTGTATTGCCGTGTAATTGATAGCTGATATACATCATCCATAGAAATCCTTATGTAGTAAGCAAGTCGCTACACGTGAATAAAGCTGCTTATATACGATGGCCAGCTGCTGTTCGCGTATACAAGGTTGCAGGCGGGTTGTTGCAAATAAAGACCGTTTGAGACAATGAAGACCTTGCTAATAGCAACTGTTGGAATGCATGCTGTTGCATTTGATCGTGGCAGATGAGCGTGCAAGAGAGTGCGTTGTGTCAAGAGACTCGTGTGTTGTAGAAGAATGACAAGAAGGCTGCGTACACGCCATGAACGTGCCATTCAGACAAAGACAATCGGATCAGGGCGGTTGTAGGATTGACATGATGGGTTGAAGCAGGACAATCGTTCGTAGGTGGTAGCTGTATGGGCCAGCAATTGAGAATGGGAGGAAGAGGGAATAAAGTGGGAGTGGAAGAAGTGGAAAGTAAATCGGTCGGACTCCTCTTGTATAAATGCATGAACACTGTACATCAATCCTTGATATTGAGATTGCCCCTCCAGAACCTGAAACCTTCACACAAGATGCTCCTGGGCATGCTGATCAACATGGTCTTAAAAAAGACCTCATGTTCATTTAAAAATATTGAATGGGAGGGTACAATGTGGGATTTACTATGGAGATCGGAAAGCATGTCAGCGCCGGATTCATGATTTATCGAAACAGTATGTATTACCTTTTGGGATTCTCATTTCGAACATGAAATTCTTGTCAGAAGGTTCGCTGGGACATGCCGATTAACTTCATTCATTTAAAAACCATACACTTCATTAAGGAATGTCTTGAATGCGGGAGAGTCCAAATGGTGGATAACGGGTACAAAAGAGAGGACGGGCCCACTGCCCTGAAGTAGCCTGCTTCCAACTTGAAAATTGGTCAGAAGGGTGCTCGAGCATGCTGATAAACTTTTTCTAATAAAAACTTTACACTTCATTTGAAAAATTTGGAAATTTGTGAGTGTCCAAAAGTTTGAAAGACGGAGACATTCGCAGGGTCTGTCTTTCAAGAATTTTCATGTTTGCTGTTCCAGCGTAGCTCAGCCAAATCAGCTCGGATCAAGAAAGTTGAATGATGACATTGAACGCGAAACTTTCACACAAGGTGCTGTTGGCCAAGCCGAACACAATGCTCTAATAAAAACCCCGCGTTTCATTGTAAAGTTTAGAGACACAGGCACCTTTATGTTTGTAAGCGTGATGCTATATGAGAAGTGGTCTTTGTTCATTGCCAAGTAGCTAGACCCTGGAGAGCCAAAGATGCAGAAGGACCTCTTTGGGTAACTCAGCTAAAAAGTCAGGACTTCAGGGACAATGCATGATAGGTACGCAACCCTCACTTTTATGTCATACATTGGCCGCTAATAGCTACTTTTGTGCATTCCCAACTTTTGTGCATTCTATTGTAGGTGGACGATGCTCCTGCTCTAGACATTCATTTCCATGATTAAAGTTGGTTGATCCGAGCTGATTTGGTTGAGTTACGCTCACACAAGATTCGATCGGTTGAGCTACATCGAGCGTGCTTTATGTCCAGAGTGATGTAATCTCTCTTTGACCACAGCTCAGTCAAATCAGCTCGGATCAACCTACTTTAATCATGGAAATGAATGTCTAGAGCAGGGGCATCGTTCCCATGCAGTGGATCTCGCAACAATGATGATTGGATAAAAGTGGCCGTTAGCTAGCAATACATGCCTGTTCCTAGATGATCCATAAAGTAATTATACATTGACCCTTTCATTCATGCAAACGTAGCTGTGTTACACAACACGACCCTCTGCATCTTTTGCTCTGCCAGGGGCCAGCTATTTGACAATGAACAAAGACCACTCTTCATACAGATTACGCTTACAAACATAAAGGTGCCTGTATCTCCAAACTTTACAATGAAACGTGGGGTTTTTATTAGAGCAATGTGCTCGGCTTGGCCAACAGCACCTTGTGTGAAAGTTTCGTGTTCAATGTCGCAAACAGCCCAAAAAATATTTTTTGGTCGTCGTCGAAGAGGTCGACCCCCAGATCCAGTTTGGCTGGTGGCGACATTGCGAAATCTGGGATTGGCAAGCTTGATCGTGAAACTTTCACCCAAGGTGCAGTTGGCCAAGTCGAGCCCATTGCTCTAATAAAAACCACACGTTTCATTGTAAAGCTTGGAGATACAGACACGTTTATGATTTACCTATGCTGTAAGCGTGATGGAGTTGCTTTTTCCTAGTGGATGGTGTCGGCTGCATTAACGGAAAGATGGAGAGCTGAGTGAAATGGGATGTAGTGGTTACACAGACGCGTCATTGACAGGTTGCTGCACAAATGGGATGGTGATTGCCTTTAGGAAGGTACGTAAGCAGTATACAATAATGCGGATCTATCAAGGTGAGAGTCTATACGCGCATATTTCAGAGGTGTGTGCGTGCATATAATACACCCACGCTGAGTGTAGGGGGTTGAGCTGCATAAAATGATTTAAGCTGCATTGATGCGCACGGACCTACCGTACTTGACACCGCCTCCTGCCACAGCGAGATTATGGATAGCTTGATTACCAGTGATGTGTTCTCTTGAAATCTCGGGTAGCGGTTCCTTATTGATCCAAATGTATAGGATACTGCTTGTGTGCATATTCACAGCAGTAGCTGTAACAAGCGGGGTGGGGTGGGGTGCACAAATTGGGGCCACTGAGAGGAACGACAAAGAGCCCCTTCTTCTTCACTCCCACTTCACAAGTAAGGTAAGCTTGTCTCCATTTACAAGCTACAACACATTAATAGCTGACATTCCTTCCAATGGACAACGCCAATTGGGTGAACAGGTGGTCAATGGCGACACATTCAGTTACAACAAACACGTGCGCGATCTACCAATGACACAAGCTTCCATTCCAATACAACATGTAGGTTCAATCGCTGCAATTCCTTTTATTGTTCAAGTCGAGCATTGTGGTACTAAAGTTCGCGTGTAGGTTGGTGTTGTATCGTCTATACAAGACCCAATGAGGCGTCGTGTGCATTCCTTACCGAGTTGTCCACAATGAGAGTTCTCAAGACGCCTTTACATTGCCTCTTTTGGGTATGCTGACAACAAAAGCGTGTGGATTGGGTTTGCTTCTTATCTCACATTACGTTTATGGTAGGTGAACATGTTGGATGATGGTACCTATGGCAGCAACAAGTCCTTGATATCAAAGCAAGAAGGCTGTACGCTGGCTCAATGGTATGCATGGCATTGGATCTACAAAGCAAAACATGTTAATTAACGAGCCTTGCAATGAAACAGCAGCAGCACCTACTGGATGGCATGGATATACGGTTTTCATTTGAGGCAATGATGCTATTGAGAAACACCACAAGGTAAGAGTGTTCATTATGATGGGATTGGTTGGATTCAAGTGGACTTACCAAACGCCATACAGTGGCAGAGCCTCTTTCAGCGATACTATTATTATCAAGGCTGGACGTCAAGGAATGACATTGTATAGTACTGTGCTCTCCTGGGGAATTTTGGCCCGGAAACAGTGTGACTCAAGATGCGATGGCAAGGCCAATTTGAAAAGGCATCCGCTGTGCACACGGCCTCCATCCAAGTACGGCTATTGATTTCCTTGCCTACAGAGAGAAGGTGGATATCTCTTATGATGCCAATTTCAGGATCCAATGAGAGTATGGTACATATGGTGGCATACCTTGGCGCTGCAGGTTGATTATTGTATTGCCTTCGGATGGTGTTTTTGGTTGCAATTCCTTGTGATCACCATGGTTCAGGGCGTCGTGTGTCTTCCTTGCCAAGTCGTCCACAATGAGAGTTCTCAAGACGTCTTTACATTGCTTCTTTTTCGTATGGTGACAACAAAAGCGTGTGGATTGGGTTGCTTCTTATCTCACATTACATTTACTGTAGCTTGAATACGTTGGATGATGGTACCTCTGGCAGCAACAAGATACGGATCTCAAAGCAAGAAGGCTGTATGGTTGGCTCAATGGTATGCATGGTATTGGATCTACAAAGCGAAACCTGTTAATTAACCAACCTTATCATAAAACAGCAGCAAGACAATATGGGTGACATGGAGATACGGTTTTATTCGAGGCAATGATGCTATTGAGAAATACCACAAGGTAAGATGTTCATTGTGGGATTGGTTGGATTCAAGTGGACTTACCAAACACCATACAGTGGCAGATCCTCTTTCGGCGATGCTATTATTATCACGGCTGCACATCAAGGACATCATTGTACTGTACTTTCCTGTGGAGCTCTACATGTTGTGCCCGGGGACAGTGCGACTCATGTTGCGGCCTCAGGGATTTAAAAATGCATCCTCTGTTCGCACGGCTCCATCGTTTTACGGCTATTGATCTCCTTGCCTTTAGAGAGAAGATGGTATCTCTATTGATGCACTTCATCGCGTCGATCCACAGGAGAGTACCAGTACAATGATGTTTCTTTGGCTGTGCGCTTTTGTTATTACTATACATCCTGATGGCCTATTTGATTCCCAAGTCTGCGGATGATGATTTCGTGATTCAGGTATGTATGCCTCTCATGCTTTTTGGAGGCCTTTGCTGAAACGCCTACCATTATTATTTAGAGGGACCATTGCAGAGAGCTACTTGTCTTTTGGTGCTTTGGAGTTTACAAGATCACAGCTATGATTGCTAAGTATTGTTGGATGAGTTTGGACAATTGTTTATGGTGCATCTTTTATAGATGAATCATGTCAGCCATGGGGAAGGGTTTATGTCTTTGGTGGTGTCAGCCTTTTTTGCGTCTCGGGTGGTTGGTTACCAAGCAACGGGCGATTTCTCTGGAGAATGTCAGCCAATGAACGTCTTTTATGAGTGGATTGTATCGGCAACTAGCAACAGCATGCATACGATTGGTGCCATATCCACCTCCATCCCATCATCTGGTGCTTCCCATTACCTGCAATTTGGTGAACCTCTAGAAACAAAGGTCTGTTATCGATCGATCATGTCAGCAACAAGGAGCAGGTTTATACCTTTGGCGTCAGCAAGCTTTCGATCTTCTGGTGGTTCTGGTTATCGGCAATTCCTTTGATGAATCTCTACAACTATACGTGTCTTAGGGATGGATCATGTCATCAACAAGCAATGAAGGCCCGCGTTCAAATCTTTGATGGATGATTGGATGGACTTGACAAAAGCGCATGTATCTTTGACGAAAGAAGATGGATCAAAGCTATGGATGATATTGGAATGCTCGAGTCGATGCATGCAGCAGCTATTTTACAATCATGAATGAAGGATGTTTATGACAGCAGCAACCAAGAATACAACGACACAATTATCCCTGATGAGGACACACTAATGTCACCTACAAGAGGTCACCTTTGAAGCGGCAGGTGGGTTTATCAGTTTTCATCACTTCGACTAAGTACTCCAAGATGCTTGACCATTTATCAGCTCAATCCATCATGACAGCACTTCCCACGCCCACTCACATATAAACAAGGCTGTTGTCGCCAACACCATCATCCACCCTTTCTTTCTACTTTACGCATATCATCATCAATGGCCTTTGGTAAGTCTCAAGGATGGTCTTGATGCGATCAGCAAAATGAGGGTACTCATGATGCATTCATCTATGTAGCTCGCTTCATTGCTTTACCACTTGGTGTGCTCCTTGATGGATCCTTTGTGGTAGGTATGACCATCATCTTCGTTTGTACATTGATGTATGTTATTAAGACGATGCCCAGCCCGAGATGGGAAATTCAGGACTCCTTTGCAGGTGGCATAAGTACATGCGATTTCCTCGGTGACCCGGTCAACACTCAACATTTGATGCAACTAAGGTTTAGTGTCCCGATATTGTATACTCATAATGATTGACTAACTTTGCTTGTGTAGCCCTGAGAGATACCGTGTCATCTGGTGTGGAAAGCATGTGCATCGCAGAAGCTGCCTGCCGGCCGATCTATATGAAAGCCTTTACAAGAAAAGCATCTATGTTGATGTTCAACGCCTACGCTTGAATCCATTTATGGAATGATGGCCGTTGCTGAAGCTGTACGTAACCAATGTAATTTATTTGAAGGCATAGCTAATTCCCGCTACTAGGCAACAAGAGACGACATGGCTTTGAAAATTGCGGAGAAGCTTCTTACATACAGACATTCTTGACAACTTGTACGTGCAAGTTTAGACTAAGATGATTATGATGTTAACCTTACTTGCTGGTGTTTTAATTAGACAACAAGACATCTATGATCATTGTGGTTAAGGTGTGCTATCCAAATCGGGATCATGATACAGATCATATGTATTCGATCCTATCGTCAAGCATTGTGCCCGCTTTTTGAGAAGTACGGGAGATCAAGTGACGTTTCTTCCAGGAGAGGTTGAATTGCAAGCGATGTCAACACAATTGAATAGCCAAGGCCTGACCAATGGAAGATATAGATATTGTGCTGATGGCATTATCTCTGTTGATGACTTCTCTGGACTCGAGATCCTGCTTACAGAAGTATCCTCTGGTTTTGGAAACAGCGACACAAGCAAGATCAGTTTCGATCACTACAAAGTCTTGTTTGGCATGCTTTCAATGATTCGTACTTTGGCGCAAAGATACAACAAAGGGAGTTTGGATACGTTCAGAACATCGAAAATACACTTCCTTCATGCTCATTGTAACTTTTACTACACCATCCATCTAAGCTAAAATCCACAAGCAACAAGGAGAGAGGAACAAGCTAGCTAAGTCCAAGTTGATAATAAACAATGCTTCTAGCTACTATGCCATGGTCGTCTTCATGAATCGTAGTCGCTGTGTCCAAGAAAGAATGGGATCCTGCATGATTCCTTTTAGATTTCAATGAGATATGAGGAATCCACCATGTAATCATCATCTTGCTAAGAGAGAGGTAAACCATGCTTGTCTGTGTCATTGTCGTCACCGAATTCGTCATGAATCTCATCATAATTGTCACCGTCGTCTCCGTACATAAAAGAAAGCAAATCCTCAACAATCGCATAACCAAATCACCATCGATGCCATCTCGTTCATAGCACACAGGGGTACATAGTTACCCTCATCCATCCTTAGAACAAAAAAAAAAGAACGATCCCCATCTTACCAATCCCAAAGAGAAACCATCAACGTATCATGAGAATGGTGCGCATTCGGCATTGATGATGCCCAAAAGGTACAGGCTGGGAGTCGAACCCAAGGAGATGATGATGCCCAAAGTTGCATTACCTGACCAAGGACCTATTCGATAATAGCATCATCCATTGTTACTATAAACGTCTTTTTCATTGTCTTTCTTCACCGCACCAGACTTTTTTATATACACAAAGACGTTTGTTGTTGGTTGCTGAAAACCGAAAGCCATGGTATAGTGTAGTCGATTTGAAACAAAACGCCAAACGTGCCAAGCTCTTTGAGATCAGCCTTGCCGTCTATACAAGCTCACATGTCAATGGAACGAGTTCGGCTACCACATTGGGCTCTGAATGTACTTGTTGCACCAAGAAGGAAGAGCGGCATAACAACGAGCGAAGAGCGACAATATCACCTTGGCTACAACCACCCAATAGACTCCCTACCTAAGACTATTCCAATAAGAACATCTTTATAACACATTACCTTGCTGAATGAAGTGAATGGGAATGGTGATTGGGTTAAAAGGAGACAAAGAGAAGCTTTCTCAACCAACGAAGCCGTATTCAGCCTACTTAAATTTCCCCGCCCCAGCTGAGCAGCGTTGCCTACCAACAAGATTAATTTCCATGTAGGCGGCCGCTGCCTCTTGGTAGCTTCTTGATGATGCCCTCGATTTGTTATCGCGTCTTCGATTATCATTGATAGCGGGTTGTTTACAAGAATAATGAAGAAATGACGTGATTGTGTGTTACAGAGATGGTGACAATCATCAGTGCGCCGACAGCTTGGTGTCACCTGGCAACACCACTGTACATGGTATTGCACCATTTGCTCGATCAGTGGTGTGTGTATATTTTCACCCTTTAACAAGGCTACAATGCGGATGGCATTACAACGTGTCCTTCTTTCTTTCTAATCAAGCTAATGAAAGCACTTGGGTTGACGGCTGTGTTGCTCTCATGCGTGGCTGCTGTTTCTTTGGGTGCAGCAATTGATGATCCTACTACTACCCAGCAGCAGCCCAACATCATATTCATCTTTACTGATGATCAAGATGCTCGCCTTGACTCTTTGAATTACATGCTGAATGTTCAAAAGTACCTCGTTGAGCAAGGATCCGTGCACAAGAACCACTATGCCACAATTGCTGTATGCTGCCCTAGCCGAGTTGGCCTTTTGCGAGGTCAATACTCTCACAACACCAAGTAAGAATATACTACGTATTTTAATGGGTATTGTTGCATGATTCTAACAATCCACCATGGTGTACTATTAGCATCACTTCGGTAGCTCCCCCGCATGGTGGTTATGATAAGTTCAGTAGACTTGGATTAGGAGAAGATTATTTGCCATTGTGGATGCAAGAGGTACAGTATAAAGGATATAGGCAATCTCCTTCTCGATATTGCAAATTTGCTGACATGGTATTTCATTGGTAAATGTAGGCAGGCTACTCGACCCACTACATTGGTAAACTGATGAATGGATATAACATCTTTAATTATGATAGCCCAAAGCCTGCAGGGTAAGCCCAACTTAAAAAGACATTGCTGGCGTGTGATATACTCATGCTATTCTCATGGTCCCTGCTCCATTTCCCACAGCTTTGACTATCAAGGTATATGATGAAAAGTCCTCGTATCACACAACATGGGTAATAATGATCGTTTGATGTGTCAACATTACAGACCAACTGGTGGATCCTTTCACATACACCTATAATACGGCTGTCTTTTCGAAAAACGGCGAGCCACCAGTGTATTACAATGACACCTATCAAACAGACGTTATCCATGCCAAAGCACTTGCAGCTCTAAAAGCTCAAAGAGATGCTGAAAAGCCGTTCTTTTTGTGGGGTATGCTATTGCTATAGTATCATGATCAAAATCAGCAATGCCTTAACCATCATTGGCTTTTCCTTATAGTTGCACCTATGGCTCCTCATGGTCAATTCAAATTCGTCAATGGTGATCCCGAGAACATCGAAACAGAGCCTGCAGTCCCTGCTGCTCGGCATGCAAACCTCTTCAAGGACGTGAAAAGTACGTGGATGGCAGCAACTACCATGTAACTGAATAATCAAGTAGCCTAATATCGCACCACGATGATGATAGTTCCCCGCACTCCTCACTTTAATCCAATCAACCAGACAAAAACAGCCTCCTATTGGAAGCATTTGGAACATCTCACCGATGAAGAGGTTGATGCCTTGGATAACACTTATCGACGTCGTCTCCAAGCTCTGCAAGCAGTCGACGAAATGGTTGGATCGCTTTTTGAAGAATTGGAACAACAAGGGAAGCTTGACAACACTTACGTGTTTTACAGTGCTGATAATGGGTAAGCTTGGTACATGTACATTTAAAAAGCTATCATCAGATGCTTGATATGACTAGCGTGCTAACGATATACAAAAAGATATCACCTTGGGCAGCATCGTGCCTTTGCTGGGAAAACCACCAATATTGAAGAGGACATCAAGTGAGTACAAAGCTTTGGTATTGAGACATGCAATAACATTGACATCATTTACAAGCGTGCCGCTCATAATTCGTGGACCTGGTGTACCCAAGGGACACATCAATCATGTTGTCAGCTCACATACCGACTTAGCACCTACATTCCTTGCATTAGCCAAAGGCGATGCGTATATCCGAGATTGGGTTGATGGCGGTGTTATCCCGGTGATCCCCCAACTTCGAGACCATCCCAAGCCGGTATCCAAGGAAAGCTTTGTTGTGGAATTTTGGATGAATGGTTTTATGCAGTAAGTTGTATAGTAGGAGCTACAACCTTTTTAGCATTCATTAACACCTTATTCTTCTCCATAGAGAGTAAGTGGTTGAATAGACATGTCGTATCATGCTGTGTTTATCGAAATGTAACATGGCAACGTACCTTTTCAGGAATTACTCAGTAAGGGATACTACAAGCCCCAACACGTACAAGACTATACGTATCATATCGGAGGACTATAATTGTAAGTCTACATACATTGATAATGCCTGGTACTATGGTAACCAAGGACATTGTATTAGACAAATACAATGTATGGTGTACCGGTGAACATGAGTTGTACGACTTGTATGATGACCCATACGAATTGCACAATTTGTACGACTCTGGGCTGGTATCCATCCAGGTGATCGATCGATTGGATGCCTTGCTTGGTGTGCTCAAATCATGCCGAGGACACACTTGTCGTGATCCTTGGCGTGTGCTGCATCCTGACAACCCCAATGTGCAAACATTGGCAGACGCGTTACATATCAATGTGAGTATTCCATACACGTAACGAGCCATCCATCGCAAGATCTCACATCCACATGATATTTGAAAATGCTACTACTAGTATGACCTTTATTACCAGCGTTTTCGAAGAGTCACTTTTGGTGAATGCCTCGACTTTTACTCTGCTAAGAATGAGGATGAGTACATTATCACCAGCGTATCAAATGAGGCGGTGGGTACCTTTGAAACCATGGATAAAGGTGGACAACAGCAAGTAGTATTAACAGCGGCAGGTGCCACCCACCAATGTGAACAAGGTCCAAGTGATGCTGATTATGCATCGATGCCATCTGAAGAAGTGAGACGGCTCTTTGAACTTGTTCCACAGCCGTCAGAGCCTATTGGTCATTACGTCCCCAGCATTGAAGAGCTTAATGCGCGAGCTAGTCCTGTACCTGAAGAATTGACACAAAAGCGAGTTGACTGGTACAAGTATGGCTTTTACAACGCATACGGTAATTGAATTTGAACGTCCATTATATGTAATAAAAGAGGTGTTTGGATTCATCAGTGTCAAAGCAACCCCGGTGTATGATGTTAAGATTTCGAATCAGAGTTTTCCATACAAAGTCAATCTTTTGTTGTCAATGTAAACAACCCATCCAGTTTATTTGACGCAAATAGTGAAATCACTGCCATTGAGTATGTCATCTCCTTATGTTCATCCCTTGGCAGTTTCATGCAAGAAGAGCAAATTTGCCGAGAGGGGCAGTTACACAACCGTCTAATCCCGACGTCTATTGTCGCCCTTTTTTTTCCCAGTGTGCGTGTCTTTTACTCTCTTTCCTTTCCACCCCCCTCAACTCATCCGCATGTTACGATGAAAGTACCCGAGTCCAAAGACGTGGTAGACGACAAGCCCCAGTATATGATACAACTGCACGTGCTCGATAACGGCTTTGTGCTTGTCAACAATGACAACCAGGCACTGCTCATTCACTTTAATGGCTCTTTGACACGATTAGGTAAAAACAACTACTACATGCGTGAACGATGGGCGATAACGAATATGCTATAGAGAGTACGTGGGAACCACCGAAGGAAGCACATTCATATGAAGTATACGGTGTAGTGGGCCTTCTTGATGGCGTACGAGGTAGGATGACATGTACAAAAAAGGGAAAGATGAAGGATAGCTCACACGTTGATATGACAATATAGAAAAGTACCTTGTGGTGATTACACGGGCACGGATCCTTGGTCGTCTATTTGGATATCCAGTCTACGTGATCGAGCAGGTGGCATGCTTGGATTTGAATGCACGCTTGGCCAAAGAAAGATTGGATCAAAAGGTACGTTACCATTTACGACATCTCCGAAAACGACTTGCTAATGATGAGTATAATGCTGTAGATCCAACCTGTAAGGCGTGATAGTGATTCAGAAAGCGATGAGGATGAGGATGAGGATGATAATGGGACTACTCCTTCGGCAACCATTTTACCCAAGACATCAGTATCCAGTCCTACTACTTCTACAGCGTCATCACCAGCTACTGCCGTCAGCCCAACTATTACAGCATTAGAGGAAATCGCTGATCATGCGGGTGGTGGTGAAACACAACGTCCTGGATCGACACGTCCTTTTATGAATCGTTTTCGATGGTCATTGACTGGAAGCAGCAACAATATGAAAAAGAAAGATCAAGAAGAAAAGCCAACATCGCCTATACGTGCCAGCTCATCTCAAGATTTGTTCACTGCACTCGCCGTCAATGAAGACCTTGCTTTAGAGAAGCGAATCATCAAGCAAGTGACCGAACTTCTTAGCCGATCCATGTTTATATATGCCCCTGGATATGGTATGTGTGATGCGTGCTTGGCTATAAATCATAGCGACTGACTGATGAGCTTGGATTTAGATATCACCAACAGCTTCCAGCGAACATTTGAAATGCAACAACAACAGCATCAACATAATGAAGATAAGGACCCGATATGGAAAAAGGTTAGCGTTGGAGGCGTGGTGGGGATAGATCAGGATTGGATAATGACAATGGATGTGATGTAGGTCGACAAGCGCTTTTGGTGGAATGAGCATCTTTGTCATCGATTCAAATCATTAAGCGTAAGTTGTTGTTCCTCCTATAGATCACAATGCGTTACTAAGAATAGTTTGAAATATGTAGCTGGATGAATGGATTATGCCGATCATGCAAGGCACCATACAAATCGAGGAATGCGAGATCGAGGGTTATCAATTTGACTTTGTCTTGATCTCTAGGAGGAGTCGAGAACGAGCAGGTTGGTTGGCTATCATTACTACCTCAGCGAATTGGTTCTTAAACAAATGTATGTATCCAGGCATGCGTTACCAACGACGTGGTATCAATGAACAAGGAGAAGTTGCCAACTTTGTCGAAACCGAACAAGCTGTCATTTTTTATGTAAGCAATACCTATCATGTCATGGAAATCTGTAATTGACCTTTTACGCTTCACTGCTTTAGAGAGACAACATCCCACATATTGCATCCTTTGTGCAGACACGAGGATCGAGTAAGTGCATGGATACACAACAATAGTGAGAGGGTATGATTTACTTACCATCATTCTGCTACTACAAGTACCTCTTTTTTGGAGCCAATCACCTTACAGCCTTCATCCTGTGCCTGTACTGGAACGTAGCGAGGAGGAGAACAACTTGGCTTTCGAGCGTCACTTTACTGAACAAGAAAAGCTATATGGGCGACAAGTAGCCGTCAATCTTACTGAGTTATCGGGGCGAGAGGCGATCGTAGGATCTGAGTATCGTCGTCACGTGGAGCACTTGGCTGACCCAAATATAAAGTTGGTATATATTATCCATATCGAGGGATTGCGATGGCTTGGGACAAACGAGAGAGGACAAATGGAAGGCTGCTGATGAATTAACAACCGCGTTATGTTTGCTCTTATAGATATGTCGAGTTTGATTTTCATCGTGAGACCAAAGGCATGAGGTTCGAAAACATTAGCAAGTTGAGCACCAGCTTACGAAATGATCTCGCCAAGATTGCGTAAGTAGCATTTGCACAATAGCGTACGTATTCAATTACTGATAATGGCTATGTTGTCTTTTGTAGTCATTTTTGGCAGGCGGGTGAAAAGGTCGTTTATTGTAAGCAGAATGGCGTTTTCAGAACGGTAAGTTTTCCACTATCATTGTTTCTCAATTGGTTATTAATCCATATACCTCTTCCTTGCCTTGACTTGTAGAATTGTATGGATTGTTTGGATCGAACGAATGTTGTTCAGGTAAGGTGGTGATACGAGGGTTTGGCTATAGGGTTGGTATTAACAACTATCTGTAGAGCGCGTTTGCACGTGTTGTTTTGAACCAGCAGCTGATGCGATTTGGCATTTCCGAGTTTCCTGATGAGGGGATCCATTATTACGAGAGCTTTGAACGAATTTTCAATCATGGTATGTACATGTCTATCTTTGGAAAAAGATCCTTTCATTGGTGTTAATATGGCTTTTTTGTGTCATACATAGTATGGGCCAACAATGGCGATATGATTTCAAGGATGTATGCGGGGACAAGTGCTCTCAAGGGCGACTTTACACGGTAATATTACATTGGGGTTACGGACGTTCTTTTACCCTCTCTACATGCATGTTGATATACAAATGCGCACATGGCTGCACTTTTTTTATTTCAATAGCACAGGCAAACGCAACATTACAGGGATGATGAATGATGCATCCAACTCGCTGGCACGCATGTACCTGAATACTGTCAAGGATTTTTGGAGACAAGCGACAATTGACTACATCCTAGGTAAGGGACTTGAAGGATCTTGATGAGCTGGGTCAAAATGCAGGAGGTTCGGTTAAGGAGGAACAATTGTGGCATTGTACTTACGTTGCTGTTGTAGGTTACCACAAGATTGAGATCTTTCGCCATGTTCCCCAGAGCACCTTGATGTCAGCTGAACCAGGCATGGAGCGTCGGTGGGCCAAGATCCGAATGGATGCAAGTACGTTGTTATCATTTGCTTGAATCACGTGTACAAAAATGTGTTTGATTGACAATGCATGTACATGCACCATTGTTATAGTCGAGATTAGTAGTGCGATTGTGATTGCAGATGATGAGATAAGATTGGGAGGTTGGACCTTACTTTCACCCAATGAACCACAAAAGAGGTATGTAAACATCATATCCCACCACATTTACCACATACATGCATGTCTCACACCACAAACCACCATTCTAGACGAGCCAAGAAATTCGAGGAAAAGGTTGTTTTGCTTACGACCAAAGCCTTGTATGTTTGCAGCTACAACTATAAGCTCGAAAAGGTGGTCCAATTCAGGAGAATCGAGCTCCATATGCTTCTGGGAATTCAAACGGGCGAATACATCTTATCCTCGACAACACCTCAATCCCGAGACATTGAACAAAACTATGGCTTTCTCCTTTATTACGATGCGGACCATGAATTGACGAGGATGAATACTGGCAGTATCAGGAACCAGAATCTTGGCGATCTCAACATTGGCAATAGCCGTCGCAACAGCAGCAGCAGCAATCATCAAGAAAAAACATCATCCAACGCTGGCAGTGCACAAGAAGAAGAGGAGGGAGAGGAGGATCATGAAAATGACAGCAGCAGCGGTAGTGACAGCGATAAGGAAGAGGATGATGGACGCATGTTTTTGGCATTCAAGGCAGTGCGATACAATGTGCTTGGAGAACTTTCGGATGATCAACAAAGCTGTCGGAAACAAGTACAGGAGATTGCGTATCAAATTAGTAAAGCTTGTGGTCAGGAGAACGATCCACAGTTCCTGTACGACAAACCGATCATTAGGTTTGTATATGCCAGGATTCACTACTATGAATGGTATTAGGCTAATTCGACTTTTTTATAGCATCAGGCAGGCTGAGAATACTGATGGCATCTTCAAAAAGATGGGACTCAAGATCAAACATGCCATGTGGATGTAGAGAAGATTATTTATGGTAGCACGAGATATTGTTGTATTCAAGTTTGAGAGGGAAAAAAAGAAAGGTTTATTGTAAAGGCTGTATAACATGTCTTGTATGTAATGTGTGGCTGGGTATGGGTTGTTGTACTAAGTAACGGCAAGTATAAGAGATGAATAGATGAGATGTGACAATGACGGAGATGATGATGGTGATGATGGATGATGGTGCAGCAGGTATCATTAGAGGGAACAAAGGGATTCGAAACTATAAGGGAAAACTTGAATCATTGAGAGCTTGCACAAACATGTTTTGCACATAGCGTGACCAAAGACGTTGGCCTTCTCCGCCATCATCTGTGGCAATCATACGCTTGGCAAGATTATAATAGCTTGTGATGGTAAGGTCGTCAAGCTCATAAGCGTCACGAGAATTGTACTCAAACTCATAATTGAGAGGTGTTTCATCAATATCTGTTTCGAGTTCCTCCTCCCAACGGGTGATGTTTGCGTAGAATTGGTTGTACTCAAGCAGGGTACCATGTGGGCGTTTATCACTTCCATGGTGGCACTGGGCACGGTCATCATCATCATGGATCTCATACTTGTAGATTCGAATAGCAGGATAATAAACTGGCAATACTGATGGAGCCACTTGAACAGCTACAACGGGCATTTGGTTGAAATGTGCTGCGTGATGGTGATCGATAGGGTCGATGTCTTCATACATGTCACGTAACCAATTCACGTACTTGTTGATATTGCGAGAAGTGTGCACGTGGTCATCATCATCATCTTCATTGTTGGTGTTAATAGAAGAGAGATGGCTGAAATCATCATCGTCATCGTCATCATCTTCGGCATCTCTTGCATCCAGCATCAAAAAGTGATCCATGTTGAGATGGCCAAAGAAATGACCCATGAGCACATCAGGATAAGCAGCAGCGATACGAGTATAGCCACGGATGCATGATTTACGATAGTGTTTGGTGGTGGGTGGCACGTGGCCCATCACATAAACACGTACATGGGCAGCACGGGCACGTATCAATTCTCTCTCGAACCAAAGCAGCATGTCATGTGCAGGGGAACCGGGCGAGGAGCATTTCTTGACGGCATCATTTTTGTGGTAAAAGTACATTGTATTGAGTGACAAGACTCGTAAGCGTGGGCCAACATTCACGGCAAAATAGCCTCCTTGACGAAAAGTGGCACGTTGATCCGTTGGAATCCATGGCTGCCATAAACGGGAGAAAAATTGCAACAAGTCGGCTTCATCATCCCCGCTGCCCATGGTGTTATGGGGGTATACATCATTGTTTCCCAATGTAGGCACCACTGGGATATGGCGTGGGTCTCGTGCAGTGGGCCAAAAAGCACGTTGCATCATTTGTTGTACACGTTCATTGAGATGGTAGATGGCTTTGCGTTTACGTGGTCGATATTTCTTGTCCCAATCATGCCTTGAGTTATCACCGGTCCATACGACAAAGTCGATCTTGTCACGCCATTCACGACTAATGTAATCAAGCGTCTTTTCTGCCAACTCGATGGGTGAGTCACATTTTGCACCTGGTGTGCCTAATAATCCTGCAGATTGGGTAATGGCTGACTTTGACCCGAAACGATGGCAGTCGGTGTGCACATTGGAGCCTGCCATGTATTCTTCATCGATCTACAAGCATTTAAAGTTATACGAATGTCAGTGGGAAAATGCTCTATATTAAATGTGTGTATGTGTGTGTGTGTGTGTGTGTGTGGATCTACTACTTACGTGAAGATCAGTGATGTGAATAAAGTAGCCGTGGCGTTTAGGAGGATCAAAGATGGGATGTCGACGTCCAGTCCAAGAACGCCAGGACCAAGCAACCATTTGTTGCAGGGCTGATTGACCCCAGCTTGTGACATCTTGTTCATGATAGTCGATATCATTATCATCACCCAATGGTGGAGGAGACCAACAGGTGAGTAGAGAAAGTACACCAGCGAGCACCACAAAGTATAAGGTGTACAGCATCAAACAAGAGGAGAAAGAAGCGGTGTTCTTGTAAAGGCGGTCGGCGGGCAGCATTTGTTGTGTAAAAAAAAGTGCTTTGTTTCCTCTTTTAACCCAATTGTTTGTAAAACAACGTAAAAAGTTCAGCGTTTCAAGAAAAAAAGAGAGGAGATAGAACGATAAAGAGTATGGCTATGCTTTCCAAAGATTGTCTCTTTATACGGTTCGAATAAGAAAGGGGTTGAGAGATGAGCCGAAAGCGGGGCTGCATCCTCTCGACCACTCATCGACCCTCATGCGAGGCACGAATGGCTATCATTGGAGCTATGCATCAATTCATTACGCTTTCTCTCTCACTTTCTAGTTGCAACTTTTCCATCCGAAAACGCATTTTCGTTCTTTGGACGATGCATTATAGGGATCCTTGTTTGGATGATGCGTTTGAGTGATGATCGATATCCTACATTTGTGTGTGTGTGTGTATTGGCGACATTTGGGAAAAACAGAAAACGGACGCATATCATTACGTTTTTGTTGTTGTTCTTTGTGGGGCTCTCTCTCACCCACCCATCCACCCACACACTTGGTGCCTTTTAACATGAAGGATGAATCACCCCTTGTATAACGGAGGGGATAATGATGGTTGGATGTAAATGGTGTTTTCATAGGTTACAAATACGTTGCTATCCACACATATCCCATCGTGATCTCACGTGGGGTCTCTTTGTTTCTCAGTGGGGGGAAATGAGCCAAGCCAAAAGGGGGGTGGGTATGAAGTATCTCATGCGCAGGAAGTTAAAATTGATCCAATTCAGCTCCTTCTCTTCCCTCCTTCACACAACACACGATTACCCCACTCTTTACGCCATTGCTGTCTCTTCACTTTTACACCCCCTAAATGGTCAGTCCACGGAAGAAAACAGTAAACAACAATCAACATTGCCACGAATGAAGGGGAAAAAACAAGCCGACATTAGCAACACACGCATTCCTCTTTCTACAACTACGTTACGACTCTTTTTTGGGAAAGTGAACAGCAAGACCAATCATCATCTAGAAAGCAGCACAGGTGTCGGCATGAAGAATGGAGGTGTAGTAATCTATGCAAGAGGATACAGGTGTGTTTATTATCTTCAGGTGAATGATGGCGTGTTGGAAGGAAGGAACGGAGCCTTTTTTGATGCCGACACATTGTTACTCTCCAGGTCTCCCTCCTCCTTTGCATGTATCCCTTTTTTACCCTTGCCCCGAAGCAGCAGCAGCAGCAGCAGCAGCCAAGCCAAAAGCATTGTAGCAATCATGTATAATGCAGGTGTATGCCAAGCGTTTTGACAAATGCATCATAAAAGGTATGTATATATTGAAGAAGTTGTCATCATTCAATGTAACCATGGACAAACTGATAAATATCAGATGTCTTTTCATCGTTACGGTTCGAGTGGATGCTATTTGTGGGTATATGAGAGGAACTGGGCGATCCTGATGATGCAACGGTGGATGGCGCTGTCGAGAATCGATCAATGCTGGCAGGTGTGCTATCTTCAATGAGCCGTTTACGAGCCCATACAAGAACATGGTTTTGGAATGAGCGATACCGACGACACTCTTCAAGGATGCTCTCACAGATCCTATTGTATTCTTCTCTGCTCAAATGATACGCCGTCGCTAAGAAATCGCCATAGCTTTGGAGCTCGGCTTCCAGATGATTCATGATGGCGTTGCTAAGGTTACTGCTGCTCATGTAATGCGTTGAAACGACTTGATTATGGATATCGGTCATACCAGCAACCAAATGCAATTGTTCAGCCATATGCGACGCCCAAGTGACATCCACATCCAATACTTCTCGCATCACACGTGCAACTACATAGGCGAAAATGGGGTCAACATGATGACATGGCTCAAGCAAGACGCGATGAGGAGGATACAACATACATGGTCTTTGGAATTCATTTGTCAGTGGCCCTGCATTGCGGATAAAGTGCTCAGCGTCACGAAACTCAACATAGCCACCTGGTTTAAGAACACGCCGAATTTGGTGTAGTAATTGCTGTAGAAAGAAAAGTGAGCAAATAAAGAACAGCTTCAATGGATCTACGTATTACGTTATTACCCTTCGATCTCGTTGTGAGAAGCATGTAGAGACGTAGCTCATATGCACAAAGTCAAAGGTGGCATCATCGTATGGTAGACCTTCGAGCACATTGCCCTGAATAAAGTGGACGTTAGGCGGTTTAATATCGGAGGGATACATGGTATAGATATCAATCCCATAAAATTGTGCGTTTGGAAACTCGGATGCCATTTCCATTAGCCATGTGCCTGTCCCACAAGCAACATCAAGCACGCATGGTTGGACTTTATGATGTAGTCGCGGTTGTTGTAAAATGCTCCCGATTGGCGATGCATAATTGCCGCCAAATGCATGTTTGGATAAGAAATGCTGTAATTGATACGTCAGAGCCCTTTTTATATCTCCGGAATTGGATTTATACTCACCATGCTGATAAGCCGATCTTGCTCATGTTCACTATCGGGTAAGCAGTATTTACAGGTTATTGGCAGCGGACTATTCTCATTGCTGCAGGCATGCTGATGATGTTGGTCTGCTGAAGGTGGTGGTTGTGGTGACGTGGGTACCGATTGTAATCCGCTGCTGGCAGTTGTATCAATCTCTTGTTGTGATAATGATGTTGGTAGCGTTGGGAAATGAATAGGTGGTGTTGATAATCGAAGCGATGGATGACTAGAAGCTGATGATGAAAGGCCATTACCATCATGATGAGTATTTCTCTTTTGTGAAAAGGAAGCGTGTGAAGTAGATGGTGAAGAGGTTGTTGGGCTCGGGAAGGCTGATTGCACGCGGTGAAGTGCTCGCCTCACAAGACTATGATGGTCCGCGTCATGCTTTTTATGCTTGCGGGTGTCGGCTGGTTCAGAGTGTGAGTTACCCATAAATAACGGGCAAGAAGGGAAAATGGTCAATGTTACCGAATTCCAAAAATCCGATGCATCAAAAAGAATTGTGGATTTTCAACAAAGCCAAGCTTACATAGCGGGGGTTTCAGAACATTAACATCACGCGCTTTTTCCCCCCATCCTATAGCAACCCTTGACATCACCACCTACTATCACCACTACCCCTTGAATAAAGAACAATTCTATTACCCTCTTTTCTCTCTTTTCATCTTACTGCTAAAAACAATGCCTCCAAATCCGGATCTCCCTGTTAAACCTCTTGGTCGACGCTTCTCTCAATACTATGTGCCGATCCCTGTCTATATCGGTCTAGATGTAGAACCTGACCTTGAGCATGGAAAATGTGGATACGCTATCTCTGTACACGATGGCTCATATACAACCGATTACTACTCTGGCACATTTGAAATCGACTGCAAGGGTAAATGTAAGGAGCATTGTATGTTTGATGGTGTAAACAAGCTACTCGAGGTGGTGCGTGTATTTGCAATGGCTCAACATTACAAGATCCAAATTATTGCCATTTCTCGAAGTCTCAGCGAAGCTATCTATCACGCACAACCAGCTGAAGGCCCTAGTGCAGCAAGCATGTTTTGGCGTGAGCTCGATGCCATTCCTTTTCATGTAACTACGAATGCTGAAAGTTCAGATGAAAGGGCTTCTGCAGCTGTACGTAAAGCTGTCATGTGGTAAGGATCACTTTTTTGGGGGGAGTTGTTTATGCATCATGTCTCTTACAAAATGATGATTTAGGCTATCACCACAGTATCCTGGCAACCTGCCACGTGTCTCCGTTGGATACCGCCATGAAGTTGAAGGTATGTGAATATGAAATTGTCATTGCATTCCTTATCTCATGTACTGTTATCAGTGGATTTCAATGGATTGATTCGATTGGTTGATCTTATCGATTATAAAAGAACGGTTTGCAGTGACACATGGCGTGTAATAATGGATATGGTTACCCAATACAAGGATCGCAAGCTGCGACTCTGTTTCTTTAACTCGACTCCTCAAGGCGGTGGAGGTAAAGTGGCCTACAATTGCATACCATGCATTACAACAATCATGCTCACGTCAGCTGACAAAACAAATAGTGGCGTTGATGCGTCATGCTCTTCTTCGACTTTATCGCTTATTGGGTGTGGAGGTTCATTGTAAGCCAACTCGTAAACCTATAAATACCTACGACCATGCATGACTAATTTGTCAATAACAAGGGTATGTGGCGCGCCCCAAACCAGAGGTGTTTGACATTACCAAAAGAAAATTCCACAATGTGCTGCAAGGCGTCGCTCCACCTGATGTTCGGCTCAATGACAGGGACAAGCAAATATTTATCGATTGGTCAGACGACAATGCGGAGCGTTTCTGGCTCAAGCCGGGTGGCCCAATTGGGAATTCCGATGTCATTGTTATTGATGATCCACAACGTAAGCAATGCCATCAAGTGATCTCTTTATGTTGAAAGGCTAAAAAAAGTCCGCCCATCTAGTGGTTGGCGTGATCCCTCATATCAAGAAGCATGCACCAAAGACACGCATCATTTTCAGATCTCATATCGAAATGCGTGCAGATCTCATCCGAAAGTACCCTGATGGCCCACAAGCCGAGACTTGGAAGTAAGCATTTTTATCTTACCAATGAAGGGCAATGGCTGACAATGACATTGTATGATAGCTTTTTATGGCAGTTCATTCAGCAAGCAGATTTATTTGTGTCCCATCCAATGGAGAATTTTGTCCCTGATGTTGTGCCACGCCGAGATGTGGTTCAAATGCCTGCCACCACGGATGCCTTGGATGGTCTTAATAAGCGTATTGACGCTTGGTCAACAGAATACTATCAATCAGTGTTCAATCGTTGCTGCATGGATCAAGGATCCAATGAAGTCGATTGGAGCAGACCTTATATTGTTCAAGTAGCACGCTTTGATCCATCAAAGGGTATACCAGATGTACTTGAATCCTATCGCTTATTACGCCAAAAACTCGCTGATGCTGGTGTTGATGAATATGATGCTCCTCAGCTCGTTATTTGTAAGTCATATTACTATAGGTATTGCTATGGATGTTAACCCCTTTTTCTTATTACAGGTGGCCATGGCAGCATTGATGATCCTGATGGCACCTTGATCTACGAGGACACTTATCGAATCCTTCACAAGGCCGACTTTACGGACATTTGCCCCGATATCATTGTGGCACGTTTACCACCCTCTGATCAATTATTGGATATGGTTTTAAGCAATGCCAAGGTGGCACTTCAATTATCTCATCGTGAAGGATTTGAAGTCAAGGTCACAGAGGCATTGCACAAGGGCATCCCTATCGTTGCATACGAAGCAGGTGGCATCCCCTTACAGATTGTCAAGGACCATGATGGCTTTTTGCTTCCTATTGGTGATGTGGAAGGTGTAGCCGATCGTATGTTCCAACTCGTTACCAATCCACAGCTGCATCGTGATATGAGCAATCAGGCTAAGGCACTGGTCACCGAAGAATTCTTTACAGTGTGGAATGCCATTGGCTGGTTGCACTTGTGCCTCGAACTTACCAACGAGGTGGGACTTGATGGTGAAAGCAAGGGCATGGCTGATGAAGAAGGTACCCTCAAACGTAACTCTGGTCTCGGTAATAACGTAAAGGTCTCAGACCACTGGCGAAAGAAATACAAGTATGCCCCTTCTACCACCACTGCACCCCCTCGTGTTTAAATCCTATAACAACATTGTATACTAGAAAAAAAGGTTTACTAGAAAATAAATGATGGAGGGATGATATCGTTTCGAGATCTTTCATTGCAAATGACAAGGTCAATGTGACACGAAAACAATCTTCTGGAACCGTGCATGTCCTTCGGGATATCAAATGCAGTGCACAGACCATATTCTTGTTTGATGTACCGTCAGCAACTCCAAATTACATCTTTAAACGATTGCACGTATCCATGGCAACGACCATCACGTGGCAAGTAAACATGGATCAGCAGTAAAGAGTGTGACGCGTTGTCTACGCGCGTGTAAGGAAACAGTGTTTGTGCAACAAAGGCAACTGTTGGTCTCAACCAAAGTCAAATCGGTTTCCTTGGATCAAGACCATTGTCAATGTTGACCACTTGTGGGAGATGTGAACTAGTAAGTTAGAGTGGGAGATGTACAACTACTATGTTCCACTTGGTTGCTTTGATTCGTAGCATGCTCTTTATTTTGGACATCATTTGCTTTTGGGCATCTCAAGAGGTATGTTGGGTGTATTCTATCCCTTTTCTCATTCACTCATTGACTACTTTAGAATTGGCCAAGACTTGGCAAGCTTGCCATTGGGGATTGCGTGTTATGGAATCTTCCACCTTTGTCTTGTATTGTTCCCTCGCCTCAGTATGGTCTGGTATTCTCAGTGGCAAGGTGCACGCGTGGTTAAGGCTTCCATGTCGTAGGTGCGGTGCAGATGATCGCAAACTTGGCTGTCAGCTGGTTCATCGAAGAGGAAACGGATTCGTATCGATTCAATCGCTTCATACGGTGGGCTTTCAAGGACAATCAATGTGCAATATCCCGCCTGGTCAAACAAGCGACTTTGCCTCAGCTTGTCGAAGGAAGTTATACTTGTCGTTCGCTTGTACCCAGAGCTCTCTCACGGTTACGCTTGGTGGATGAGGTGTACGTTTGGCATTCTTTTTCTTTGCTCTGGTGTTTCATCTCCCCCTTGAGGTACCTCGATTGCTTGCCCTCGTTGCTGTATGTAGGATTGTTAGGTAATGTGGAGAACGGGGTATGTATAACGGAGCTCTGACACAAGGGTGATCATCCGTCAAGAGGGAAACGGTGATCCTTTCTTTGATACATTCAAGTCGTCAAGTCATTGGGAAAGTGGCAGCCTTGGATATTATTCGCTTTACTCATCTATGGTATCGGGTTGGCTGAAGCCCTTGGTTTATGATGGGTTGTAACAAGACGACGCGAACGATAACGATAACAACGGCCATGGCAAAGTAGCTAGAAGCATCGTTTACTATCCATTTGGACTTGGCTGGTTTATCCCCTTCATGCTTTGTAGATTATAGTAGCTTAGATGGAATAAAGGTGATTCTGTTATTGGTATTGTAAGAATAGATGTCTACTCTGATACAATAAAGAGTGGGTTGACCTTAAGAGAAAAAGTGATCTTCCATCGGATTTTCAGGACAAGCGTCCGAAAAGTACTTGTTACTACGTCAAAGATCGGCCAATAAGAGCCCCGTGCCTTCGCATTGTTCAAAAGCGGATGGTCACACAACACGTAAAACAATAAAATCATGACATTACACAATTGTCATCTTCTCGCATCCGTTTTTTTTTTTCTGCCGAAAGTTGGGCATGCAGCAATACAGTACTTGCCTTTTTTGGTAGAGATTCATACAAACTGTAAATCGACAACATACTGTTAAGAATCGGTGTAATATGCCATTTGAAACATGGACCTTAAGTTGAGCATCCTCCATCAGGCGTACAGCATAGAGAAACATAAAGGCACCTGGACCTCCACTCTTCATGTACGAAATACAGCGTCTTTCATCATATCAGACCTCAACCTCAAGCTGGTCACCAATGGACCTGGATCATAGCGGTAGATTGAAACGGCTAATAATCGGGTAAGTTGTAGTGTCGCACAAAGGCGGCCACAATCGCAGAGAAAGTGGGTGAAAGATCACACTTTTTGACAGATCGGGAAAGCTGCCAGAGGACGTGTTTGCATTTGCATTGAATAATGACCAAATGCAAAATCAAAGCCCGGTCGCTAATGTATATAAACGACCCCCCTATGGTTCACGTTCACATAATGTGTACGTTCCTTTACCACGACACGATGTCTTCTTCATCATTTTCCCCTCATCATTCCTTGCCCTTTCCTGATACCGGTTCTTCTGCTACATCAGAAGCCTGGATATCCGGTGACGTCAACACACCCGCTATTGTTCATGATCAAGCACCCCACTTGCATGCACATGACGTGTTGGGTATCGACCAGCTGTTTTCAATTCCACTATGGATGTTACCTACACCAGAAGATTATTCAATTGTCTATGATGTGATCTATGCGGTTCGTCATTTCTACATACCAGACGAGCCTTCGAATGCTGGTCTCATATCGCAAATGGTATCTCGGGCAATCACCTTTATCACGAACGATCCCTCTTCTCGTGATTATTACTATTGTCTTACAATTAACCAGCTACATGCGCACTATGCACAGTGGTCTGAATTGGGTAATATCCCTCTGGAAACAACAGCGACAGGAATAACAGCACCCGCATCATTGCTGTCAACGTCATCATCACCTTCGCGACCGCAAGATCGTGTGCATTCTCTACCCACAACCACACCAGAAGACCTTGAACGTTGTATTGTCACTCTCGTAGCCCAGCTTGTCAGCCAATCCTGCATACATCAAGGTGGCCTTGAGAATATCGACCTCGTATCCCAAGTGATACGCTGGGCTGTCAGCCGTGTTGCCGATGACGATTTTTTTCGTGAATATTACTTTAATCTTACCATCCAACAGCTATACCCTCATTCTACTTCATCGTATCATACCACTTCACCAGCAGCAGCAGAGATAGCAACACCCGCACCACCACTATCAGCTCCATCACCATCGCCACAACCACAGGAGACAGTGCACTCCCCAGCCACAGCTAACGAAGTATCCAGTAACGAAATCATACATAGGTTGACGTGTGATTATTGCCAAAGACATTTCTCAAGAAGGGATTCGTTGCAGCGCCACCTCTTGAATGCTTGTACCTACACCAGGGAGCAACACTCCTACGCACAACATGTCTTTGCAATCGGCCAATGATATCATAGTCTATCCCAACCATACCCTATGCCACCATCATTATCGTTGGATCTCTTTTTTTCGTATTTCTCATTATGCCTTCTCTTTTGTCATGATTTCTTGCAGCCACTTGATTGTATTATGGATATTACTTATCATCCTATATGGGAGAAGCATCATACGCCTATGCATAAAAGTTGATCTGGACATTGAAACACTGGTATATGATTAGACGTCAAGTCAATGAAAATGCACCTTGTTGTCCATACAGCACCAGTCGATATAGCCTTAAGGGAAGCGGACTGTGCTATCACACAACTTCATTTATAGTAGGGGAAGTGCTTACAGTAGTGTATTATCTGCTAGGGATCATTTCATTGAATCAGGCAAGAACAAGTGAATGGCATTAGGAAATGACATTTGTTGGGGATATGAATACTTAAAGCGGTTAATGGAATTGGGGCATCTTGTTGACTCTTGGCTGGGGTTCCAAGTTATCATCCCCGTGAGCGTGTGGTGCGGGAGTATGTGTGATACACAAGCACTGACGCAAAAATGGAATAATGAGAGTAGTGATGATGAGAACACCCCAAAAGAAAAAAGGTTGGAAGAGTATATGTCGACGACAAGCTTCTCACTTTTGCGTGATATCATTGCACTGAAATTAGCGCTGCTACATGGAAACGTGAAGGCTTTCATAAGTATCGTAACACCCACATTTTCTCAACAATGGCGTGCATGCATACTGTTCTATGTTGCAATGCAATACGGGTTGTAATCAAAGGCCGATATGGCAGCGGCTCCTTTGGGCGATGCACGGATACTGTGTTTCAGACTTGGATGGTGTCTCGAAATGGGAAACTACCCATGGCAACATACCTTGAAACAGTAGCTATTAGTGAAGAGATGTCATTTACGGGCTTGTCATGGCAACGCTTGCGTAGCCAAGGCAACTGTTGGACTCAACCAAAGCCAACTCACTAATGTGCAGTTTTCATCTATATAGCCAAACAAGCGGCTTTGCTTCAGCATGTCAAAGGATGCTGCTATTTTGGTTCACTTGTACCCAGTGTTCTCTCTGTCTCACACGTTTACACTTGGTGGATGAGGTGTACGTTTGGCATTCTTTTTCTCTTCGCTGGTGTTTCCCCCACCTCTCTCTCTCTCTCTCTCTCTCGACTTGAGGAACCATCGGCTACATGTTGTCATTGTTGTATATGGGATCGTTGGGCAATGTGGAGAAGAAGATACGTGTAAAGGAGCTCCTGACCCAAGGTGATCGTCGCTCAAGAGGAGAGCATTATTACTTTCTTTGCGCATACGAACTGTCAAACCATTGGGTAAATGATAGCATTATTGGATCTTATTCATTTTATTCATCATTGTGTTATATTAATAGACACCGGGCATAACCTCCTCGTTGATCACATCTAGGAACCATCTTCACAAAGGGCGAAGCATTGACATCACTTGGTTTGTTGTCAGGTGTCAAATAAACCACTTTAAAGAAGCACATCATCGTTTACAATCTCACTCTTGTTGTAGCTGAACACATCAAGTAGATGATTTAATGGATAATGGATAAAATGGGAAGCGACGAAAAGATGAAAACTTCAATGCATACCTACTAGCGTAGGCCTTGGGCAAGTGTTCGCTTGTGTCAGTCGGGTGTCACCAACACACCTCTTCTCTCCAGACTTCTTCACTACCCCGCTCTCCCTCATCGATGGCCAACAGAGGTACCTCTAGAGTTCACGCGAACGGCATAAACAACAAGCTCATGCAACACGAAATAACAATAGTGACGAGCGACGACTTCGATCGCGTATTCGCATGTCTACGCAATAGTGGTGATCAAGACAATGTAAGCGCCTTTGCAAGATGTCTCCAACATGAGCACCAACCCGTATACCTTTTTCTTTCACCTATAGACGATTGCGCCATTGCAAAAGCCTACAGTCGAACAGCTTAGGAATGAGCTCGAACTAGAATTCTTGACGCCTGAACGCACGTTCCCAACATCGTGGCTCGCCAAGTGTCAAGAGTAAGTGTCCCTTTCTCTCTCTCTCGCTTCGTTTTAGTCTTACAGGTCTTCATAATAGACATTGGCATGAATCAGCGGATTTCCCATCATTTGCAAATGCACAGCTATCAAAACCACATACGGCCATACAAGTAGCAAGACGAGGATATGATGGTGATATACGTGGTTACCGAGAATCCATCATCCAAGATGCCAATCTCAGCGCCTCCAATTCCACCAGCTTCAGTCGTCCCTTTGGTGCCACTCGCGATTTTGTGAGAGGAAATGCTGTCCAGTATCCATTCGCACCTGGTGGTCTTGAAGCCGAAGTTGTGGATGAAGAGATTGAGGAAATCAACATTGATCTCGACTTTTTGCAGGATGGTAAAGTATGCCTTTAGTTGAACGATGCATGATACAGCGTGTATTGAAAAGCCATTCATTGTAGATTTGCCAGCTGTGGCTCCTGGATTGGATAGAGGATTGGTGTTTGAAGGTAAGCGGCGTTAAGGATCATGTAATACATGCAATCTTACATTCCTGCACAAAGGCGATGATCAAGCACAAATCAAGGAACCATCATCATCATCATCAACTGCTACTCCTTCTGTATTCAACTTGGATGATGTCCTCAAGCCTTCTGAGACCTTTGACTTTTTGGATGTGAAGACAACCGAGAAAGTGGATACAACACCTACAACAGAACCTACGACTCAACAAGGTAAGATGAGTGGGGTTGGGGATGGCGATGTATCAGGGCAACGAGGTTGACAGGTTATATGGTAGATGCTGCTGAAAAGGAAGAAGTGGATGAACTCTTACCACAACAAGCACCTCGTCCAGCTGTGGAATCAATGCCCAAGCTCAAGACTGTCAATGAAACGCATCGTCGTCGTGAATGGGCACATGAGATCAACGTTAACCAGCCGTTTGACAACTTTCATGACCTGGTGCCTGAAATGGCAAAGGAGGTAATGTGGATTAAAAAAAAGCTCATCACGTGATTGCATTCGCCAACACTTTATGCTCTACTAGTTTTCATTTGAACTTGATCCATTCCAGAAGCATGCCGTGTATCATTTGGAAATGGGTGATTCGGTCTTTGTTGCAGCTCACACCTCGGCTGGTAAAACGGTTGTCGCTGATTACGCTATCGCATTAGCTTCCAAACACATGACCAAGTAAGTGTCGTTGGCATCCTATCAACGATCAAATCCATATTCACAGTCGTCTACCTACCTATAGAGCTATCTACACCTCGCCCATCAAAGCTTTATCGAATCAAAAGTTCCGCGACTTTAAGCACACCTTTGGTGATGATGTTGGTATCCTTACAGGCGATGTTCAAATTCGACCTGAAGCCAGCTGTTTGGTTATGACTACTGAGATTCTACGAAGCATGTTGTATCGTGGTGCCGATTTGATTCGTGATGTGGAGTTTGTCATTTTCGATGAAGTTCACTATGTCAACGATATTGAGGTATGGCTATCGACAAGAGGAAGCCGCTTCACAAGATATTCATGCATTTGTTTTTAGCGTGGTGTTGTATGGGAAGAGGTGATCATTATGCTTCCAGCCCACGTCAACATTATTTTGCTGTCTGCGACCGTACCCAATACTCGAGAATTTGCGGACTGGGTGGGGTAAGTGGGATCAAACAACCAGTAGGCTGACAAAAGGAGGCTGATCCTTTCTTCCTTTTAGACGTACAAAGAAGAAAGACATTTACGTCATTAGCACGCTCAAGCGTCCAGTGCCCCTCGAACATCATCTATATGCTGGCAAGGACTTGTTCAAAATTGTTGGTGCAAATGAAAAGAAACTCAACGGCACAGCGTAAGTGATTCCAACAAGGTGATGATGTTTTGGTTCTCACACAAACGTATTCTCTAGCTACAAGCAAGCAAGTGACGCTATCACCAAGCGTAAAGAACAACAAGAAAAGACTGCTGCTGCTACTCGTGGAGGACGTGGAGGACGTGGTGGTGCAGTTGCTCGAGGATCTCATAAGCCTATTGGACGTAGTTATCAAGCTGTCATGCAAACGGTAAGTAGTTGGATATTCAGGCCCATGTTGTCACATGGCTAATTGCAATTTTCATGGATAATGTAGGATCGCAACTTGTTTGTTCACTTGATCGGCCTTTTGAACAAGAAGCAATTGTTACCTGTGGTCATTTTCACCTTTTCCAAGAAGCGTTGCGAGGAATATGCAAGCAGCTTATCCAAAACCGACTTGTGTACCAGCTTGGAAAAGAGCGAGATCCATGTATTTATTGAAAGAAGCTTGGTTCGATTACGTGGTACCGACAAGGAGCTGCCACAAATCCTACGCATGCGTGAACTACTTTGTCGAGGTATTGCGGTGCATCATGGTGGCCTGTTGCCTATCATCAAAGAAATCGTTGAAATCTTGTTCGCACGAGGCTTGGTCAAGGTTTTATTTGCTACCGAAACATTTGCTATGGTAAGGGTATCTTGGATTGGGTTGCTTTAATAGAGACTAAGATGTGATATTGCTTAGGGCGTCAACATGCCTGCTCGTAGTGTTGTCTTTTCAGGTTTAAGGAAGCATGATGGTCGTGGATTCAGAGATCTTTTACCTGGTAAGTGACTTTGCTAAAAGAAAAGGTCAACAAGGATACTCATTTGGGATTATGTGGTGATTAGGTGAATATACCCAAATGTCGGGTCGTGCAGGACGACGTGGTCTCGATAGCACTGGTATGGTGATTATTGCTTGTAGTGGTGATGAGCCCCCTGAAGCAGCAAGACTTTCAACCATGATCCTTGGTCGACCTACCAAACTCGAGTCGCAATTCCGTTTGACGTACAATATGATTCTCAATCTTTTACGTGTCGAGGCGCTCAAGGTCGAGGAAATGATTAAGCGCAGCTTTTCCGAGAATAGCACCCAAAAGTTGCTCCCAGATACGAAGCGTCTTGTGGATGAAAACGAGCAACGCAAATTGGCGCTACGACAACTTGATTGTACGATTTGTGGACCTGATTTGGAGCAATTCTACGACGTGTGTGGTGAAGTGATCACCTTGAACCGCAACATGATGCTGCAATACATTTCAAAATCGCCCGCTGGTAATCGTGCCTTGACAGCTGGTCGCATCGTTATTGTCAACAACAATGTAGGTTTCAATCTTGCGTACATTCATGCATCTCTTATTCACACACTCGCTCTAGGTTTATCGAAATACCCCTGCTGTCATTCTCAAACCAGTACCTGTATCCACTGCTGCTGCTGCAACTACCCAAAAGACATTCTATTGCTTGTTGTTGGTACCCAAGGATCTTGATACAAAAATGCAAGGATCAGGTATGTCGTTTTCAAATGGATTTATATCTTTGAGGAGCTAACCATGCTCTAGATGAGATCGCACCTTTACCAGTGACCATGTTGAATGTGCCTGAAAGTACAGAAAGCAAGACTGAAGTTGTCTCTATTGGCGTATCAGACTTTTTGATGGTGTCCAAATCGAGCATCAAGGTATGTAGGCGTGTGTGTATGGATAAAATAAGCGATACATGGTTCTCAACGAACGCTTTTATTAGTTGGATGTGGATGCTGTTATGACAGGACGAGATGCAATGGAGCTAACACGCGTGAAACAAGAGCTGGAGAAGGCTGCTGAAGATACTCAGAAGTCTACTCTTCTTGAATATGATTGGCAAAAGATTAAGGATATCGAGTTCCAAGAAATGTTGCGTAACAAGGTGGCGCACATGAAACGACTACGTACGGATTTCCAATGCACCAAATGCCCTGATCTTAACGAGCATGTAAGTATGCCTGTGCCACCCTTTTTTCGCTAATATTAACCTCTTCATATTATAGTATGCATTGGTACATGCTCACAAGAGGATCTCGAGCCAAATTGATATGCTCAAGCTTACGATTTCGGATCAAAACCTTGAATTGTTGCCAGACTATCATCAACGTATCGAAGTTCTCAGGCAGATGCACTATATTGATGAGCAGGGTACAGTGCAGCTCAAGGGTCGTGTTGCATGCGAGATCAACTCGGCGGATGAATTATTGCTTACTGAATTGGTGCTTGACAATGTGTTTGCCGACTACGAGCCAGCTGAAGTGGTGGCCATTTTATCTGCATTTGTGTTCCAGGAGCGCAATGCAAGTGAGCCACGCCTTACACCCAAACTTACCAAGGCCAAGGAGACTGTTCTCACATATGCACGCAAGGTGGCTCAAGTACAGGTGGACTGTGGTCTGCCATTGTCGATTGAAGATTATGTCAACAGCTTGCACTTTGGTCTAGTCGAGGTCGTCTATGAATGGGCACGTGGATTGGTAAGTAATTGTTGTCATACTTGATGGCTGTTCTTTTCTTGATATGCTGACCTACTGTTTGTAGCCTTTCAAACACATCACAGATTTGACGGACGTTCTGGAAGGATCCATTGTTCGTTGTATTAGTCGCTTGGATGAAACTACACGTGAAGTGATGAGTGCGGCACGTATGGTTGGTGACACCAGCCTGTACAAAAAGATGGAAGAGGCTGAACAAGAAATCAAGCGTGATATTGTCTTTGCTGCAAGCTTGGTAAGTTAACCCTCATCGAAGTTTAGGTAGAGATGTGATGATCGCTAACATTATGATTCTAGTACTTTTAGAGTGTTCAATCAAATGTACATTTCGCGCCGATTATCATCATCAATAAAGCAACCATGTATCTTGCAAGATCAAACTCACAAAAAAAGGATGCGTATCTTATCACAATTGAGCTATACTCAGGCCTTTTCCCTTCCTCTCTTTTTCCTTCACCACAGCATTCACAAGCAGACATAGCTTTCATTTGTATTCAATACACATCTTTCTACAATGCAATGTATGAAGTGCAGCACACACGACCAGGTTCAACGAATTGCTTTAATAGGAGATACATTTGACTTGGATTGACTTGGAAAGTCTCTATCCTTTGGGTTGCATTGTGTATAGGTGGATGGATCGAGGATAGTGCATAGCGAGTCAATAACACGGAGTTGGATGATCAGCGGCATACACAGTTTGCAGGTCGCACAAAATGACAGTAGCTGTATCTAAAGTACGATAATCGTTCAAGGATCATATCATCAACCTTAAGGCTCTTCTTCCACACGTCGTAAATATCCCATTCCTTTCATCCCATGTATCCGTATTCATATGTTTGCAAATTCGTATGCATTAAAGCAAGTTGATACACGTACATAATGCTGCTCTAAATAATGGCTATCTGCTGTTCACGTGAAAAAAGGCTACAAGGCAGGGTTGTTGCATGAACACTGTTGAAGGCAATGGAGTAAAGACCTGCTGATAGCAACTGCTGGAATGAACGCTGATACGTTTGGTTGTGGCAGAGAAGTGTGCAGAGTGCAAGAGCATGTGCTGAAGTAGAGTGACAAGGTTGCGAATGCTGTCTGAACCAATGGAGTAAAGGCCTTGCTAATAGCAACTGTTGGAATGCATGCTGTTGCATTTGATCGTGGCAGAGGAGTGTGCAAGAGCGTGTGTTGTAGAAGAGTGACAAGAAGGCTGTGTACACGCCATGTACTTGCTATTGAGTCAAAGACAATCGGATCAAGAGTGTTGTAGGATTGACATGAAGGGTTGAAGCAGGACAATCGTTCGTAGGTGGTAGTCGTATACTTCAATGGGCCAGCAATTGAGAATGGGAGGAAGAGGGAATAAAGTGGGAGTGGAAGTGGAAAAGTAAATCGGTCGGACTCCTCTTGTATAAATGCATGAACACTGTACATCAATCCTTGATATTGAGATTGCCCCTCCAGAACCTGAAACCTTCACACAAGATGCTCCTGGGCATGCTGATCAACACGGTCTTAAAAAAGACATCATGTTCATTTAAAAATATTGAATGGGAGGGTACAATGTGGGATTTACTATGGAGATCCGAAAGCATGTCAGCGCCGGATTCATGATTTATCGAAACAGTATGTATTACCTTGGGATTCCTCATTTCGAACATGAAACTTTGTCAGAAGGTTCGCTGGGACATGCTGATTAACTTCATTCATTTAAAAACCATACACTTCATTAAGAATGTCTTGAATGCGGGAGAGTCCAAATGGTGGATAACGGGTACAAAAGAGAGGACGGCCCACCGCCCCGAAGTTGCCTGTTTCCAACTTGAAAATTGGTCAGAAGGGTGCTCTCGAGCATGCTGATAAACTTTTTTCTAATAAAAACTTCGCGCTTCATTTGAAAATTTGGAATGGGAGCGTCCCAAAGTTTGAAAGACGAAGACATTCGCAGGGTCTGTCTTTCAAGAATTTCATGTTTGCTGTTCCAGCGTAGCTCAGCCAAATCAGCACGGATCCAGAAAGTTGAATGATGGGAATGTTGGGCTGGAGCAGGAGAATCGTTCCTATGCAACGTATTTGGCAACAAAGACGAATTGGAGGAAGTGGCTGTTAGCTGGCAGTTTATGAGCTATTATCATAAAGTATGCATTATCATGCATTGATCTGTTCCAGTACTACCCAATGAAAGGTAAGCTACACAAAGAAGTCCCTCTGCATCTTTTGTTTCGTTAGGGTCCAGCACACAATGAACAAAGACCACTCTTCATATAGCACCACGCTTACAGCATAGTAAAAACATAAAGTTGCCTGTATCTCCGAACTTTACAATGAAACGTGGGGTTTTGGCAGAGCAATGTGCTTCGCTTGGCCAACTGCACCTTGGGTGAAAGTTTCACGATCAAGCTTGCCAATCCCAGATTTCGCAATGTCACCACCAGCCAAACTGATCCGGGGGTCGACCTCTTTCGACGACGACGACCAAAAAATATTTTTGGGCTGTTTGCGACATTGGACGCAAAACTTTCACACAAGGTGCTGTTGGCCGCTTGAGCGAGACATTGCTCTAATCAAAACCCCACGTTTCATTGTAAAGTTTGGAGGTACAGGCGTCTTTATGTTTGTAAGATGCTATATGAGAAGTGGTCTTTAGTTCATTGTCAAGTAGCTAGACTTTGGAGAGCCAAAGATGCAGAAGGACCTTTGGGTAACTCAGCTAAAAAGTCAGGACTTCAGGGACAATGCACGATAGGTACGCAACCCTCACTTTCATGTCACATTGGCAGCTAATAGCCACCTTTTGTGCATTCCCAACTTTTGTGCATTCTATTGTAGGTGGACGATGCTCCTGCTCTAGACATTCATTTCCATGATTAAAGTAGGTTAATCCGAGCTGATTTGGTTGAGTTATGCTTGCACAAGATTACATCGGTTGAGCTACATCGAGCGTGCTTTATGTCCAGAGTGATGTAATCTCTCTTTGACCGCAGCTCAGTCAAATCAGCTCGGATCAACCTACTTTAATCATGGAAATGAATGTCTAGAGCAGAGGCATCGTTCCCATGCAGTGGATCTCGCAACAATGATGATTGGATAAAAGTGGCCGTTAGCTAGCAATACATGCCTGTTCTTAGATGATCCATAAAGTAATCATACATTGACCCTTCCATTCATGCAAACGCGTAGCTGTGTTACTCAACGCGACCCCTCTGCATCTTTTGCTCTGTCAGGGTCTAGCTACTTTATATTAAACAGCACCACTTCATATAGCATCACGCTTACAAACATAAGGGTGGCGCTCAGAGCCCAAACTTTACAATGAAACGTGGTTTTTTATTAGAGCAATGGGCTCGGCTTGGCCAACAGCACCTTGTGTGAAAGTGTCGCGTTCAATGTCGCAACTAGCCCAAAAAATATTTTTTGGTCGTCGTCGTCGAAGAGGTCGACCCCCAGATCCAGTTTGGCTGGTAGCGACATTGCGAAATCTGGGATTGGCAAGCTTGATCGTGAAACTGGCACCCAAGGTGCAGTTGGGCAAGCCGAGCACATTGCTCTATTCAAAACCCCACGTTTCATTGTAAAGTTCGGAGATACAGGCACCTTTATGTTTGTAAGCGTGATGCTATATGAAGAGTGGTCTTTGTTCATTGTGAAGTAACTGGACCCTGGCAGAGCAAAAGATGCAGAGGGACCTCTTTGTGTAACTCAGCTACTTTGCATGACTGGAAGGATGGAAGGATGATACTGTATACTATTGACAATAACCCATACATTGCGAGCTAACAGCAATTTCCTCACAATCAGCACTGTTGCCCACTCTATTACATGTGAGCGATTCTCCTCCTCTAGACATTCATTTCCATGATTCAATTATCTTGATCCGAGCTGATTTGGCTGAGCTACGGTCAAAGAGGGATTACATCGATCCACACATCAGCATACATTCGAATGTCTCAGCTGATTAATCCTTGTTCGACCGTAACTCAACCAAATCAGCTCGGATCAAGCTACTTGAATCATGGAAATGATTGTCTAGAGCAAGAGAATCGTTCCCATGCAGTGGATCTCGCAACAATGATGATTGGATAAAAGTGGCTATCAGCTGTCAATGTATGACATGAAAATGAGGGTTGCGTACCTGTCATGCATGGTCCCTGAAGTCCAAACTTTTTAACCCAGTAACATAAACACGTCCTCTGCATCTTTTGCTCTGCCAGGGTCCACCTACTTCACAATGAACAAAGACCACTTCTCATATAGCATCACGCTTACAAACATAAAGGTGCCTGTATCTCCAAACTTTACAATGAAACGTGGGGTTTTGATTAGAGCAATGCTCGGCTTGGCCAATACCAGCACTATAGGAAAGTTTCGTCAATGTCGCACAGCCCAAAATATTTTTTAAATGTCACACGAAAAGAGATTTATATGCCCCGGATCCAGTTTTACGGGTGGCGCATTGGCAAATCCGATTGCCCACGATAACTTCTGTACTTGACACAAGATTCCTTGTCTCCGACGGCACACGCGTGTTGGTCCATTAAAGATCACAACGATTGTAAAGTCGGGATGGCAGAGCCTTTTGTTGTTTTACATACATGTGCGGGTGATGCCAGCGAGAAGGGCTCGTATTGAAGGCGTATCGTAGTATGATTATAATAGAGCAAAGATGCAGAGGGCGTGTTGTGTAACTCGAGTCATTCAGCACAGGCGATGCATGATTCTTGTACGCTATTTAGGAATAGTTCAAAATGCCAGCTAATAACCTTAGTCCTCCCATTCACCTTTGTTACCCGATCCAATGCATACGAACGATTGTCCTGCTCCAGCCCAGCATGCCCATCATTCAACTTTCTTGATCCGAGGGGATTTGGGTGAGTTACGCTCAAACACAAAACATCATCCAATTTCACAAAAATCATTTTGCAAAGTTATTTGTAAACGGATACTTGATAGCCCATTCCTCCCATTCACCTTTGTTGCCCAGCCCAATGCATGTAACGATTCCCCTGCTCCAACCCAGCATCTCCATCCTTCAACTTCCTTGATCCGAGGGGATTTGATTGAGCAATGCACACACAAAGAAACATCATCCAACACAAAGAAGTCTACTAATTTCCAGCTCTTCCGCTCCCCACTTTGGCTCTTCCTCCCATTCCTCACTGTTTCCGTCCATTAAAGTGCTGCCACCATCTCAAACGATTGTCCTGCTTCAGATCATCATGTCAAGCCTACGATTGTCTTTGATCCCAACTACTTCGACTGAATGGCACGTTGATGGCGTGTGCGGACTTCACAACACCCTCGTTCCTTTGGACACTTCACCTTCTCTTGTGCATCCTCGACGACAATCAAACGCGTTCATCCAGCAGTTGCAAGCAGCAAGGTCGTTACTTCATTATCTCAAACAGTGCTCACAACCTTGTCACCTTGCTACAACACACGCTCTTGCACACTCCTTTTCCCGATCAAACGTAATAGCAGTCGTTGTCAACAAGGTCTTGTCTTTGTCTCAGACGACGTTCTCTACTTGCAATCTTTTTACGTGAACAGCAGACAGCCGTTGTTTAGAAGCAGCTTTGTTTACGTGTAGCAACTTGCTTTGATACACATGGATTCCAATGGATGATGCCATATCACCTATCAACTATTCTGCGCCATACAAGCATTCTTCTCCTGATTGAGCAGCTATACACAATGACAAACGAAGTGGTTGACCCAACAGCCGGATGGAAAAGGAAGGATGCCAGCAAACAATTCTTTCTATCAACATGTTGGACTTGCAATGGTTATGAATGGATGGATGGATGCAGCCAAGCACTGTGATAGGTGACCCTGAAATGTCGCTAGCAGGAAGGATGGATCATGTTACGTGATTACAGTTGAGGATGATGATGGATTGAATGGCATGGATCAGAAAGCTTCGATATTTGACGAAAGGCGGTTTGCTGCCATGGATGATATTGGGATATCGGAATCAAGGCACGCACAACAATTAGTTTGCAATAATGATTGAAGATGCTTATGACGGCGGCAACCAAGGGATACAATGATACAACAATGATACAACAACGATGCCCGCTGATTCCTTGTGATCGACTTGGTTGGTTTGTGGAATGAAAGGGAGGAAGGATTTCGAAGGTGGAGAACGAGATTGGATCATCTACATCATTGTATCGAGATACCTTATTCCTTTGTCACACTACATTCGTTGAAGCTTCTTTGTTCGTACGCTGATAGACGATAGGCAGTGGCATTTCTCAGCGGGCTGTATAGGTTTAAATAGACGCGTTTGTTTTCAAATACAATAAACCCATAGTAATGGTACCCAACAATAGTCCCTCGCGCTTGATTGTAAAATTGTGAGATATTGACGTCTTTATTTCTACTATGCTTCAATCGTGATGCTAAATGGAAGATGTCTTTGTTTATTGTGAAGTAGCTAAAGATGCAGGACGACTTGTTTGTGCAGCTTAAGCCAAGAGTGTCGAATCTCTTTTACTATTTGCTTGTCGCTGGCATCTTGATAAGCATGTCCAGATATATGAGTGCTCTTGTATTAGCATTTTGGTATTGAAGGTGTGGTATATCCTTTTGATCCAACATAGCTTGTTAAACAGTAATGGATCAACATGCACCGATATAGAAGGTGCAGTGGTACACGGCGTCGCTGTTAGCTGCACGTCTCTCCGCATCGGCGTCGGCATGATAGCTTCGTGCCACATTAGGAGGTGTCAGTTTGCATGATTGTCATTGACAACACAATTTTACTTCCCCTTCTACTTGCCCACATGTAAAGAAAGAACGGCGTCTTTAGGCAGAGATTAGCCTGTAAAACGCGCGACGCGAAACGCGCTGAGTATAAAAGGAAATTGGACGAAAAAGCGCGAAAAAAAGCACGTAAAAAAACCACGCTGGGATTGAAAAAATTTGCGCGTTTGAAAGAGCGCTCTTTTTCTTATAAAACAGAGCCCTTTTCCTCTGAGGCGCAGTATCCTCCTTTCTCTTGCCCGGTAAGTTTTCTATTGTTCATTCATCTCTTGGCACTATGTACTCATGTAAGTTTGTTATAGAACAAGTTGATTGGAGTGGTCTGCACAGGGGGTTTTTTTCCTTAGCCTTTGCCGCGTAACAAAGCGAGGTTTTTTCCCCCTTCTTCGTTACCCCTCCGCCTGAATGTATTCATGTTGCGCTGGTCGTGTTCATGGATGCTCTTGGGTCGTAGCATGACTTGATGTTATCCGCTAAGCGTGTTCTGGTCATTGTTGCAGGAGTGGAGTATGTATATGCCTTGCTCCTTGTGAGGTTGGCATGAGAGTTCCTTTACCTCGCAGTTGACAGGGTGTAAGGTTACGCTAGCGCAACAGACGTGAAGCGGTTCCCCTTCTGCAATGAGGAAAGATGAGGCGTCGCCTGCTGGAGTGTTGCGTTATACCAGCAGTTCTGACCGCCGACCAAAATATGAAAATGATAATAGTAGTATTAGAAGGTGGTAGTAGTATTAGAAGGAGTCTCCCTTTCCCATATACGTAGTAATAGATCACCCACTTGCCCTTGTTTACTATAATGAAGATAGCATCCTCTTGTATGCCAATAAATCAATCCTGCACTTGTTCTTATTACAATGTATACGTTTATTGTTATCATTGCATGCATGTATCACGACGATCTATGTCTATCTTGGTGACCTATGGAAAGGCATTGTGTATGGTATCATGGCAACCAATAAAGAAGTTGAAGGGAACGGGTGTTAACGATCCTGTTGACACGATGAGCAAACGAGCATTCAACCTCACCACACCTCTCGAACAAGATTGCTAACGTGCTTCTCAAGGACACAAGAACAAGAAAAGTGAGGAATGGGAGTACACAATCAAGGTTGCAAGGATCTTATTGACATGGTGGTGGCACCGATCAGCAGCACGTTTGACCGTTGAAGCTCGTGAATGCTGTCAAAAAACATAGTGGCACAGGATAGCTGGTTGTTTGTATGGCAGCAAGTGTGAAGACGATGGTTGCAACGTAGCTAGAAGGACACGTTATTTCTTATCCCTTGGACCTTGCTAGTTTATTCCCTTCTTGCTTGCTGGTTGATCAATGTACTACAAACGAAATAGAAGTCTTGTAAGAAGAAGCATATACCTTTTCTGATACAATAAAGAGTGGTTGACCTCAAGAGAAAAAGTGATCCTCCATTGAGTTTCTGGACGAGAGGCCAATTGGTATGTCGTATCACTTTCGTCTGTGTGCATTAAATTGATAGGGTTTAGAAGATTGGAACAGCTGCAGCGGATGTGATATGGAACCATTACTTGTCATGCACCTACTACTCCTTTGATACATGCTGTTTACGTACCTTCCTAAGGTAGTTATTATCCCTTTTGTGCAACAATCTGTCAACAACGCGAATGCAACCATTGCATGCCATTTCATTCGGTTCAGCACTTTGCCTATCTCTCGACACAATCAATTAGCAGCAAACAGCTCCATTACGCTTACAGCGAGCATAGGTAAAACATAGTAGGTACCTGTTTCACGAAATTTTCATAATGAAGCGTCGAGGCTTTATGAAGACAAAATTGATCAGCGCGCCTGAACACACACTGTGTGCCATTGTCAGGTTCAAGATAGAAAATCCCAAGGTTACATAGACTCCTGTAAAGGTAGATAAATACATACTACGAGATTATGATGTGGTTGTGTAGAAGAGTAAGCTTATGGTACGCCATAGATGCATGTATCGTCAAGCCATTCAACGAGAAGTCAAAGTTTACGAACGAAGCGAGCCCAAAGTTCTTCCTATAGGTGATCCCATGTATACGACATTGACGTGTAGCTGCATCAAGTGATTTCTTTTGAAGAAGTTCGATTCAAGCGAATTTTATTCAGTAAGCATTGTCACGTGCTCTAGCTTATAGTTGCAAGGTGGGTGATATCAAACGTTGTCAAACTCTAATTGAGAAAGGATTGATTGGGTGGTGGTGGTCGTGGCGGTGGTGCAAGATGCATGATCCATCCATCCAAAAATGAAGCGGGATTTCTTTGTGCTTCTCCTTTTTCATGGTCTTGCCTTCCAATCTTGAACTCGAACGAGCAATCCACTGGTTCAATATCCAGCATCGAAAGAATTATGGTGCAGACACAGTGAGTAGCCGTGCAATGTGTCATGTCGCCCGCCCTTTGCTGAACTTTGGTTTTGCGTAGCAGGTACATCCTTTTCACTTGACGACGCGATCAGCAATCTAACGACAGCGAACCCATTGGCTCCCTTTGACAGCAACAACCACCTACGATCAAAGACATTCTACAGATCTCTGAGCTGCCACCACGCGTCTTGACTCGTATGTTGAAATGGACCCCAAGCTTGTACAACGACGATACTGATAGAGTTGTTCCTGCATTTTGTCGATAGTTCGTGATTCTCCAGTCAAATGCTTCGTCGACAACAAGCTCCCGGAACAGTTGATCCATGACTATTATCTTGGTAAGCCTGGATTATGACTCAAGAGGGAAAAGAAGGATCGCATTAACATATGGATCCTTTTTAGCCTTAGTGATGGATTATTTCAAGACCGAGGCACAGCCTATTCTAGAACGATGGATGACAAACAATGCAAGTACACCTTCTTTGAACGACATGAAATACAACTTGAAAAACTAATACGAGATGAATAGGATATGAGTCTGGAGGAATTCATTTCACAATTGTATGCGATTTATCAAACGATTGAGAACCCTCTCAAAATGCCACTGCTTATGTAAGTTTTGGCTGTACAACGAAGTACAATCGACTAAGTACATCTTTATGCAACAACAGCAATAGTCCATTAAGCTCTCCAAAGCTGAAGACACATCTCAAGCAAATCTGTTCAAGAAATCTGCTCACGACGCTGGCGTCTGGAAAAGCTGAATTCGACAGAAAGCGGGATGCATTTTACCTTGAGGGCTTTGCGTTATTTGAGACACGACGACCTTGTTGGGTGCCTGAGCTATTGAATGGATATGACACGCGTGTGCTTTATGAAGATCTTGAAAGCGATATACCCTATTTTACCGACGCTGCCACACTTTCCAATCAGCAACTGCAAGCTATCATTGAACGCATCATCAGCTCGGGAGCCGCCATCATGATGGATGAGGATCCACCCGCTTTAGACGACGCTTTGATTTCATTCAAGAACACATGCCATCAAATTCATGCACTTGGACTTACAGCAGATATGACACCTCTTGTCCAGAACAGGCTGCAAGAAAAGCTGACACTGGATGCTGATTGGGTGGATGACATTGGCCAAGAATCGATCCTTGATGATACCATGCTATGGACACGGCAGGTCTTACTTCCATGGCTCTCGTTTATTTGGTTGGCCCGTGACATAGAGGAAGAGCAGTGGTATGATTTCTTGCGAGCGAAGATCAAAGTCGAACATCTTGCTCGAAAGATATTCTTTGATACAAGGCAAGTATAGTGAATAGCCACTCATGTGAATTTTGTCTAATGATGCTATCACAAAATAGATTGAGCAGGATTTTCGATATCATCACGGAGTATCCTGCTTCTGAAAGTGTGGTTCTTGATCTCAAGGTATATTGCTATTTTCATGATCCATGCCCATCCTTTAATACCTTGTTCTGCTTTAGCGTATTGCATGCAAGAAACGACCTGAAAAGCTTGGCAACGACAACATCTTATTACATCGAATCAAGGAAGCTGTTCTTAAAGAGTAAGTGTTATTGTGAGTAAGAGAGAGAGACTTACTAATGGTGATGGGGGATAGATTTCAAGCGCGACTGTTGAAACTGAGCGTATGGCCTACAGCGATCCTGCAACAATGCGTGTTATGTGTACAATGCCTCCGTGAGCTTGATCCATCGTGTGATATTCTTTTGCCAATCATCGATAGCGTACGCACATATCTCAGGTATCTACCAAAATGAACGACATTGAAGATAAGGATAGCCACTTATGGACAATGATTAGAACGAAACGAAATGATGCTGTTGCAGCCGTTGTGGATATGATACGGGAGGGCGAAGAGTATGGATTATCGGATGATGACATTTACACATTCAAGGAGGGTGAGCTCGAAGGCAAAGAAGAAATGGATGAACGAGGTGAGTTATGGTCTTTGTTAAATGGCATGAAGCGCTTTTTTATTTACAAAGGAAAACAATAGAACGCCTTCGTCGCATTGCTATTGATCCAACTGCCATCTTAATCAGCATGTGTGGTTCGGCTGCCGGTTTTGTAAAGGCCTATCAAGCCAAGCTTAGCAAGGAGCTCTTTATGGTGAAAGACTATGATACGGATGAAGAGATGGCCAAACTCGAGCTTCTCAAGCAGCGATTTCCTGCCAACACGATGATGAGCTGCGATATCATGCTGAAGGACCTTGCTGAAAGCAAACGCATTGACCGGCAGATACATGATGACAATGTGGGAGTACAAGATACATTTCACGGCATGGTTCTTTCACGTCACTATTGGCCTCGGAAAAACGCTGATGATGAGGATGACGAGGATGAGGATGAGGACCCGGAAAAACCAGTGCAGCTGCATCCTGAAATAGTCCAGTAGGTTGGCATAATGTACCCTTTCATGCATGTGGCTCATTGTATATTTCAAAAAAGGTCAATGGAACGATTTGAAGCCCAGTTTAGAGGATACAAGACGGATCGAAAGCTCAAATGGTCACCGACACAAGGATGTATTACTGTCGAGCTCGAATTTGGAGATCGAACAGCCGAGTTTAGAGTGGATTCAATCAAAGCATTGGTGATATCGGTTTTCAATGATTCAGGTAATGTGAGAATGGACCTTCCTCATTTGTCAAGTGGCTAATTTATGCATAGACCAAGCTTTCACAGATGATCAAATTGCCGAAACGCTCAATGTGGATGTGGACTTAGTATTGGAGGCTTTGGAGTTTTGGGAAAAGGAAGGCGTGCTGGAATTGACAAGCGACGGTGTTTTTCGAGTATTAGACGAAGAGCGATAGTAGCGATTATTGTACATCATCATCATCATTATAAAGACGATTGAAAAACAACAACATTGATTGAATTTGCTTCTCCTTTTATACAACAACATATATGTGCATATGAAACTATAATATGACCGGCATAGCAAACAACACCAACATATACAAAAAAAGTGCATAATAAACGAATCTAAATGAGAGGGAAAGAAAAGAGCATACCATCGCCTTGATGAAACTATATACATTGCATATACGTGTGAGACTTTGATCACGTTGATCTTGGCCCTGTTCGCTTGGGTGGTTCTTGTACGGTGGTATCCGGTGGTAGGATATGTCTGCTATGTGGTTTCCAATTGAGTTTAAAGTTCAATCATGCATGCATGTATGTATGTAAAAGGACCCTTACCCTGATGAAGGAATGACAGGCGAATGCATATAACTTTTTGGTTGCGAATGATGTGCTGGATTAGGAGGTGGCCATTGTATAGGACTATTTCCAGTTAAGGGTGTTGAAGGAAATAGATTGGGTGCTGATGGTAAGGGTGGTTGTGAAGGGTGCATAGATTGATGATAGTATTCTGGATATAGAAACATAGAATTGGATGACGACGACGAGGATGCAATAGATGAATTGACAACGGGTGGCTCAGGTGGCAAATGCGCTGCTGGCATACGAATGTTGTGGTTGTATTGCGAAATGGGAGGCGTAGGTGGTGGACCAGAAGTGTAGGGCTGCATTTGTCCCTATAGTGAATAGATTTCTTAATATCAGGCTTAAAAGTAAAACGAAAAGGAGATAGGCATACATACCTCAGGCATGTAAACGGGACGATAGGGCATCATGGATGAAGCTTGCGGATGACGATTAGGATGATGGGGCGGTGTCTCAACACGATACAAATCATGCATGCGTTGCTGTTGTTGTTGTATGTACATATCCGGTGTCTGCAGTGGCTGATGCTGCGATTGATCTTGTATCGGTACCTGCAGATCCATTGTATGTACCGATGTTTGGCTGTCATCGATGTAGTCATCGTCGTCGTCGTCATCGTCATCGTCGTTGTTGTTATTACGCTGATACTTTTTGCCATTTTTCATAGAGCCATTGGTATGTCCAGCCATCGCCTTTTGCTGTTGTTGTTTCTTTTTCTCCATGGCTTCCTCTTTGAGTCTTGCAGCTTCAGCAAACTACAATGAGCCATATGTCAATGCCTTTGTTCTCATTGTTGCCATGGATACGACTTACGTCTTTGTTTGTTTTTCCTTCAAATGGCTTATCATACTATAAAATCAAGCCCATCATTAGTCATGTCATCTTTACAAGCCATTGATTTAGCCATATCTTACCTCTGTGTACTTCATCAGAATGCGATCGATTTGCGTGCTAGAGTATTGGACAAGCTTCCCATGTGCATTGAAAATGATCAAGGCCACTTCACAATTGCACAACACGCTCAATTCGTATGCCTTCTTCATTAATCCATGCTTGCGTTTGAGAAAGGTGACCTATGTATGATGATGCCATTCACCACGTGTGCGTGTGTGTGAGTGTGAGTTTTCGATCCTACTTTATTTACGAGTCTCGTTCTTTTTTTTTTACCTGACGATTACGATCATCTTGGATTGGTTGAATTTTGATCTTTTTACGACCCATATCACAAAGCAAAATCAGCAGAGGGAGAGAAAAGAAGAAAAGGGAGAGAACAGACTTGAATGACAGGACACACTGCCTGGTATTTATATTTTTGAAACGCAGCAACAAGCGGTACGGTAGCCGATTGAGCAGTTGGAGTGGACGAGTGCACGCTGTTTTACGCGCACGCTCATACATCGTCATAACCTTACACGCACACCCACACACCCACGATTTGACCCAGGAGTTTTTTTCGGTTTTGCATGCTGACCACACTGGCTGGCATCATCATCAAAGTTACACAAGCTATGTGCCAAAAATACATACTCGAGATGTTGCCATGTACCACTCGAGCATTTCTGCCACGTAAAAAAAGGGGGAAACGCTACCCTTAATAGACTTTGTTGCACAAGTTGAATGAAGCTTCGTTCCGGCTATGTTATTGCCTTGTTGTTGTTGTTGTAAAATCTCAGGTGAGACCCTGTGTGAGAAAAAAAGGGCGATGATCAATAGCATCGGATTACTACTGATGCCAAGGTTACCATCCTCATCATGGTATCATGGCAACAAGGCATCATCATGTAAACGTATCATGAGCAATGTTCCTTTACTACAATAGCCATTAGGTATGTATGTAGCATTGATCTTTTTTTGTTCTAATGGATAAAGCCACCACCAACATGATTGTTATTTCAGCACATGGAGCACGACGACGATCGTCGATTTTGAGTTATTGTATTAAAAATGTACTGCAGTTATAAATAGTGTATCCTTTTATTGCATCCACCGTGCATGGTTACTACTGGATGATGAATTCACCCGGTTGTCCAGGGGAGAGGACAGGGGAGAATTGAATGAGTGAGAAGGTGTAGAGATACAAAATGAGGCAAGGATATAAGGTGATTAGGCTGTCTGACACACAACGCTTTTTTCTAATTTTGGGCTCCAACAAAGTGGATGCTCGCGTGGACATGTGCATAATTGCATGTGGAGCAACACCTTGTATGTCCATGCACATTCTCATGGGTAATCCCCTTCTTTTTTCCTTTAACGGATGATACGCCATGTAATCTTTTTATTTCTCGTGCTTAATTCGAGGCTTCAGCCCCATTCCAACATGTCATTTAACAGGGCCAATAGATTGAAACGGAGCCCACTATGAGTGTGTGGGTGGTGTAGTGAAGAGGCACTAATGACTTTTTTAATGACAGGCAGCACCACGTATCCGCGGCTAATAATAATTGGGCATTGTGGCGTATATACACAACCACCGGTACCCGACACACCTAATTGCGCACAACATACAACAACCAACCATGCACAGGTTTCTGATCTGAGACAACCCCATTTGCTAAAAAGACCCCATGCTGTCATACATGCCTAAATACCCAACTTGGTTGAAAAGGCAAATACCCTTATGATAATGCATTTTCATTTATAGCTATTGTATGATGCTACATGTACCTGAACATTGCTTATGGCGTTGTTGAAGGTGTGCATAGTAGTTGTAGTGCCACTCTACGTATGTTGCTGATGCTCCGTCCAAAACTCCTATTGTTTCTTCCCCGTGCCACGATCTTTGTTACTGCGTATGTATGACATCTCCCATACTCATCGGGTGTATCTATTTTAAAACAAGTATCCTCGCAAGTGACTGTTACCATGCTTACATAAACGAGACGGGTATTGAAAGGGTGTGTGTGCGTGTGTGTGTGTGGATGATGCCTTTTACAAGTGGCGGGACAAAGAAGCAGGCAAGATGTCTGTGCACACAATCGCGGTGGCGACCGGGCATAAGGAATGGTGGTTGACGTGGATTACAAAGTGAAACGGTGGTACAGCTACGCCACACACACGCTAAGTCTAATTGACAATGAACATCCATCATCCACATGGCATATTACTTTATACTTCATTGTGGCGAATCTCCAATAAAACATAAACTTGGCCATACATTGATTGAAATAAAAATACATTTGTTGTATCTTCCTTGGTTAATTCATTGTTACACGAGACCCTGTATGTCATCATCATCATTAAGATACACCAATCAATGGGAAAAAGAAGAGAGGAGCAAGGATGATATAGGTTTGAAATTGATTTTTTTCACCTTATACAGAATCGAAATGACAAAAAGATCAAAACTATGGTAAAGTGTATTAAAGAAGAAGCGAAGCGTGACGAATAAAGAAAAAAAAAGAACTGAAAAGGACATGCTCGAAATGCTTAATTAGTTTATCAGGTAAACAGCCATAGAGAACAAGCTTAGCAGTGGGTGCCGAAACTCGTTCAGAAAGAAATAAATCATCCCTCGTTGAAAATAAAGAAAAATAGAGGAGATGAAGGTAAGCCTTGGGGGGAATCTTGAGTGTTATGGATGGTTGGAAAGTTTTGTGCATGCGTATGGGTTTGAAGGTGTTGTGTGTGTGATGAAAACTTTTACATGGCGCCCATTTGGTACATTCGGTCAAGAGCTTGCTTTTGCAGCACCGAATCTTGGAACCTGGATGATGATGATGATAAGGTCAGCTCATCATTTCTAGTACTACTTGTACCATGCACGCATGTATGCCACGCCACTTACTTTCGTAGTTGTTCATTTTCATGCACTAATCGTTCAAGTTCGGATAGCAATGCAGCTTGTGTACTTTTGAGATGTGTCAAGTGTTGGACAGCTAAAGTAGAATGAATGTGTTAAAAAGGGGGTTGTGATGATATAATTATAGAAACCCAGTATCCATGGAAACCACCCCAAAACTTACTTCGATGGAGCAAGGTAGCTTTGCTCATCTTTTTGTTGCCACATCCAGGCAAATGTTGTCGTAATTCATCAAACCCATCCTTGATCTGGGCACGCCTTTTTTGTTCGGATTGAATATGGATTTGACGACGCATCTCTGCAGCTGATAAACCGCTTTCAGGATCGTTGCCATTGTTATCCAAATCATCCGAAGAGCCATCCTGTTCATCGTCCCGTTGATGTCGTTTGCGCTTTTTGCTGTTTGAAGTACCATTCTCATACGTCTCCTTCGAGTATTGATGAAACTCGGGCAAAAATGACTCTGGTAGCTTGTTCACTTGTGCCAGCTTTTCCGAGATGACTTGACCAGCGGGTGGTGCTGCTGTGGTAGTCGGAGAACATGAAAGAAGCGGGGGAGTCGTAACAGGGGGAGAGTGCACCACCGACAAGCAAGAAGATGAAGACGACTCATCGGGGCTCGAAGGTAAAAAGGCTTGATGCTGTTGATGATGATCCAAGGCTGTGCCAGTGGTCGTAGGAATAGGCATCGCACCCAACGCTGCTGCTGCAGTGGCCGTAGCAGTAACAGGCTCGCACATATAACCCATACCATCTATAAGATGACATGTTAAAATCTCTCCTACTACAAGTACTCGTATTCACTTGCAAATATCACTTTTTTTTTTTACCTGAAGGATATAGCTGCGCGTCATAGGACTCGAGCTTGGGAACATCGGTGTAGGTGTTGGAAATGATGTATTCGTCAAAACCAAAGTCAGATTCCATTGCTGTTGTTTGCGGTTCGGGAATGAAGTGAGAAAGGGAAGAAAGGGAGATTGCTCAACGAAAAGGGTTGTAAAAGAGGAGTGTGTGTGTGATTGTGTGTGATTAGAAAGAGGCAAAGGGCAAGAGTTGGTTACTATCGTTTGGTGCGTGTGCTAGGAAGTAAGTAAACCAACAAAGAGGGAATAAGGACAACGGTAAAGAGTGATTGCTGTCGAGAGAGAGGGTTATTTGTTTAAGGGAGTGTGAGTGGGCTGAAAGAAGAGAGCGAGAAGCTGTGAAGGACAGTAAGTGTGTGAGAGAGGGAAGAAAGGAATAAGGCGATGGAATGGGACATGGATCGTATTTTGCTTTTTAACGTGGTACAGACTTGGAAATCTTTTCTTTTACCTCCTGCTCCCTTTACACATATGTATGTGGATAGCGGTGCTCATAGGATGATGGGTGAATACATAATAATATTATAGCATGTAGGTGAATCACAAGGGGGGGTGGGTGGAGAGGCAGGTTGACAGACCCGCCTGTTCTTGGATTACCCAATGCGTTCCTGAATGATAATGATGATGACGCTTTTTACTACTACGACTACTACTACAACTACAACCACTCACTCTATGACTCCCTTATTTCCTTCTCCCCTTCTCCCTTACTCCCAGATCCATCTTCCATCTTGTTCATCCCTTGCCACTATTCAAAAATTATATCACTCTCCTTCCTATTCTAGTGGCAAGCGGGCTTCTTCTCCTGCAATAAAAGAACTGACACTAAGCCTTAAGGTCCCATAAAAACGCCAATCACCGTTTCGGAGACCAATAGCCCTCAAGTCCGCTTACCCTTACCCTACTACACAATCCATGGCTATGACCCTACTTGTAAGCGAATGGCAGCTCAAGATGATCTCAATCGAGGCACCAATGTTGTGTTGCATTAATTGACACGCCATGTATTCAAAATACCATGTATCCAAACGATTTTGCCTTAATGCTGCAGCATGATGATGTTGCATGAATCATCCTTTTTCAAATTTACAAGCATAGCCCTCTTCACATCCATCGAGCAAAACCATGATGCGTAGCTCTAAACCTAAAAATCTTTACTATCCTCCTGTGTCAATGGGTACATGGTATGTGAACCTGTTTCGATACTCATGTCGTTTGTCCAACATCATCATGCATGTAGTGTCACACAATCTGTACGCTGAGTTGCATTTGAGGAAACTCATATCTCCATTACACCACGGCGCTTTGGCCCGAGCATTTTCTTCTTCGCTCTTTTTCTCTCCTCATCTCCTCCCCTTCGTAGACGAAAAGGAAATTCTGTAAAGACATAAATGACATGGGCTATATATACATGCATCTAATATGTGAACAAGGGGGAAGCTTAGCTGTCATGGTGATAAGCGCGGCTTTGACGCTTGTCATTTATAAAGATGATCTTTTTTCTTTTTACTTTTTCAAAGTTGCTTACCGATCTCCCCACCACACAACCCCCTTTTGCCTGCTCCGATACAAGTCTAGCATGTACATAGGTAAATGGATTGGATACCGATTAATAACAGGCCTCTAGAATCTATTCTTGTACATCGTATGGTTTTCTTTGAGTATGCAACACGAAGCTCATTTCATGCCATCAGCCATGTCCATTGTGTCCTTGTATGCTCTTTATTTGATGATACAATGGCGCACAGATCTTATTGTGGCCGTTGCTGGAACAAAGAATTGAGGCGGCGTTTTGTACACAGTGGTCATTGTTGCCCCTGTAAATTAGATGATGGTTGCCCAAATCTTTCAAAGGACATACCATTACTCTTATTGAGCCAACTCAAGGTGCCCTATAGATTCCGTTGCTATGGTGACGCATGGATGATTTTTGGGAGGCTGGGTGATACAGTGGTTAGTCCTCGTAGAAAAGTGTGGTGTGTGAACGGCTTTCAATATCCGAGATTACTTTCCTTCTACAGTATCTTGTATGAGCAAAAAAAGACAAGCTGCCTATGAGTTGTGGGTCGATACTTGAACCATCACCATACTCGAAAATGTTGCTTGATAGCGACTTTGCATGATGAAATTAACACGTATCAACTTCCCAATCTTTGCATACAAACGCTTCATTAATCAATTGATACGACGGTATGCATGTTTGCTGATTAGCTATCAGGTACTACTTGTCGAAATTCAATACAAACCATAACCCTACGTATGGTTTTACGTGGCTCGTGCGCATCATGAAAATGTCAGGTTACTCAAATCTAGTTGAAGAAGTGTGCTTCAAGAGGAGCATCTGCTCATCCATTTATGCTACAAGCGAGAATCACGCCATATTGGAGCCAAAGTTAACATGCATAAAGCAGATAGATGCTTCCCTTTTGGAAGCCACGAACGCACCCATGACTCGTTGCTCCTTATAAGGATTACCTCTTGAGATCGAGATTGCATCCTTTTCTTTTAAAGTGCCAGCAAAGCTCAAAGGTGTGATCTCGCTGATTGGCATGTGCTCATTGCCCCACAAGTTATGTATCCTACTCAGTCGGAGTGGGTTCATGCTGCTGTTAAAAGTTTGCATGAAAATGTTTCACTTTTTCATATGTGTGGGGAAACGATCATCAAAAGATTATCGGCACTGGGGGGTTCCCTTGAAAAGAACCATACAATGACCACAGGATACAAGTCGCTTTATTTGATGTTTGTTTACGTGACAGCTTTGCAGATGACCAAACTCTACATAGTAGGCAGGTGTTACAATCATGGATGAATCCTGGAAAAGTTTCAAAGCCAAATGCTAGTGCATAGAGGATATAAATGCGCCTTTTGCTTTTTATTTTTTTTCTCATTTGCACCTTTTACTTAACATCACACCACCCCCACAATGGTCAACGCGTCTATTGCAAAGCAAAACTTTTCGACTGAGGCCGAAGATGTCATCAACAGCCAAATCCAAATAGATCAAATTGCCCAACAACAATACCTTTCGACTGCAGCATACTTTGGGCGTGACGATATTGCTCTCCCTGTACCGTTTTATAGCATTTCCTTGCATCTCATACGAAATTACTCATAAATTTATTAGGGGTTGGAAAAGCACTTTTTAGAGCAAGCTGAACGTGAAGGTGAACGTGTACAACTTTTGATTGATTATCAGGAGACGCGTGGTGGGGTTGCCTTGATCAAAGATGTTCCTCAACCCAAAGTACGTTGTCTTGAAGAAGAGAAAAGAGACACTGCAACGACATCTAATTTATAATGATAGGCTGAATATGGGACTGCAAACATAGCTATTGGTACGTGTTGTTTCTAAAATGGTGGTGGTGGTGATTTATTATTGTTGACAAAGGACGTGTATATGATGTTAGAGGCCAGCCTTGTTCTTGAGAAGGAGGTGAACGAGTCACTTTTGAACATGACGCGTGTTGCCATTAATTCAGACGATCGAGAATTCAAACACTACTTGAAGTAAGCCTGTGGTTCGCTTGTTTACGATATGCGCATGACCCAACAACAGGAGCCTAATACTATCTTGGCTTGTAACACAACAGGAGCAAGCATTTGACGGAACGTGTGAATGCAATTGAAAAAGTGTGCAAGGGATTGACTCAATTACAACGTACCAAAGGTGAAGGGCTTGGATTGCATCTCTTTGATCAAGCAATCTACCACAATGATGGCGAATTTACTGTTGGAAAGTGAGAAGAAGAAAATAAAGTATGATTGTCATCACTTTTGTGTATAAATTAGTCGTCGTATTCATTAGAAACACGTACTGCTCCACTAGCAAACATCCATTTCCATAAGAACATGCTTTCATCATGCTGCTTTGTATCACCGCAACAACAAGCTCAACATTTACATGTAAAAGTGTGTATGTATGTATGGGGTGATTACTATATCAGTGACCCCGAAAAGGTCTCCTGGCAGATCATGTAGAAGCCTTATCACGCACTTTAGGAACGACGCATTCATATCACATCTTTGTTCTTTTCTTTTCTTTCTTTTATTTGTTCCTCTAGACAATGTCACACAACGTGCAGTTACCCAACAACCCTCCTCATCGACCACGCCATCAGCATTCACGATCGCAGCAATTGACGTCTACACAACCTTCGTTGACATCACGTCGACATCAGCAGCACCATAGTATCTCCATTGGGAGTGGTTCTCCAAGGGGGTTTCTCGACCATTTCGTTCATCAGCCATCGCAACTCCATGGCCCTATTCCGACTTCACCTATGCCGACAAGTAACACATCGATTGATATAGAATTTGATGGGGACACTCAAGTGATCATAAGACCCAATAGGATAGTCAAAGGTTAGTTATCATCTTGCATATTGGATTCCCCCCCACCAACGCTATTCATGACATGGATGATGCATTGCATGTTGTAGGCAAAGTCATTTTACATGCAGTGGATCGGCTTTACTTGACACGCATTCGAATCAAGGTATGATGATTGTTGTGGGATCGAAGTTTGGATCTTGTTATTCAATGATCTCTTAGTTTTATGCAGAGGAGACGGCCATGATAAAGCTGGATGATGGATTATGTCAACAAGCAACGACGACCTTTTTTGAGACGGAGCATACAGTATGGGGTGATGAAATGAAACGTAAGTCAGCCAAGAAGGAGGGGGGAGGCGTTTATCATCATCTCCCCTTATTAACGCCATGATTATGGATATAGCTTATGCACAATCACCATGGGAGGAGCTGGATGCTGGAAAACATGAATTTCCTTTTATCTTAAAGGTAACATTTATTATGCATGTTTACTACTACTCTCGCTGACGCTAATAGATGATTGCTTGATAATGTTGCAGTTCCCCAATGTTAATTACCCACCTTCTGTTGATGACCCTCCTGGATTCAGTATTCGATACATTTGGTGTGCTCATGCTGATGGCCCTGCTGGACAAACCAATACAATGAGCAAAAAGTGTATCACGCCTTATCGACCCATCATTGCTGCTTCTCCAGGTACGTACACGTATGCTTGCATAAAGGGATGATGTCACATTGCTGAATGTAGTATACACCATGTAGATAAGGATTGGACATTTCGAACCACACTTTTCAAGGAGAACCATGGAGGATCTAAGAAACAGCATGCTCTTGCACACTTGGTGGCCAAATTCAACAAGCAATGCTATTGTCCAGGTAAGTGTATATTCCTAGCTAATATCGACGACGATGTAGTAACATGTTACTACTTTAGATGAGCTTTTATCCATGCAATTGAACATGGTGCCATTGAATTCTGATATCAAGATCACCAACATGGCATACAGGTTTCGACGTCATCATCAAGGAAGATTAGCGACACAACGAGGCACTGCTGTTCGACAACAAACCCATGAACTATTGGATGCCACCATACCAGAACCATCAACATCATCCTCCATTGTCTTTTCGATTCCTACATTGATGGTGTCACCCACCTTTTCATCTCGCCATATACGTACAACATATGATTTGTTACTGAGAGTGACGATGGAAGAGACCCATTTCTTGAAACGATCCACCACCTTCCATTGCGAATGTTCAATACCCATCCATATTGCCAATTTACCTTATGATGAAATGATGCGGATTCCAGACCTGTATTCCATCGAACGCTATACCCAATCCAAACTATCCCCTTTCTTTTATGATGATGGCCAAGATAATGAAACAACATCCCCTCCTGGTTATTACGCTGGACATGATCGACATGAACGTACGGTCTATTGGAGCATGCAAACTTCACCCAAATTCAACAGCAACGGATGCAGTGCAGTAACACCTACCACCACAACAGCCTCAAGCAATGGCGGCGGCGGTGGTCTTATGGGTTGTAGTAGCACGACAAGCCATCATCAACGTGGTAGTAGTTTGCCAGATATCGGTGAAGCCAATATCCTTCTTAGCTCGTCAGATGAATGGTCATAGAAGAAAAGCATTGGAACATCACATAAACAAATGGCAGTAGTAGCAGGAGGAATGAAAAATGATTGCATGAGGATGATAGAAAGGATGGCTTTGTGAATCCATTTTATGAGCCCGTAGTCTTCAACAATCCTATGTGTGTAGCTGATGCAACGATTTTATGGATTGGAATTGACAACATTTATGATGCGTGGGTGGGTGGGGGTGGGTGGCATGAAATTTATGCAGGTTTGACCCATTGTACGTCAAAAGGCCGACGCATATAGGCTCATGGTTACACAGGGTCCGAAAAGAAGAATCAGAGATTATCTTTGGTGAGACCTCTCTCTCTCTTCTTTTTGCGAGTTTGTTTTTGGTACGGTGGGAATCCATTGTACGTAAGCTAAGGGGTATGCATACCGCTTTAGAGGGAGACCTTGTTATAGACTCCGTCGGCGGCTGCAGTTCATCATGATAGAGGAGCGCTTCGGATTGGACAAGGATCACACTGAGTCATTTTTCTTATCGATGTAGTCTACAACAGTACCACCACTTCCACCACTTGCACACATGACATTGAACATCACATTTTTTTCACGTGAATGACGATCGGTGTCTAGCTATATATATAATGCTTATTGGGGCCCTGTAACAATAGCTGTCAAGATTGTTGCTGCTTGTAAACAACATAAACAAGCGGCTACAGCTGCCTGTGGATGGTGTGATTGTTGGTTGTGGTGGGTCGGTGGGTGAACACAGAAATGGAAAATCATGCCTATTTCGATAGGACCGATTCGGGAGAATGATTACTACAGAATATCTGATTTTATTTTCTTTTCTACATGACAACGCAAAGGATGCAGAAAGAGAGAGAGGGAATACATGTGTGTGTGTGATTAGCAAAGTACAAAAAGATGCGGTTGATCGCTTATATATGTATATGATTATGAGGTGTGTGTGTGGATATACTAAATTGGACATTGTATGTGTGTATGTATATAAATGTGTGTGTGTACGTACAGGTGTTGAGACCAAAGAAAGAGGGAAAAAGAGATAAATTACTGCTCTGAATAACATGGAGGTGGTCCCCATTCGGGTTGTAAGCAAGCTGGTGCCTGTTGTGAAGATGCTGTGGTGACGGTGGTGGATGAAGTCGTCATCGTGTTGCATACACCACCCAATGATGAAGAAGCCGCAGGTGATAAAGTAGGTGAGGGGCGATGAATGGTGGATGGTAAAGAGGAAAACAGCATAGAAGTAGGTCGTTTGCCTTTGGTCGCTTTAGAAGTGGGCGTTGTTGTTGTTGCTGATGATGTGGGTCGTTTATCTTTGGGCATTTGCTTGAGTTGACAAGGACATCGATTGCATGTGCCCCAAACAGCATCTTGAGTGATGGGCCATCGTTGTAACCAAAACTCGGTTGTATTGCTTGCTGTTGTGGTCATTAAAGGATTTCCCTTTTCGATGGTTTCATAACTGGGAGGAGGCGGTAGAATTGTTTGACGTTCATCATCGGCTGCCACAAGGCGACAATCAAGCAAGCGTACAGGCGTCCCCAATGTCACCTTGAAAGCTTTGCCATTCGCTTCAAGGACCACCATGAGATGCAACCAATGGCTGATTGAAATGCTGGCATGGGTCATGTTGGGAACCAAGGTATGTTCACATGTCGGCACCGGCATGACAAAACGGCCTTCAAAGTATTCGCCTACTCGCACAGGCTCATCCAACAGTTTTAGATTGAGTAATTCACCTTGCTTTGGATCATCGGTTTCTTCTTCAGAGGTCGTATATGCGTTGTTGCCACCTCCTTGATGTTGTGGATCATCGGGTAATCCCTTGCTGGTATCTCTATTTGTTGCTCCTCCTGGTGCTGCTGCTGCTGCTGCGGATGTGGTGCTATTGGCATTGTAAAGATCATCGGACCAATGATGTCGATGGTGTCGATATCGTCGTGATAAGGTTGTTGTATTGGGTCGTTGCTGATGTTGTTTCTTTCCCACATCAAGTGATTGAATACTGCTTCCACTGCTGCTTTCATCATGCTCCGTTGGGTAACCATAGGCCCATTTAAGCACCATGGCAACCGCTTCGGTATGTTTGCGTGTTTCAGGTTGACCTTGCTTGCCATAGTAATCACCAGGCACTTTCATTGTATAGTCTCGAGTCTCGGAGATGCGTGTTACTATGGAGCGGATCTTGATATCATCGGTCAATGGTTCTAAAAGCACTTCCACACCCACGCTGGTGCCAATGGCAATCGCTGTTCTGTCAATGCTGAGCCGATATCGTAAACCATATTCAAGGGTGCTGGCAGGCAAGTTCCAATTATCAACGGTACGTCCTGCCATTGAATAAGCAAGCCGATCATGTTGCTCATCAAGGGCTAGTCCTAGATGGAATTGGCCATAGTACGATGGATGAATTTGGCCATCATCTTGGTCTATGGCGTAATATCGATCAAGACTGGTACGTCGATGAGCCCCTACTGTAGTTGCTTGATCAGGTGCCTGAATAGAAGGTTGTTGTTGTTGTTGTTGATTATCAGCTTGTGATGAAGATTGAGCATCGTCATTGTTCGTGTTGGAGGGTGTTGACGTTGTGGGTGGTGCAAGACTTGGAATAGGCTCTATGGCTCGTACAAGTCGTAAATCAGCTGTGGCTACTAATTTTTGCCTTTTCCCAAAGCGAGTCCAATCAAGCCAACTAGCATGTGAATCATCTTCGGTTGACCGACGCAAGGTGGCTGTGAGCTTATATGAGATATCGAGACGATCGGGTATATGCAATGTAATTGGAAGAGATCCAGGCAAAGGAAACTCGAAAGGGAATCGCTGGATACCCGATGGCATGATGCCTTGTGAATTGGGTGGCAATAATGATAGCTCAATCACATGCAATTTGGTCTCGATAGGTTTGCCAGTGGGTTGTTTATCCATGATTTCTAAGTGTGCACATCATGTCAGGAAAAAGGACCCCCTGGAGCGAGTGCTGCTTTTATAAATGTATATACCTCGCCATGGATAATATCGTTGAATGCCTTCAAAGACGAGTGAAATGGGTCCTTGAATGGCTGTGTCTTTGGGAAAATTGACAATCACTTCGCCTCTCACAATGATTGTGCCTGTTGTATTGCCCAAGTAAGAGACTGGCTCATCGAGTATCAAGCGGAAGACATCTTTCTTTTCGGGTATCAAGCGTGACATGATTGTGAAAGAAAAGAAAAGGGGAACTGTGAAACAAGGTGCTGGGAAACGTTCTTTTTATACAACTTTAGTGCTCCGGGGCTCGGATGGTTCGTGGGGGATCGTCGTTCGAGATGCTTTTTGATCACCATCTTCATGCTGGCTGGCGAAAAAGACAACTGTAACATAAACATTATGCTGCGGTTGTGTCGCCATCCCACATGGGGGTGATGATGGAACGTTACCATTACGTGTATTCTCATATCAATCTCGATGTGAAATCCCAATCTCTGCTGAGTCATTCAAGACGCTATGTACAATGCCAACATGCCGTTTTGGATGCTACATCCCTACGCACACACATCCATTGATTCAATAATGCCTTTGTTAGCATTCAAAGCGATTGGCTTTTGCTTATGATGACAAATACAAGAGCTTCCCAACATTGAATTGGCTGCACATATGACCATGAACAGCGTGCTCCCAACCCCCACGTGGCACTGTTTGTACAAAAGCAAAAAAAAAAAAAAGATACATCCCAAGCGGGTTACATGTATTCCCATCTGCCCATTTTACAACTCCAAGACTTATAAAATGTGGCCCCCCTACTTTCTTGGTAATGTGATGATGTGTGAGTGAGTGAATGGGAGAGAGGATCTCCAACATGAGTGTATAGGGATGGAGGGTTCTAGTAGAAGTAGTTGTAGTGAGTCACTCAAAATACTCTCTCCTGGTAGGGCCACAAGAAAAATCCCCGCGGTAAAATGCGCGAGCAAATACCACACAACCTGATCTCGCTTTGACTCACTGTTGTGTCGCTTGACCTTTGTGTTTCCCTGTACAACATGGAATGATGTTATAGATGTGCCAAATTTGGCCGAGACCATGCTAAAGGTTGGAGCGATCCACTGCAGGTAAGCCTCTCTTCCTCGGATCTTTCTCTTTTTGTGCTATTTTGAGGCTGGTTGCTTGTCCCTATTTGCCTTGCTTGGTTAAATGTTTGATGTCGTATGGGATCACTGGTGTACATGGATGTCATTTTCTTTAGCTGTTTACAGAATAACATGCACGAGTTCAAGGCGTCTAGATTAATAATACAGCCTTTGCTGCTGATGTACACGTATTTTCATTCTTCCCATGATACATACGTATGTATGTACATGCTTGGTGGGTTGCTTTCTTATCTGATTTCAACACACACACACACACGCACACGTACACGTACACGTACACCTCATCCATGCCGTCAAGAATGTCAAATCATGTATCATCATTCATCCTGCTTTCATGGTTACATAACATAGAGGGGGGTTTTATGCATCATGATGGTAGAAAATTTGCGCAGCATAATGATGCCATGATGGATGGGTTCCGATGCTTTGGTTTATTACACAAGAAAATATAAACATGATATCCTGGTATACCATGTGTCTTTGTCATGGCTCGCTGTTTCTGTTGTGATAGGGTAATGGTGAATCCGTGAAGCCGGGTAAGGTAGCAGCAGCAGGTGCTGCGGATGTGGTAACAGGTAATGAAATACGTTCCATGGATGAAGGTACTGAAGCAGTAGCAGCAGCAGGGTGTCCCATCAATAGCAATGATGGTGTGTTGGATTCAGGTGGTGGTGTGGGTGTATATGCAGGAGGAGGGGGAATAGTGTCAAGATGGTGGTATACTTCCTGCTGCTGTTGTTGTTGTTGTGAAGAGGCTATAGAGGTGGAGGATGATATTGAATCCGAGCTATGGATATAAATGGATGGGTGTGGTAGCTGTAATGGTGACGATGATTCCCCTAATTCCTTTTCTGTTGGTGCAGAAGGAGCTGGTTGTGCTGATGTTGATCCAGCATTGTGGGGTGGGATAATAATAGTGGATTCATCGGATGACGATAATCGATCATGATTGTTGTTGTTGTGTATCCCTGATACAGCATTACCAGCACCACCTCCAGCGTCTTGCCAATTTTCTGGTTTGGTGCATGGCTCATGATTGCAATTGGAAAATGGGGGTTTGGGTGATATTGAATGAGTAGAATGCATGGATGAGCATGGTGAGTGATGCTTATGGTGATGATGTGCCTTTTTGGCTTCTCGTTGTTTTTTATGTTTGCGTATCTTGAACCATGCAAAGATGATGGCGCATATCACCACTGCCGTCCCACTGATGCTACACACAAGTACCACCACAAGCGTCATATCGTGTAACGCATTTTGATTATCCTCAAGTTGATCCGCAATGACGCTGCTGCTGTCATTTGCATCCTTTAAAGTTGTTTCGGTCATGTTGTCGTTCGCTGCCACCACCACCGTTGTGACGTTTAAAACCACTGTTTGGTCATCATCATCATCATCTTGTTGTTGTTGTACAGTGGATGTTGGTATTGCTGCTGCTTGTTCTTGTTGTCTTTTTAAATAGGCATTCGCCACTGGTTCAACCTGGTACCATGTTTCGGGGGTGGGTGCTGCTGGTGTAATAGAGGATGGTGGTGATGGTAATAATAATGCCAGCCGATTCTCATCTCCCTGTGCAAAAGCAAGAAGTACAAAGAAGAGAGCAAACGCTAGGATCGCCAAACGCATCGAAAATACATAAAAAAGAAAAGAAGAAAAGTGGATCAACCCCCCTCTAATGGCACACAATGGTGTATAGGTTGTCTGTGTGCTTCCACAAAAAGAACATGAGTTGGTGCATTTCAATCTCAAATTGCCGGCCTTGTGCCGTATTATTAACACGAGCCTACATCAACAGCATTCTGCATTCACCTGTCGTCATTCTATCCTGTACATCAGCCTCGTTAAACCCGCGCACCTTGTTTTAAGCCTCTTTGTTTTACACTTTAGATGCTCGGAATGCGTCCTAAAAGACATCATGGTTGGCTATTTAAAGAAGATGATCTACCATGTCGATATTGGCGACCCATTACAAACGTGTGGGATCATCCACCTTTGTTCTACAATATGTGTTTCAGGAATGCGTATACATATGAGCACCTGACTTGGATGCTTCCTCCACCCACCATTGATGAAGCATCAAGTGCCATCACAATCAGCATGTGCACGTGACATTCTATACTTTATGGATCATGATGTTATTGCAACAGCATCAATGGCATTATGTATAATTGATATGCATACAAAGAGGATACTTAGTCTATATGAGTATGTGTGTATGTGTGTATGCCTTTTATCTATTGGTGCCCTATGTAAATGGATTGGGAATCAAAAGAAGGGGAGTGCATGTCATGCACCGATGGCTAGCCGAGGATGATGATCATTGTCAAAAGGATGATGGCAAGTCATATAACAAAGAAAACAACAAACTTCCTGCTTTAGAAGTCAATGATATCATGGATAAGAGTGTTCCAGGATGTGATTATGGCTTTGTCACTTTTATAGTCTCCTTGTTGAATGTACCATCATTGAGGAGCGGGGGGAGGGTGGTGGGAGGTGTTCAAGATAATTGCGAAAACGGGAACGGATGGAGGTGGAGTAAGAGA